ATGGAATATTTATTATATACTGCGGATAAATAATCTTTTGGAAGAATAAAGTGGCTCTAAATTTAATTTGCTGCTAATTGTTTCTTGGTATGGAATATGTATGAATTGGTATTCTAATTAATTCTTTTGGTGAAAGGACGAAGTATCTATTCTCGGAAATCTATGGTTTATCTTATTATAAAGAATCGATAATCGATTCTGAATAGGATCGGAATCTTTTAGGATATTATTTACTCTCATTGCCAATTTTTTATTTTGATGATGATTTATCATTTTGTATTCTTGGAATAATATTATTATTTATTCTATTAATTATGTTCTTTCAAGGGATAGAGACTTAGTAGTATATATAGTAATGAGCTTAATTATATTTTATATATTCTTTTTATATCCTTTGTTCATATGAATCATGGGAGACTTGTATCTATATTAGAATTGGATGTTTTATATATAAAATTAGATTAAATTATCTTTATTTTTTTTATGGGATAATAATAATTAAATTTCTTTATTTATCTTTGAAAATTATATCTAAAATCCTATTGGGCGGTGCTTTTTGATTTAATAATATGCTTTTTTTTATCTGATCTTTTGTATAATAAATTAATATTAATTTTTGAAATCTCTTTCTCAATATTAGGGGTTTTGGTTGCCATGGATTTTAGTTGTCGAGATAATTCTTGTCGGGAGCGTTGTTTTTTATCCCGATCGAAAAGTGATTAGGATATTTTTTTAGTATTTCAATAATAATATTGGCTCTATATTCATAAAATTCTAATGTTGGGTTTTGGAAATCCTCGAAGAGTGAATTATTATTTGTTCTTTTTGTTTTATATATTTTGGTTTTTGTTATTTATTTGTGGTCTTTATGTGATGGTTGTGTTATTCTGTTATATATTAGGTGTTTTTATGTAATTTCGTGTGTGTTTTTTTTTTATATATTTTATTTTATGAGTATGGCGTTTTATTTTTATTTTATTTTCAGTGAAGCTTATGAGGATTATTTCTTTTCGAGATTAAATATGCGAGAAATTTATTATGTTCTTTGGACTATGATGTTTACCTATCTTTTGTCTACTCTATATAAAGTAGTGCTTAGTTTTTTATGAATAAATGGAATTCTTTCGAGTGAAAATCTAGGGAAGAAAAAAAGAGATTATAGAAGGAAGAAAGGGAAAAGATGTATAGAGAATATAGAACATTCGAGAATCCTTTATGAAAGAGAATGGTGAAGAGTGTTATCTTCGATAAAGTAATCTAAAGAAATTTGAAATTATAAAGGGAGAAAAGATTATGGAAATATAAAAATCCGGAATTTTCATAAAAGAGAATTAGAAGATTTTACTCCATTGAGGATAATATAAAGCAATGAAATTATGAGAAAAAAAGGGATTATAGAGAATATAGAAATCTGGGAAATCGTGTATGGAGAAAAGGTGAAGATCGTCTCCTTTTTCTTCGATGTGAAGATAAATCTAATAGAGATTTGAAGACTTATGGAGGATTGGAAAGAAAAATTAGAATATTCGATAAATCTGGATAAAGAGTCATTAAGGATAAGAAATAGAACTTATATATGATTGAATAAGAATATACTTAGAAATAAAAAAGAGATCAGATTAAATGAAATTAGGAATCAGACTAAAAATCCGATAAATTCTTATAAAAGAGCAAATAAGAATATTTTATTTATATGATTAATAAAAAATCAAAGAAATGAAATAAATAACAAAATTATAATACATATATGATATAGATCAATCATGATCAAAGAATATTAAATATTAATCCGAAAAGATAAATAATTCATAAGCTCATAAAATAAATATTTTTTTTTTTTTTTTTTTGGGTGGTGTGGAGTGATTTTTTTTTTTCATATCATATGTGCGGAATAAGAGCTGATGAGGATTGGGAGGGAATCGAACGTATCAGGCATTCCGTTTAGGGTACCTAATGCTCCGTATAGAGATAGAGGGAATGAGAGATATAGGAGGCATGATGGATATAATGAGCTTAATAGATATAGAGGAAATAGGGGAAGAGGAGATCATAAGAATAGGAGGAGATGATATTGGAGGAAGGGATAATGGAAGACTGGAATATAGACAGAAATATGAGCGAAAGATATAGAATATCCGTCAATTCCGAAATTATATTTCCCAAAATATTTATATCTCGTTCCGAAAGATCTGAATCATTTTAATCATAATTCAATTATCTTTCATATCTGAAATAATAATAATAATAATATAGATATTAAATATATTCATAATAAGGGGTGGGCGCGAAAATCAGAAAATCACTTTTCGCTTCTCGGTTTTGTCCGCTAGCCCGCTAATGGCCTCAGTAGCCTCGCATCTGCGAAAAGTCAAGTGCTCTTGTCTAGAGCCTCAAAGTGCTCCCCAACGCTTTTCTGGGGGTCTTGAGCAGATGTCGTCCCAACCTTCCGTACTACCACCACTCTCTCAGTACGTTTCTTGTATGAAGTGCAATGAAGCTAAGGCTTCTCCGCAACCGAAACACTTTCAGCCTCCTTGGTGTCTTTTGGGCCGGGATGACCAACTTCAGCCGTAAGGTTCTCTGCATTCTGCTATCATTCCTCATCTCAGCTGGGGACACAGCAAAATACGAATCTCAGCAACCTTCAACTTCCCAAACAAAGCCGACAACCTCTCCTCAAATTCCTACTTTCCTTCCTCATACTTGTTTGTCGCGCTAAGGATACAGCACGACGGCGTTATTGCCTCGCGGTCGTTTCCTTGATTTTGCTGATCTTGTCGTAAAGAAAACCGAGTTCGAGTTTGAGGAATTCTTCAACGCGCTGGAACTGACAGGCAGCAGCGTTGGGATAAGTCTGAAATTTTGATACCTTGACATTAGGCGCGACCGTAATGAGGTCTCCAGTTTGTTGAATGGCCGCGTTTTTGGATAATTGGTTAGCTTGTCTCGGGGGGTGTCATCCATGTCCAACCAAAGAGAGTGGAGTCCAGAAGAGAACCAGGTTCGAAGAATAATGGGGTGAAGAAAACCCAACAGAGAAGGCGATGAGAAGAAAAATGCAAACATACGCAACTAGACCACTCAAACCACTCTCGATTCGCTTGAAAGATGTCTCAATAATTGTTTTCTCAGCGTCCCTATTCTCTTCAGCAATCTTTTGGAGGTTATCCTTTGTCTCACAGAATGCGGATAAACTTATCTTGCTGCTCGTTTCTAGTCCTTACGTATGATTCGATCTTGGTAAGAGCAGGACCGTACGTTTTGCTTGCGATGCTTTCAAAGAAGGTTTACATTTCCTTTCCAAGCGGAAGAATTTCTAGGGGCATGGAGACGGCGGGCTTCCAGCGGCGCTTGGAAGCGCCGTCTTCTCCGCTCTGCCAGGCGGAGACGACATAGGTGGTGCGACCAGAGTGGAGTGTGGTTGTGTGAATGTGAAGAGGAGTGGTTTGAATTTATTACAGTAAAGCTCGGGAAATCTGTTCTGTTGCGGATCCCGTTTCTTGTATTTGTTGTCGATGAAAAACCAGAAAATCTACAGGGAGAAGCCCCTATTCTACAGATGCTCAGAAGTGGGTTTAAAAGGGATTGTAAACATCGTAGAATTGGGTCCGGGAACACTCATCAGAGAGTTAGGGCAAAGGCCGGTGCCTGCGAGATGATATGAGAAGACTCAGTCATAAGTCCTAACAATTCCTTTTCCAAGTAAAAGGTACACTTTGACACACTGTGCAGATGGCACGCTAGTTTATTGGTTCCCAAGCGGAATGAAGTCAATACTAGCCCTGTTAATATACCACAAAAACGACTTTATGAAAAGGCTCCAGGATATACTATCATCAGGGAGAATTAGATGGGTTTAAAGCAAGCTAACGAAGGTGAGGTCCATGGGCGTAGAGGCTTCCTTCCTCACTGACTTCGTTCTTTGGATTAGCGTCTCGATGATGTTCTCATCAACGAGATGATGAAGAACGAAGCACTACACTTTGTACTGTCATGTAGACAGAGAAACGGTGACGGGTTCCAGCTCGGAGATCATTCAATATGAACTCCTTTCATCATTACTATTTAACGATTTTTACTTTCAATAGCTGTGGCTGGTCAGAAAGAGCCTCGAGTCTGGGATATTCTTTGCTTTGCTCCAGCCTTCCAGTTACCACTTTCCAAGATCAGGACTTTGTAAAAAGTAGCACTGACTTCTCATGCCCCAAGATCTCTCACGGTCGATATTCTCCGCGTTACAAAATGCGGTGGCCCCTTCTTGGCATGTCGAGTCTCGTCAAGGCAGTTATCAAATCTTGAACATGTACATATAATAGTAGACATACCACCCACGAGCCTTCTTCCCAACACAACACTTTGGACACCTTGTCAGTGTGTCAAAAAAGTAATCAAGATATTCCGAATATTCATGAATATTCATGATTAGCTCGAATAGAATATAATTACCGCAATGCTTGAATAATTTGATTAGATTAGAATATATAATCATGAATATTCATGAATACTTTGATTACTCTGCACGTGACTATGGCACGTGATGCGCTAGCCTAATTAAGTAGAGATCCCGCTCTAGTGTCGCCTTAGCGCCACCTCGCTGCCTAATTAGTGGGTCGAAAGCCTGCAAAGACGATGCTAGATCGGGAGCCATACCTAATTAGGTTAGTATATCACGTGCAATAGTCACGTGTATAGTAATCAAAGTATTCATGAATATTCATGATTACCTTAATTAGAATCTGATTAGAATATAATTAGTGGGTATTTTTGATGAATAGATTAGATTACTAGCCAGTATTCTAATCTAATCTATTCATTTGACACACTGCACCTTGTCTTTACAAGCACAACAAACACTTTCCCCATCTACCAATTGAGAAGATCTTCAACTCAGATCACAAAATCATGTCTTCCCAAACCCTGCAAAATCCCTTCCCGCCAAGAGCACCAGCGGGAAAGATTCCATACTGGCTGACTATCAAGCGAATCTCGGTTCGACTGAAATGGAAAGCTTCCTTAGATCCGTGAAGACTACGGCCCGCGGTCCGATTCTCGACGAAATCAACGGGTACTTCAAAAATACCCTGATGAAATTCGACAATTTCATCCGTGGAAGGAGTGATAAGATCCAGACTCTTGTTAGCGATAATTGGGACGCGGATCACGCTGCCATTCAAGAGTGTTTGGGCAGACTTGTGCCGGGTTTGCAGGCTACCATGTGGTAAGCTATTGTGTTTCTCCTTGGGCTGAGAACAAAATAGCTTACACCCTCACAGCAACTCAGCTTGCCTCATCGCCAGCGCTCTCGTCGCTCCCTATGCGTTCAGTCCCTCCGGTCAACGCATCCACGAAAATGATGAAAGCCGCGCCGAAGAGACCAAGCTCAGGAAGGACAACGAACGCCTCATGAGCCTCGAATTCGAGCGTCTGTACGGTGAGGTCAAGCAGAAGAAGAACAGCAACAAGCAAAAATTCCATGCATCCGATACAAGGATCGCAAAGAAATATAAGGAAGTGTGAAGCAAGTTTGGGACAGGCTTGTTGCGATTGTTTGAGGGGTTGAAGATTGAGACGGTAAGTAATTACTTTCCTATTTTATTTTATTTTTTTTGGTGAAAGGGAGGGAGGGACACTTGCGGTTACGGTGGATATAAAATAACGCACAGAGAGTTGACGAGGAAGATGTTGAGCACAGAGGAGAGGACATGGGAGAGGACGAGATGGAGGACGATTCTGTCACTCCGCTCTCGGCGACAACTGAGGAGCCTTAGCTTCACTGTATCTCAGCCGAAAAAGCCGTGTACCTTAGAGCAGATGGAGAGAATGCGGAAGTCAATCTCTGAAGGCAACGCAACTTGTGGCAAGGCGGCCAATATTCCCAAACAATTAGAACATTAAACCCTCCATAAATCTCTCAACGTGCTATCACTCGTGAGAGAATGAAATCGCAACTAAGGACCTTGCCTTACTCACACCCTTCTTCCCAGAAAATTGCCATCCGCTTCACACAAAATGTTCTCCAGCATGACATCAAATTATTCAACATCAACCATAAATTTACGCCACAGACTAACTCTGACTTCCCTCAAAGCTTTCGTTCATCCATCCACGCAAGCCTAATCCCCACCGCCCGCCTATGCGCCTCCAACTCCTCCACCTTCGCTAACTGCATCACCGCGCCCCCGACATTTCGTAAACCCTGTGGCGTTAAATTGGATGAGGTGATGTGTTTCGTGAAAGATCCAAGATTCACACCACTGTATTGTTTCGCGTATCCATACGTCGCTTCATTTCCCATCAGCATAAGTATATTCAGCACCTTTTCCGCCCGAGGCCAGACCCCAACCCCAACAACACCTCATAAGGGGAAAGAAACTCGACTTACGCAACGAATGATTGACTCCCGCCGAGTAATCGCCTACCGATTCAGGCGTCCATTCACCGATAAACACACTCCCTGCATTCCGCACCATATCCACAACTTTCTCGGCTTCCTTGATTTGGAGAATGAGATGTTCTGGTGCGTACTCATTGGAAAGTTTCATCGCTTCCTCGATATCGTTGACGACGAGCGTAACAGAGTGTTCGATGGCGCCGCGCACGATATCAACTCTTGGGAGTGCCATGGCTTGAGCGTGGAGCTCGTCTTCAATTGCCTGCAACTGTTTCTCGGAGAGGTCGACGGCTATCAAGATTACCTGCGAATCAACACCATGCTCTGCTTGTGAGAGGAGGTCAGAGGCCACGAATGCCGGATTGGCGTCCTTGTCTGCTATGACCAGTACCTCGGAAGGTCCGGCTGGCATATCGATGCTCACTCCCGCGTTGGTGTCATTGGAGACGTACATTTTTGCAGCGGTGACAAACTGGTTGCCAGGCCCAAGGATCTTGTTGACTTTTGACACAGACTCGGTTCCATATGCCATGGCAGCAACGGCTTGTGCGCCGCCTGCCAGGACGATGGATTCGGCGCCCACTTTGTGCGCGACGTAGACGATTTCGGGGGTTATGCTGCCGTCTGCTCGTGGAGGTGAGGCGAGTACGATTGTCTTGCAGCCTGCCACCATGGCGGGGACACCAAGCATGAGTGCCGTGGAGGGGAGGACTGCCGTTCCACCGGGCACGTACAGGCCTACTCTCTCGATAGGACGGGCGAAGCGGCTGCAGATTATGCCGGGCATGGTCTCGACTTGGAGTGGCTTGTCTTCTTTCTGGGCAGCGTGGAATTTGCGGATGTTTTCGAAGGAGGTGTCGATTGCGGCTATTGTTTCGGAAGGTAGGTTCATTAGAGATTGAGGGAAGGGAGCTTTTAGGACGGGGGAGGTGAGGGATGTTGCTTTTTCGAATTTGTGGGTGTAGGAGAGCAGGGCTTTGTCACCGCCTTCTCGGACGGCCTTGATGATTGGGTTGACGATTCCCATAATCATCTCGGTTGATCTTTGTGAGGGTCGTTGCAATGCTGCTTTGAGATCTTCTGGTGATGTTGTGGCAGCATTGTAGCGCTTCATGGTGATTCGGCCGTTTTTCAGGCCGGCCGGGTCTTCGGGAGCTTCGGGAACAGAGGCTGCTTCCTTCACGGTTTCCTTGGCCTCGTTGGAGGTTCCATTCGTAGAACGAATTGGGATACCTTCTTTTGCAGCCCACTGTCCCTTCGCATCGCCCTGTCGTCGCTTGACCTTTACGCTCTTGGCATCTAGATTTCGTTCGATGTCTGCAATACTGACTCCTGCGCTGACAGCTTTCGTGAGGGCGAAGTATATCAGATCTGCAGCCTCGAAGGCAACCTCGCCCTTCGTCTTTGCATCACATATCTCCTCTGCCTCTTCCATTATCTTCGCTCGGAGTAGTTTCTTGTCTGAAAATAAGCGTGCCGTGTATGATCCTTCCGGGGCGGATGTCTTTCTGGAAACCAGAGTTTTCTCGAGTTTTGCAAGCCCACGAAGTCCCCCAAAACAGGTTGACTGGGGCAGGTGACAGAATCCTATGATGGTTAGCAAAATTCTTACATCCACAGAACATATACATACCTCGACCGTTTTGGCGTACCACGAACTTCAAACAGTCCTGGTCACAGTCTAATGATATCCTAACCAATTCTTGCGTATCACCCGATGTCGCACCCTTGTACCACAACCCCCGCTTTCTGCTCTGATATACCCCAGTTCCAGTCTTGATCGATTCTGCCAGACTCTCTCGACTGCTATATACCAATCCCAAGGCAATTCCTCTCTCGTCCGTAACGACAGTGGGAATCAACTTGTCTGATCTGTCTGAAGTCCATGATGATTCAATAAGTACATCGACCGAGAATTGGCCTTTCGAAGATGTTCCAACGACGAGATTCGTGGCAGGTATTATTGGGATAGCAGAATGCTCTGCAGCTAGTTTGACAGTCGATTCGAGGTCTTCTGCAGATGTTGCCAGGAAAATTGGGGACACTTTGGCATCCTTCAAATTGCCCAGGATATCTTTGGCACTTCCAGGTGTAAGGTATACGCCATTGGGATATTTGGCTGCGGAGAAAGCACCTTGTGCCTCGATAACGGGAACAACCCTCTCCTCAAACCTGCTCAGAGCATTCAGCTGCGAAGGCTTGACAAACACATTGCGGGCGCCGGCATCCAGTATGGTAACAATATCCTCCGCAGATTCAATTTCAGTTACATCGACGTAAGCCTCAATCGAGACGTGCCTCTGCAGAAACTGGAGCAGTGTATCGACATTCTGGCTGGTGGCTGCGAAGTGAACGCATCCTAGATAGGATAATTGTTTTCTCGTGAGGCCATTCTCAGATTCTGTTGCTCCTTTGCCGAGATCCACGCTGGGAAGGAAAGGAAGAGGAAGTGTAGTGTCCATTGCGAATAAATTGATGTCGAAAAAGTGAGGTGAGTCAAGAAATTCTTCGTTCAGCCGACGATCGGATGGAGGGGCAGTTTCTGGTGGAGGGAAAAATCGACAGGGTTCGGAGGAATGATTTCCCGTGCCGAAGGGACGACGAACATCCAAACCACATTTCTATATGGACGGCTTCGCCTTTGCGCCAACAATCCAACACCTTGTACCTTTAATTTCGAGTTGGAATGCGGTACTGTGCAGATAAATAACACAAGTTCTCTCCACGAAGTTCCTTTGGCATTCCCACTGAGGCATTCCCGCCAAGGCGTTCCAAACAACTTATTACCAGCGGCGTCGAGATACAGAAGGACCCCAGAAAGGAAATCGAAAAGCTATTCGCAAAGATTCATCCATAGCACTGATCTACAGAGCTCGGTCACTGAGCTCCTCCATTGAGGGACTCCATAGCGAAGGGTCTCCACAGCGAAGGGTCTCCACAGCGAAGGGTTTCCATAGTGAGGTTCTCCATAGCAAGGACCTCCACAGAGCCTGTTCTTGGAAAGACCGAACACAGAGCTCCTCTACCAAAGCATCCTCTTCACATCTACACAACAATGGCAGAACCCAACGGCGACGCCCCCCTTACAAATGGCGCTCCCTCCGCCTCACCTCCGACAGCTCCACAAACACAAACACAGACACAATCCCAACCCTCTCAGCCCTCACAACCAGCACCCACAATCGCCCATCCTTCGATCCCTGTCACCTCTCTCCAGGACAATGGCCTGAACAAACGCCCGCGCGACGCAAGACTAATCCACATGCTGCTCTCCTCTCTCGGCTGTACAGCGTACCAGGAGCGTGTCCCCCTTCAACTTCTCGATTTCGCATACCGACACTCCTCCTCGATCCTCTCTGACGCCCTACACCTTTCCTCCGATGCATACGTCTCGCAACAAACGCGCGCCAAGGATGCGCCTCCTGGTGGCGGGTTCAGGGAAGCGGATGGACAAGTGAGCGCGAATGCGGTGATGCTTGCAATTCAAAGCAGGCTGCAGTATCAATTTGGTGGGAGTGGCGGAGGGGGAGGCGGAGGCGGGTTGAGCAAAGAGTTTTTGATCGAGATTGCCCAGCAGAGGAATAAGGTTGCGTTGCCGAGGGTGCTGCAGAATGAGTGGGGTGTTCGACTGCCGAGTGAGAGGTTTGTGTTATCTGGTGTTCCGTGGGGGTTGAAGGGGGAGTGGGTGCAGGAAGAAGAGGAGACGCAGGGAGATGGGATGGAGGGCGTGGAGATGGAGGAGGTGGGTGTTGAAGGAGGGGAGGAGGGGGGCACGATGGAGGATTTGTTTGGCGGCGATGAAGATATGGATAAGGATGATTGAAGATAATATGCGCGCATAACACATGGACATTTGGCGTTTAGAGGTGCGGTGGATTTGTAAGATTATAAGGCTGGCGAGCTTGTGAGCTGGGAGCATGCACAAAAGCGAGCTGGGGGGTTGATACCAAAAATTGGGCTGAAACGAGACAAAGATCACATTCACGTAGAATCGACAAAAGATTTCTACTTGGTTGCGTGGTACATCGATGCGGCTTTCCTCCTTTTATTCACGCCCAATTCTCTCTCCAATCCCAATCACAGTTCACTTCCATTCGTCGAAGTATCGACATCCGTTCCACGTCTTCCCGCCCTTTGTTCGCAAATCTATATATTCATTCGCTCTATCTTTCCTTTCCTTCCTCCAAAGTCCGAAAACTCATGCCTCAGTCAGGGATTCAAAGTATACCGAGAAATATGGAGATCTCAACACCAACAGTCTCTATGCGAGGCGGCACACACTTCGACTCAGCACAGGGCCTGTCGAACTTGGCGGATGTTTCGGGAATCGATGATGGGATGCTTGTGGATGAGAGCGGAGATGATGGCGAGGAGGCGGATGTGTATGAAGACGACGATAGAGATTACAGCCTCTAGGATAGGACCGTTATGAGAGAGGTGCCAAGATAACAATCTTGAGGAACGAAGTCTTTTTCAGTCGATCCATCGGCTCTCGGAAGGGGGGCATTTCTGGATGAATCATAACGTGAGCTAATGGCTTGCACAAGGTTATCGGCTTCTTGGCTTCTCGATTCTTGATCCAACTTCCAACCTGCTTCTCGAACCCATCCAGCATATCCGCTCTCGCATCCACAAACCTCATCCCAAGCAAAACGAGCTGTTTCCGTTTCGAAACGCGTGAGATAAAGGGTTGTCTAGCCAGTGCAGGGATCATCCTCCTCTCCTAGCCTTGAGCAGGAAACACCAACTGGTATCTTCCTTACATATTGGTCTTGCATTGTTTTCAAACCTGCTGACGCTGGCGATGGGAAATGGACGTGGGGCGATGTTGATATGGAGGTTGGGGATACCAGGGAAGGGTGAGACTGATTGATATCGAGCGTAGAGAAATAGAAGAGAGATCGACAGGCTCCTGTCCTGTTTCCGACCGGCTTCTCGTCCGAACTTTGTTATTCCTTAAATTTTCTCGCAATTTTCTCATTTAAGTTGTTTTGGTTGCTTTTGTCAAGTGGTTGTGGAGAGCAATGCCGAAGGTATTATTCACGACCGCCCTCCGGCACGACACAGCACCTCTCCATCCAGCGGCCGCACGTCCCAATTATTCACTTCGTGCAACAATAACACGTGTATCAATCTCAAGAGTTTGGAGTTCTAGCCCGTGAGTTTTGGGAATAGCAATGTGAATCCTGGGTGGACGAATCGGTTTGAGTATAGTGTTACGGCGAGTCGGACGGTGACGAGATTTTCGTTGTGAGTTTGTAGTTATGGGAAGGTTGGACCTGGAGATAGGGACTGGGACGAGGCTGATGATGGAAGCAGGATTGTGAATACGAGTGTGATTCTACCTGCTATGTCATGTTCGAGTACTTATCCTGCACAGAAATATTTCCCGAAGCAGGAGAAAGAGAGAGGCTGTTCGAGGAGTTCCAGTAATTCGAGTCAGTCATCGAGGAGTTTGAGAAGTCCGAAGAATGGCAGGCCGCACCTGAAGCCCCTGGACTCTGTATTGAATTGACTGATATTTCTAGACTAACGGAACGAGAAGGCCAAATCACATGACAAATCAAAGGAACAGCCGCGGATAGAAGACAAGCAAGATGGAAGAGACGATGAGGACACACCATGACCGAGGATAGGGGGTGAAGACGTTCGAGAGCACGAGTCGAGACCGAAAATACAGGATCGAGAAGACCGGCAGGATGAGAGGAATAACGTTAGATGGAAGGAGCGAGACCAGGATAGCAACACTCATGAAGAAAGCTATGCCAGACCACCGCGATTAGATGGCGAAGGAGAATATCGGCTGAGGGAACGACGGAGGAAGTCCAGGAAGGTCCAAGACCCTGAGTTTGCTGACCACATGGATTGAGGGTGGTGGTACAGGTTCCGAGGCAGAGGTTAGGATTCTAAGGGTCAGGCTGGGGCGGGTAATATCTCCAACCACACATTGCCGATTACTGAAGATCGGATGTACGACAAACTATGGGACATCCAAACGGGGAAGAGCTTCGAATCATGAAAGGTCTCTGGGACATCCTACCAGCGGGGAAAGATGAAATTCAGAAACGTCAGCGGTGGCGAAAGCAAGAGAACATGCACGAAGTTGAGAAGCTGAATTTCGGTGTTTTGGCAGCTTCCATCAGGTGTAGAGATGTCCACAAATACATATGGTGGTGCTCTTGTATCTCTCTTGCTTGCCTTTCCAACTTCCACATTCTCGCTTGATGTTCCTTCGCTCCTTCTCCTTTTGCTCCCTCCTCTTTTCTCACACCTCAACGCCCATGTGCTCTGTTGTGTCGAGTGGTTCAGTCGTTCGTTCCTTCCCGCCTTCCTGGATTCAAAGCGATCTCTTTTCTTCTTCTACCCTCTAGTCTTCCATCTCCAAACGCCAGCACCATCAGCATCTTCAACATTGAATTGCAACATCACTTTTTGGTAAGCTCCCATATTGCGATGGCCGCACAAGCAGACATGCTAATGAACATAGCAGGCTTGTTATCGATCTCTGATTGCTCGATTACGAAGTATCGTCAATACTGCAACCACATTATCTGCACGGCGATCCGTTCCGGCGCGTGCTTCTTGCTATGAACCAGCGGCAACCTATCAACCGCCCGAACAGTCAAGTGCAATCCCATCTTGACCTGCTAAGCCCCGAAGGATCACACGCAAAACCTGCTACTAGAGAGTACCTCCGCACAGGGGTTCCAGATCAATCCAGCACCTATAGACCCGATAATCACCGGGACTGGAGAGTCTTATTCGATATAGCCATAGCCAAGGAAGAGCTTCTTCAAAAAACTGCCGCAGGGTCCAATTGCCACACAGACGAGTGCATTCCACAGGAGGTCACCGCATCCAGTGCTCAGCCTTGGCATCCAGATTCCATCTCCGTCGCAGATCCTTCTCGACAGCTTCCTCTACCAAGCACAAGTCCTTCGATCAGAAGTCCGTTTGACAAAGATCAGATCTGGAGGCTGGAACACCCTTGGCTGTGCAAATATTCAAGCACATACCGCCGCGATCCACCTCTGGGGCCCAATTATCCGCCGTGCACATCCCACGACCCGAAGCTCACATACCTAAGGACTTATTATCACGCAAAGACAATCCAAATCCAACCATTGGAGCCCCACTCCTGTACAGAAGCATATTGCCTGCCCCCTCTACGCATTGGCGTCAACATCACCGACTTGATCAACTTACGCTTGGATAATTCGATTCTCACTTCGACGCTTAACTGACCATGGACGGACAGAGAGAGGGGGAGGACGAGCGACTTGGTATGCCCCACATCAATATCCCACTGCCTCTAATACAATATAATTAATATTCCCAGGAATTACTCACCAAAAGCGAAAGGAGATAGAATCAGAATTGACCAGATGCTTCTTGAAGAATCGCAAGTTATACGGCAATGCTGGATGGTTTATCGGCCTGCCTAGGACCAATACTTCCATCATTGCTATTTTCGCAAAGGAACTTCCTCAATACGCTGGATTGGATGTTAAAGGCCTATACGACATCTATCAGAAATCCCTAATCGCCGTGAAGAAGGAGTGGGAAAAGGAGGACATGAAGGAAGCAGCGGCTGGTGATATTGGACCACAGCGGTCAGCAGAATTTAGTAACCCTAAAGGTGCTACAAACGCCCCCAGTGCTGAAAAAATTGGGCCAATGGATCCGGAACAATCTGGGGAGAAAGCTTTCGGATCTGACGTCAAATACGTCAATAGCTTGGAGAGGGTGCTGGAGGCCGCTAACCCTTCTCCTGCTCCTGCACAGGATGCCTCCCCAGTGAAACCCTCAAAGGGGGAGAGAGAGGACTCTGTTCTGAAACCTGCTGAAAAAGGTACTGATCACCTGCCTCTCCTTGATTCGATGTTTGGTGCACTGGTGGAATATTCCAAACTGCACTGCTGACTCGAGAATGTCCCAGGAGGCGCACGTACTTTGGTTGTGGCACTCAAGGCTGTTGGCAGAGCGAAAACGGACGATACTCGGCGTGCCCTTGAAAAAAGAAAGTTTGATTCTCTTGGAGAGACGGGCGACGAAAAACAAGGGCCAGGCACGTCAACCAAGAAGCAGAAACGTATTATTAAGAAGAAAGGCATTGCGAGACCAGTCAAAAGAGGAAAGTGATTGTACAAGAAGTCATTCGTTCATTTGTAGATCGTTAGCAAGGTGTCTGTAGCTGGGGAAGACCTGAGAGGAGGTTACCAGCAAGGAATACACCATCATTGTTCGAGACGATCAAGTCTCAAACATTCCAAAATTCCTTTGACGAATGATTGCCTCGTGACTGGAAGACCACATTTCCAGTATCCCAAGTCAAAGTCGAAAATGTATCAATATGAAGCACATAAATTTAATATTTCAGAACTCCCGGGACATTTGAAGGCAGGCGGAGACTTTGGATGTACGAAAATGTGAAGGAATATTTGAATCCTCTGCTGCTGTATCGCAACATTAAACGGGGGGTTTGTGGGGAGCTGGGACCCTGCCCCCACCAAAGATCACAATATACTCACCTAAAGTGAGAAAATCTGGCTTTTACTCTTTGCATTTGCACCTGCTTATGCGACCCCAGGTATAGGTGGAAATGGGCCCGGGAGCTAAGCCCCTGCGCCATGTGAGACCGGCATGCAGGGGCACCCAAGGGGGGGAGGGGCACGTGCCGTATAACAGAGGGCTAAAAGGGAATTAAAAATTTAATTATATAAGCATTCTTTTAGCGCTATCTTAGAAAGGTTGTATATAATAGAGTTAACCTCTAGTTATATATAAAAATTACCTTAAGCAGATAATCCTGGTTTAGGATTACGCGAGCTGAATAGGGGGATCTGCAAGGGTCTGCAGGTGCACACTGCCTTTAAATCCATCAGTGCCAAGTTGTTTACACAGACTAGTGCTTACACCTTTATAAAAGGGACAGCAACCCTAACGCAGCGAGGCTTCAACTACATCTCACCTGGTGACACTAAAGTAAGCATGACAGACATCATCATCGTGGGTGGCGGCACCGCGGGCGTCGTGCTCGCCTCTCGACTCCACCAACGTAAACCAGAGCTGTCCATCCTCCTTATTGAAGCCGGGCCTGATGTTACTGGCCATCCTCATATCGCGACGCCTGCAGAGGCTGCATTCCTGCACTTCTCCGACCTCGACTGGAAGTACATGACGGCCCCCCAGAAACACTTGAATGGCGCTCCTCGATACAATTGCGCCGTCAAGGGCCTCTCTGGTGGCACTATCATTAACTCGGGCGGCTGGATCCGCGGAGATGCCCTCGACTACGACGAGTGGGCACGCGAAGTCAAGGACGAGCGGTGGAGCTACAATGGCCTCCTTCCTTACTTCAAGCGGTCCGAGAGGCACTTCGATGCGGATGGGGACCCTGCTCAGCACGGTTTTGACGGGCCTATTGTTACCGCTTCCGTCAGCTCATCTGGTCGCAAATTCCCACTGCGGGACACCATCTTCAAGCTCTGGTCTCACCTTGGACTCCAGCACGTCCCTGATGCAAACAACGGTCACCCTCAGGGCATCACCGACCTAGTCGAGAACTGGAAGGACGGAAGGCGACAGATTGCCAGTGACACATATCCCCTGTACGGGGTCAAGGTGCTTACCGATACTCTAGTGCGCCGCATCATCATCAACGGCGACAAAGTTGCTGTCGGTGTTGAATTGGCCAGTGGAGAGATGCACATGGTCAAGCAGGGAGGCCAAGTCGTCGTGTCCGCTGGTGCATATCGAACGCCACAGGTCTTGCAGCTTTCTGGCATTGGTGATCCAACCCATATTTCTCAGCACGGCATCACCACTACCGTAGACCTACCTCAAGTCGGAACCAATCTGCACGACCATCTGTTGCTGTACAGATACTGGAAGCTCCGGCATCCCGAGAAAGGTCTCGCCGTAGGATCACCACTCTTTGGCGGCCCCAACTTTGACAAAGGAGGACCAGTTGACTGGCTCGTCACAGCCCCGATCCCTATAGCACCACTCAAGGCAGCTCTAGAGAAAGACGAGGGCCAGGTGCCAGACGATCATCCACTCCTCAAGGGCCCACGAAGTCATCTGGAGATGATCCTTCTGTATGCCGTGTTTGGTGCTGAAGCCCAAGGGCTCCAGATCCCTATAAACGGAAACTCCATCATGACTTACTACATGGGTTGTCTGCCAACTTCACGAGGATCTATCACTCTCAGTTCGAATGACCCTTCGGCGCCTCCAGTTATTGATCCCAACTACTACGCCACGGAGACTGACAAGCACGTCATGCGCGAAGGCTTTCGCATGCACTCGCAGCTTATGCTCGACACGCCTGAAGGAAAGGAACTCGTCGCCGAGGAGTACACTCCTCCCGGCTTAGCGAGTGCCGGGTTGGATGCTTCGGATGAGCAGATCGACGAGCGTATCAAGTTTGGGGGGTCGACAGTGTTTCACCCCGGAGGCACAGCTGCTATGGGCAAGGTAGTTGATGGATCACTTAAGGTTTATGGAGTTAAAAATCTCAGGGTTGTGGACGCTAGTGTGGTAAGTAGTTACCTAGTATGTTTGATATGTCTTCCGGGTTAACTGACAAATATCGTAGATCCCCCAACCACTCGCTTCGCACTACCAAGTCATCGTCTATGCAATTGCCGAGCAAGCTGCTGACATCATCTTGAGTGAGGACTTCTGAATTATGGTGCCGACTTGAATTCAAGTCCTAGCAGGTAAGAGAACAGAGAAAAGCGACCGCAGTTACTCGAAAAAGGTGTCGAAGATGTCCTAAAGAGATAGATAGAGAGAGAGTATTTTGGGTCGTGTGCACACTATATACTAGCAGCCTTTCAAGGCATCTGATAGCTCAGCAGACAGAATCGGTATCCGATCATCCAATATTGCAAGTTCAAAAAGTCCAGGGACACACATTTTGCCAAGAATATTCCGGACTCATTGCGGTGCCCACACTTTTCAGATTAGCAACAATGGGTTTGCTACGTACACAAGGATCTGCCGGGGGGGACTTGCAAGTTGCGCTGCGCTGGTACGATCTACTCTGTCTATAAATCGATTGATACCCAACAAAACACCTTGGGAACTTGAGTTTTGACCTCTGTTTTCTTAGGGGGTTCGTTTTGTGTCAATCGAATTAACTATCTTCTGCCTTCGCGCCCCTTACCTATTCTTTATCACAATCTATCTATATAGCCTTATATAGGATTTCCCTTATACGATTAAAACGCAACCCGGGTCACAGACCGTCTATCTTGCGCCAGTGCATCTAGTTATTAGTTTACATACTAGGCCGTTTTACCGGTAGCTTATCGGATTACTCCCACTTCGCCTGTCTCCATTCTGACCTACTTGTTCCTGTTCGTAGCTGTTCAGCCCTCGGTTACACGAGGAGGAAAGCAAGGTGCATTTGGTAGCTGAAGCCTCCGACGTCATTTGGGCCTTGCCTTGTTCCCCACCAAGCGAAGTCGCATTCACGCTTCCTCAACCCTCTTCCTCCGTCTTAATCACTTATTTGTTATGCAATCTAACTTTGTTTCTCGTTCATATACAACCCGGCGTTCCCCAAGTATTTGGTCAGTGTCAATTCACTATTTGAACCGTTTTCGGAAGTACTGGAGAAGCATCAAGCCGCAGAAGATCTTGACCAACCGTCACGTGCATCAACCGGCTAGAGATGATTGGTAGCCCTCAGCCCCCTCGAATGCCCTTTTCTTCGCTCGAATCTGCCTAGTGGCAAGGACCGCACCTTGATGAAATGTAGAGTGTTTCCTCCCTCTCCAGCATCCACCGTCAGACAATTACACAGCGAAAACACAATCGCACTCTGGCCGTAAGAGTCGTTCTCCGGTTGCGTAGCTATTAGCTGGGGGTTGCGAGAGCATGGCACAACCAATACCTCCGAATTGGAATCCGAACTACGGTGTCGATCCAAGAAATCTCGACCTTAATCATGGGACACTTCAGCTGCCTCAAACGGAGTCCTGGAATGAAGTTCGTTCCCATAGTATTGGACATGAACTCGATCATAGTCTCCAGTACTCGACTGATGTGAATGCATTGCACGTCGAATTTTCACATGCAGCTCTGGCCGTGCCGGACTTGGAAATGCAAGGCCAGGATGAGAGCTCGTCAAGTCACGCTCATGATACTCCGCGGCCTCTCTACGATATGAGGATCATGGATCTCGGCCGTGCAGCCTGTACGTTGGAAATTGTCTGAAATATTAGTGGTTCTGTTGCAGATGCTGACGAACCCCATAGTTCACGAAAACAGCGTCCCCGGAGTTCCCAAGCCAGCCGTCTACGCAGAGACAGAACATCATTTATCTCAAGGGAGTTGTGGGGTGCTCAATTCCACGGTTCGTTGGCTCGATCCCTCTATGCAACCCTCTCCAGACAGTGGGTGCGCATTTGTCGGCCCCGTGCCAACTTATCCGCTCCTGGGAATGGACTCCACAGCCAGAGGATTGGAATGGGGCCTTCTGGCAAGCTCTACATTAAATGACTCTTCGACTCAACCCGCGAAAAGCAATATACCCATTGGCTCGGAGCAGAACGCTCCCAAGAAGCGTGCTTTGAAAAATGTCACTTTTCGAAAATACAAACATCGAAGCCGTCGAACACCACAGCGTTCACCATCTCACATCGGCGCTTCGCTGGGGCAAAGGGCCAGATTGGGAGTGAGTCCGCTTGATAGTGGAATACCCTCACAAAATGGAACTGTTAATGATGGTTCAGCTGAACCTGCGGTTACGGACTCACATCACGACGAGCAACAGCATGCACTAACGCTGCTCAAAAATTCATTCCGGCCTTCTTCGTTATTTTCCGCACAGAAGTTTGCGGATCTCATAGTCCAGATAGAGCAACTCGTGATTGACAATGAGAAGTATGTTGATCCAGCAACACCTACAGCGGGCACCACTCTCACAAGTACTGTCTCCTCCACCCGTGACTCGTACTCCAACTCAGGAGTTATGGATTCGGGGTGCACAACCGATGATACGTCCGTGTCATCCACTCCTTTCCCGGAAGTTGACGATGCACAAGAATCTTCCCCCTCTGAAGCACCAGTTGAAAGAAAGCATTGCCACTGCAGCAAATGTGGTGTTAGGCCATTATTCTACTGCACCAAAAAGAACTGTGGTTATTCTACTCATATCTGCACAGACTGGAAGAGGCATGAAGAAGGAGAAAAGCACTGGCCTCAAGAACGCTTTATGTGCCTAGAATGTCCCAGAACCCTACCCCCAATGGATATCAGCGGCAGTCCCTTATGCGAGTTCTGTAATAGTCCATTCGGATTTGGAGAAGTACCTAGGGCTCATTATCTCAGATGTGCATCCGCGAGGCAAGATGGCACAACTTTTAGCAGGAAGGACCATCTCATCCCACATCTTCGAGAAGAGCACGGATTGACCTTCACAAATCTCCACATCATTACGTGGAGGTACTCTATCGATAGCAGATGGCCGAGGCAGTGTGGATTCTGTGAGACACAATTCACAACTTGGGACGAAAGAATGAGGCACATTGCAGAGCACTTTGAGGAAGGGAAAGACATGGCTGATTGGAAGTGGCCCTCGGCGCGGCCAAAGGACTACCATCCACAAGGTCCACGTAATCAACCAAAAGATGATGATAGCGACCCCGGAAACGATTTTGACGGGGGCAGTGGCGGTTCAAGACGTAAAAATCCAGCTGGAAAGAGGAATGGAATATCCGGCGATTCCCAAGCCTCAGGTGGTCATGCTCGAGGTGGCGCTCAGTCCTCCCCATCCCAGGCTTATGGGAACTCGAATCAAGCTCAAGGGGTAGAGAACTCTGTGAAAGACAGACAGCAAGATGTCGCAGATCCTTCCAGTCAGCCAAAGTCCAGTGTTGCATTGGAAATGTATCTCAGTGATCCATTTTATCCCATTGGCAGTGGTCCAGATTGGCTTCCTTCAGGAACATCATATAACCAGCCGCCAGGACACGTTTCCCAATTCACATTCAAAAATAGCGAAAATAGAGTCAAGGTTTTGAGATCCCTGTTGGGCGATTTCCTATGGCCGAGGCAAATAAATGAATTGCATTATCCGAAGTCGCGAATGTCGTTGACGAGGAAGCAGGCGCCTTGTCGAGATGGAAAGTCAGCTATTAGACCTCTCGGGGGGTGTAGCATTGAAGCTTTAAGGTTAACAATCGACGGCGTGAACAGCAACACTCCACAATGCCATGAAATAACCTCTCAAGAAGGTGGATTCCACTATGCTCTCGATTTTCCGGCTTGCGGTGCAACGTTTTTCACGAAGAATGATTGGACGCGCCATGCCAGTTCACCACACCTCGAGCAAGAGTTTATCATCCCGTGGTGGGATGTGAGCATTACGCCTTCTTCCTCAGACTCTCTCTCCGATGCTGCGGGAGACAGAGCTCAGACCCAGACTCCCAAAAAGCGGCAACAGGCTTCAGAGTCTCCACATTTCGATGCACTTATCCGTCCAAGAAAGGTCCGAATGCTACGAGACCCTCGATATATGGCTGAGGCTCGAGAAAGGGGTGCTTGCTTTTTATGCAAGCGGAGAAAGGAAGTGGTACGGCCTCCCTGCAAATTCCTGTATTTTCCAGCCGCAGTTTGAGCTAACATTAAAATAGTGCATCGACGGAGATCATCCCGATGGCCCTTGCCGTCCATGCTTGGAACGGGCGGACCAAGGTACTTCTATAACTGGCCTAGTTCGTCCTCTTTGCTGGCAACCAAATATTGGTAGTGCTGAATTGTTCCGCCGAGGTACTTCTCCCGTTCAGTAGCTGTAAATGCAACAGAGCTGATGATCACTCCTAGGTCCGACAATCGATTTCGCAGTCTCGCTGCGGGGGAACTTGGAGGATGAAGTTCCTGGGAAGCAAGCAATTTGGAAACACTTTGCTATTCGCAGAATTGGAAAGGAGCCATCAAAATTAATTGACCTGTCGCAAAACTGGACGTCAAATGTGTTGAGGGTCAAACTTGATCGATATCTGCCAAAGAACACAGATAAGCAACACTACTCTTGGTTTGATGAAGGTGCGGAGCAGCAGTATTGCACACCCGCATACGGCATTGAGAATCTGGCACCTACCACCTGCGTAATTGAGAGATTTCTTTCGCAGAATTCTGAAGAGTATCTCGAGGCACACTTGCAAAATGCAGCCGAGATAACACGGAAGACGTTTCATACTGCTCAAGAATACAAGGTTAGTTAACCCACAAGACAGGGGCGTCGCGCGGCATCGCTAATTAGTATTTAACAGCATCTCCCTCTCGTTGAACGTGCTTTGAAGGTTTGGGTCGGGTGCCGTTTCATCGAGGAACCATGGAATATTGTTAGTAAGGATACGCTCGGGATGTCCCTACATCCGAATCAAAACTGCCCCTATCACGATAGGATTCCCGTACCGCCAATTGTGGATTTACAGATCGACCTCATTGTTATCAATGAAATACTGCAGCCAGAAATAAAGAAGGTCCTCAAGACACTAAAGACGATATTGGAATCAAACGATCCTTGGAGTAACTGGTTTGAGATTTACCTAGCGTATTTCATTCTGCTACATAATGTTGAGATGACCATGGCCCACGATGCGTGGTTCGTCAAGCGATACAACCTGAAGGTTAGTCCCCAAGTTATTTAAAGGTGTAATGATTAGGCTGACTCGCGATAAAAATTTAGAGCAAGTATTCAAACAAGAATCTGGTCGATACAATCATGCAAGGCGCGACAACTCTCCTCACTTGCTTTCATTACGCTCACCAAGGCTACGCTCCGTTCTCGAATCCGGAATTAGAGCACATGCAGCAGTGGACAGAGGAAGAGAAAGCACACGTTCGAGATGTTCGTCTGATGGTGCAGCAGATTAGAGGCTGTGTGCAAGACCCCGCGCAAGAATTTTTTTGGATTTCCCAACTTTACAGGCCTGATTGGAGGCCTGTGGTGTTTTGATTTTCTAATGTAATGCTGCGAGATACTATGATATGAACAGTATAGCGCGTATGGAGTATGGAGTTGACTTGGGAAGTATTGTTACTACTATTACCAATTTGAATGCATTTGCATTGAATTTACACCACAAGACCTAAAATCTTGTGCGACCCCAACGCTTTTTTCAGCTTTCTTGAAATGCGTGTCTGCCGTTTTAGTCCTGCAGCATGCCAAAGTAGCCCGCAACGTGCCGTAAACTATAAACAGGCACGTCGAGGCTTGAGGCAGGAATTCCAAGTGAGGCACGATGACGATGTGGAGGGCCTGACCGAACGTGGGGAGCGCTTCGCCCAGGGAGCCAACTTTAGGGTTACTCCTCGCTCGACCCTTTCTAAGGTATGCTCCGAATGTCGGCTAATCCTGCGTATTTCCACCAATAGGGGGCTATTGCAAGCCCCATTTCACGTGATGAAAGCTGTGCCTCATCATCGCATCTTTTTATCCGGCAATTCCTTCCTTATCTCTCTCACCTTCTCCTTCACAACTCGCGGCATCTTTCCTTTCCTATCTCGTCTCTCCACTCTCTTTCAAGGCCATTCATTGCACATTATCTAACGAATAATCAAAATGACCTCCACATTCCGCCCTTTCCCTTCTCTCCCTCTCGAGCTCCGGCTCAAAATCTGGTCGTATCTCCTCCCGGCCCCGAGAATTGTGGACGTCATCGCCATCTCCACAGAATCAAATGAGCGGCAACAACTTTCTAATTCCAATCCGGCAGTTCCATCTCCAGCCATCCCAAAGCGGGCGCGGAGATTCGTCGACGATTTACAATCCCCTCGTCAAGATGTACCTGTATTGATGCATGTGAGCCGTGAGGCGAGGAGCTTGGTGTTGAAGAAGTGGAGAGTGGTGGGTGGGGTGAAAGTTTTGGGGGAGATGGAGATGAGGAGGGCGGGGTATCAGAGGTTTGAAGATGGGCCTGACTGGGAGGAGAGGGGAATTGTGCAGGGGTGTGGGTGGCAACTTATGGAGGAAGGGAAGAGCGATGAGCGGGAGAGTGTCTTTTACTTCCATCCAGAATCAACGAGAGCCACTCCAGTGTTGTTTAATCCTGACATCGATGTCCTGTTTCTGGCGGATCCGCCGTCGACGAGGAAAGTGTCGAGTCTCTCTGTTCTGGTTAGGTGGTTGGAGAGAGATGTGGTTGAGAGTGCGAGGAATTTGGCGCTTCCGTATTATAGCTGGAGGAAAGATTACACGTTTGGGAATCTTGGGGCTTTGAAGCAGTTCAAAAGTTTGGAAAGGCTTTGGGTTTGCTTTGTTGGGGATGAGGGGAAGAAGTCCGCGGGCTGTAGGTGTTGGGGGTAGAAACCCTTTCCTATTACGGCTGTTTCATGAGATTTTCTTAAGTTAATGTCCTCTCCCGAAACAATCTCAATCGAGCAATTGCTGACTCTCCCCCGTTACCTAGGGTTGGCAGCGGTGGATAGAGTGGAAGTGGACGAAGAGGCTGAGGGGGAAAAATATTTGTTCGAGGTTAGGGAACAGATCAGGGGTGATGTTGTCATGGAGAGGGCGTTGGTGGGGTGGAACAGGCCGATTGTGAGTGTTGTAAAAGATAGAGGGGTTGTGTTGCAGGAATTGAGGGATGGGCTTGAGGGGTATGCTCCTGTTGGGAAGCATGAGTGTTTGTCTGATTGCGAATGTATGTGGACACCTGAGAGAGTCGCAAAGTAGTGGTCCATTTGTAGTGGGACTCAAATTTGCTCTTGCTTGTTCATAGCATACTTTGTGACATTCACGACTTGGCCTGGAAGAAAGGTATTAAAATTTCTAGAGAACATCTGCCCTCACCTTTTATTAATCTTCACTCCTCTTTCCTTCCCACACTAACTCTATAAAGAAACTCGAACAGCAAATTAGACCAGCAGCGGCATCAAAAGCTTACCAAAATATTTTACCTACACACAGTCCACTACAACTGTGGCCACAATCGTACCATCGAACTCGAGAATTGTGGCGGTACTGGCCACCGCAGAATAGATGCAGGCGCCCCGGTCACTTTGTACAGGAAAAGCCACAGGGTCCGTAGGACGATTTCAGAGAATGCAGGGTTGTATATCGACTTGGACGGAGGGATGATTGGAGACGGGTTAATAGGGATAGGTATCGGAGATGGGGCTGGTATTACTCAGATATAGGGGAAGCGTAATATATAGATCCTTTCATTAAAATATCTTGAGCTGAGACTCTGGTGCGGCCATCTCGCCAACGTTGGTGTTAAGCCACTCAGCCACAGGCTGGCTATTGGCTTCTGCTTGTGGTCGATGCTCACCTACGAGCAACAATCCATGGTCGGAGACGACTAATGGCGCAATGGATTGTCCGGATGAACTATCCCATTCGGCTGCGGACTATATTTCGCATTCGGCTGGCGCTGGATGCTGGTTTACCAACCCAAAGCCTTCGACGGAAACGACTGAAAGGGCAACAGAAGGTTCGGATACAAGATCCCACTCAGCGGTGGAAGACTTGGTGGAGAAAGGTGACGTAGATTCCTGAAGCAAATTGGTTAGTTTCATATGTTGGGAGGGAGAGCACTCGAGTTGAATCGAGGGAACCTGCCAAGAAGGTTGTTGGCTAGAGGTCTGATGCTATGTATTGGTCGCGAATGTTGCGAGGCTTAGGATCAAGTGAGGACACGCTTGGTTGTTGTTGGTTGTGAAAGATCTGTCGTGGGGAAAGTTGTTTTTGGAAGAAAGGTCGGAGTTGGAGGGAAAAGGGCACTATATATATAGACGTCTAGAGGCAAATTTACAACAAGGTCTTAGCACCCGCCGCATTTCTCCCCGCCAAAGGCGAATGCCTTGGCCACGGCCAATATCGCGTCACCTTGGCACAATTTAAGCAAATGTAAATTTGCTGATACATTTCCTAGTGATTTGGGGAGAAAGTGAGAGAGCCTTGACCCAAGGGTCTTTATAAGCACGAGTATTGCTTTTCTAGAGATTACCTCTCATACAAACACACAATTATCCCTTTAATGCAAAGGCAAATCGTGTTTTCGAGGAACAACAAACTTGCAAAAGCCTAATGTCCAAGTAAATCAGGTAAATAGCTAATAAACCGGTAGTATGGGGTCTATGACAAAGACAATAATACTGAATGGCCTTTACACACAGTTTGCGATTCTTAGTATGGAAAACAGCTTCACGTGGAGGAAATCAAACAGTGTATTAAGTTCTATGGCTGAGAATTATAACTTGTATCGAGGTATAGAGTTTGATAATGTGACTATGTAATAAGCGGTGCCACAGTAAAGCGGGAACAAGAACGATCAGCCTTTGCAACCAGCTTTACTCTGCACATGATACTTCAGCCTTGATTTATGGCCGAAAGTCTCACCACAGACCTCGCATTGGAATTCCTTGATTTTAAGGTGTTGGACGTTTACATGCCTATCTCGTTCCCATCTCCAGAAAAATCCACGGTTACATTGACCGCAGACGTATTGCTTCTCCCGATCGTGCGAGTTACGGACGTGGACATTGACATGAGCCTTCGACTTGTAAGACTTCTCACAATCTGGCTTCGGGCATCGAAATGGCCGCTCTTCTCTGTGACTGTTCCTGAAGTGCCGATCTCGATCCTTCTCACATGAGAATGCGTGCATGCAGAGATGACAATCTAGGCTCAGGATGGCTTCGATTTCATTTCGAGTATTGAAACTCATGGGCTCATTCTGTGTCTTCACTGAGCTCACCATCTCGGTTTCACCGCCTGTTTTTACACAACAATCAAGTTCTGCAGACTGCGACATGTATGTGTCCCAGCTTTCCATGTCCATTCCCCCAAAATTAACGAACTCTTCGTGAGATCCGAGATCTGTGAAATCCCAGCTGCCGACGTCCATGGACCATTCTATATTCGGCTCCATCGAAGGATCGAAGCCCAAAAATTGGTTAGAGGTGCTTGGATTATGAGTCATATCGATGAGTAGGGAGTTTCCTAGGAGAGAGGAAGTTGTTGGGTTGGTTCTAAGCTGCTGAGTTTCACTTGGAAGGAAGCCCTTGCTTTATTTCCTATAGTTGAGTATTGTTCTCTTACTCAAAGCACTTAAATAGTGAAAGTGAGAGACTATAAAGGAAGTACTTCCAGAGACTTAAATTTAAGTAATCTTCTCTTTGTGTATTTGTTTTAGCTAGAATTACAATCTACTATCTAATAAAGGCCATGATAAGCCTTTGTTCTAAGAAATAAAAGAAAGTGCTTTCGTAAACAAATCTATTGTTTTCAAGAACAAAAGGGCTGTTGTGAACCCCCTAATTTTGGTGTAACGACGACCGCTACTTTTGCCACCGAGAAACGAGGATTGAGAGCCGACCTCTAGTTTTAATGTATCGAACAAAAGTTAAGGTAGTGATGTCATAAATTGGCTGCCGTTAAATTTAGGATTACCAGGGCAGTGCCGAGGATTGTACAGACGCACAGTTTTTTCATTTTTTCATTTTTTCAAAGTTCGTATATTAATTATGAGCAATAGTTGGCTTTTACAGTTAGTGACAGTTTCATGCAGTGATATGAGGAAAAGAGTATACAGTTTGGATTTATTAATTTTGTGTTGATCTACAATCCGTGTTCGCAATTTGCAGGAAGCCCCAAAAAGGGAAAGCAAGGATGATATTGAGGCATAGTTCTCGTCTTTGGCAGACTAGATTTTTCGACAGCCTCTAATAAGTGCGTCAAAAGTAATTTGTTACAAGCTTCTAATTTTCGTGGCGACGATGAAATCTGAGATCTTACCGTGGTCCTTTTTCATGTGTCTGCCGCAATTGAGTTCGACGAAGAATGAACGCTTACACTCCAGGCATATGTGTTCTCCATACCGTAGTGTATTTCCATTATATGGGCCCTGAGTTCTGACTCCAACCTGAACGCCTCAATACAACCTTCCACTGCACAATGATGAGGAGTATGCCCACCATTGAGGTGTTGATGTAAGTTTCCGCGGTAAGAGAAAGCCCGCTTACACACATGACACTCAAATTTTCCTTTGATGACTCTGGGTTCGGGATAAACTTGGGAGGTTTCTTCACCTTCTCGTCCGACTTCCGTTTCCGATTCGTTTTCGGCTCCCTCTAAGTCGTCAAGATCCAGCTGCTTGAAGCCCACTTGGAATAACCTATCCATAATTTCCCGGGGGCTCGAAGGCGGCACTTGACTTTCTTCTTCTAGCCAGCCCTCAAATACTAATTGGAGGTTGAGGTGCGCTTGAGACTGAATCTGCGTTTGAGTTTGGACATTTTCCAGTGCAGACTGGTAGGGAGATGGCGGTGCCTGGTCGTCACTGTCAATGTCATTGAGAAACATACTTGGACCTTTTCCAGAGCCTGCTACAATCGGCATTGGGGTTTCCAGGTCGATGTATTCCTGGCTCGTTTCGAAATTGTATTTCCCTGGTAATGGCAGAGGAGGCAAGGGTGCTGTTTCCTCCCCGCCCATATCCAGATCCCCAAGGGATTCGAGGTTCATTTCCATTCTGAAATTGGATATCTCCATCGTCGTTGAGGTATCATCGGTGATCTCGCCAGATTTGGATATAGCTGGCTGGCAGGGGGTCTTCCGTCGTAGATGTCTCTTGAGTTCTGATTTGGCGAAGAAGGCATAACCACACTTCCCGCATATGTGGTTCCTTTTGCGTCTATGGACGCTGCGAATATGCACATTTAGAACATCTTTGGTGGTGAAGCGGTTCACACACTCCGGACAGCGATGTTTCTTGGCTTTAATGCCCCTTTTGCCGGCAGAGGCAGCGAACTGTGGCGGAATCAGAGCTTGCTTGGTTGTCGGGGAAGTCATGCTCTCCTTGTCCATTCCGGAATCTTTTTTTAAGTCTATTGGAAGATCAGATATCATAAATTGGCCAGCGTTGGGTAGAGCGGCCATGATTCTGTTGACGTTCGAGGCGTCGGATATCATAGACTGGTCCACGTTGAGTAGACTGTAAATACTGATTCTGTTGATGTTGATAGTAGCAGACATCTTAGCTCGGTCTAGGTTGTGTGGATTTTCCATATTGATTCTGTGGATGCTCATGGAAGTTTTGTAAAAATCTGGACAGCCGTTAATTTACTTAGCGGATAGGATAAACCTTAGCTTTTATGTTTCCCAAGCAGGTTCTGTTCGCCTGGTGTCCTCGTTTGGAAACAGTCAACGCTGCCCACTGAACAATTGGTAATTGAAATCTGAGAAATATACCAGATGTCTTGGAACATAGCCAAGAATAATAAAGGCATGTATAAAAGGCTTTGTGCGATTGTGTCTCGCCCAGGCTCCAAAACCACACTCTCTCTCCAAGGACCATAACAAATGGCTTTATTACAGACAATTCCAACAAAACACTCCTTCAGCAAAGCCACTGTACCTGCAAATAAAAGTACCGGTGAGCAAGCTTAAAGCTTGCGGGCAGCATTTCAATATACCACTTCAGAGAGGGGTGTTCTAGAGCACCGAGGGACCTCCACGTGACACTGCTCTCTTCCACTTCCTCCACAAAAAGGATCATTACATATGACCACATCTCCTTCACTTACCTGATATACCCCCATAGCGATGTTTGCTAATATTTAGAGGCATCGACCGCTATTGGAGCTGTGCGGAACATCAAGGCTTTGCTTTTACTCACTTGTTTAGTCGCGCGCAGGTGAAGAGTAGATTTTATCAATATAGAGTAAAATCATAGTTGTTTGTCAGGCGAATCACGGCTTTGAGGTTAAAGTTCACAATCTAGCACAAAGTTTATTTGGGAAATGGAAAGTATTCTTAACAAAGCTTGGTTTATTCTCTGGTTCCTGCAGCCCACGAAAGGAAGGAGGTACGATACTGGCCGGGACCTAAGTTCGTTAGTACTCAAGTAACCTCTTTTGGAGCACAAGGAGTCTTGAGGTTTTGATGAGAATAGTAAGCACTGTGAAAAAAGAAGCCTCTGCCACATCTTGCGCAATTCCATCTGATCTCATGTTGGTGAACCCCGCGAAAGTGTTCACTGAGTGCCCCCTTCGTCTTGTAAGACTTCCCACACTTTGGGTTCGGGCACCGGAATGGCCGCTCATCGTTTTGGTGCTCGAGGTGTTCTTGAACTTCTTCTTGGTTACTCAGATGACAAGCAGAAGGGATAGCAGTTGGTAGAGGAGCGAAGGGGGATTTTGCGGGCTTGCAAGGCATCTTGCGCTGCTTATGGATTTTGAAATCAGCATGCCAGAAGAAACCCTTTCCGCAAATTCCGCAGGTGAATCTCATTTCCCGCACGTGGACGCCTCGAATGTGTTCAGCGAGATATTTCTTGGTCTTGTACCTCTTTCCACATTGTGGACAAGGAAATGGTCGCTCCCGGGCTTCTTGTTCTGCATACCGTTCAGCTTCCACAGCGGAAAGATAATGGTCCCAACTTTCTGGATCCATAATTTCAATGGGATCGAACAGCCTCCGTTTAGGGCCATTCTAAGACGGGAATGAATATAATTCTGGTCGCCGCTCTTCTGCTCCCTGCGTTTCCCTTCTGGTATCTGCTCCTTCAGTTTCTGCCCCAGCTCCTCGTTCCAGAGAAGTGTCGAGTTGCGGATGAGATTCAATCTCACTCAAGGGGAAGCCACTCATGTTTTCATCCGGATATGTGTCTTGGATTATGTCCGTAATAGGTTCCGTGGCGGGCAATCTATCCATACCGCTATATCCTCCTGTGTCTTGGTTGCTTTGAGACATAACATCTAAAAGGTATGTTGCTTCGGAGTATACTGGGGGGAGCGTAAAGCCTTGGTCCATCTCTAAAGCTTCGGTCAGCTCCAATGGAGAATAATTTTCATATCCCATAAAGCTGTCGGCGGTTAACAGAGTTTCCATGCTGAAATTCGTGTATGTGCATTTCAAGGAAGTCATTTACTGCCTTCATTTCCCCTGCAAAGAACCCCAACCTATATTTCACCAATTTACCCTGTTCTCGCATCAAAGATTCAATGTCTCATTTTCGAGTTTCGAGGTAGAGAGGAGTATCTCAGCAATATAGAACAATAAGTGAATGGAGGAACAAAGGTATGCATAACTCTTTGCTCGCTCGTATATGGGGTAGCCTGCAACAAGTTTTTTTTTACAAGGGATATAAGAAAGACAAGGAAATTCGGACAAGGGATATCTTGAACAATGCCCATTGTTATTCTGCCTCTATTCGGCATCGGTAGCCGAACCTACGCAAGGGGCTCGCTTAACCTATACTACCTCTGCCACCAAAGAGACTGTTTTATTCCTGCAGCCCCTGAATACCCATATATTCTATGTTAATTCCCTCTCTAGTTTGTTCAGTTCTAGTCTAGAGACTCGTATCGCGGTCACTTCAACATGAGTCGAGGATGAGTAGCCTGAGCACACGTTGAGTAACCGCGTACCTTGGAAGAGATCTGATTTATGCGCAGTGTGCAGCGCATGGGAAATGGCACTAAAAGAAGTAACAAAAATGTGGTGGTTAGGTGGAAAGGAAGGAGTGTTATTATTAGCGTCTCATTAAGTGAAACTTCAATTAAACACTCTGCCAAACAAAGTCCACTTCCACTGTATCAGTTGCATCAGTGGCAATAAACACCTTCTGTTGAACTGACCCGGCTGGTATAGCCGCAGCATAGAAGGTGTTGCTTGCACCGTACGCCAATGAGCCATCAATACTCTGCTGGATATCAGTTTCCACATTTTCAAAACGTGATCAGAAATCTTGAAGATAATGCTTACTGAGAAGATACCTGCTGTGTTTCCTGCTGCACATGAGAATGCACCTGCGATGATGTCACATGGCCCTTTGCTACTTGTGAGCGTGAATCCTGATCCTGCACATATTCAGTTCGGGTTTACTCGGTGATTAGTAAGGAGGAACCGGGTAAACAGAGACATACCGGAAGTTGCTGCTGTGTATGTCGCACATGTTCCAGTCGTGTACCATGTGCCAGCGCTAATCAGACACCCTTTATTGGCGCCACCAGTATATGCTTGCAAAAACCCCTTTCCTAGATAAGGCGTTCCTGTCGAGGTCGACGTAGCTCCGCTGCTGGTGGACGTGGATGTGGGAGCGGGCAAGTATTTCGGCACATAGCTGATACCTGTGGCTGCGCAGTTTGACATGCTCCCATCTGGGGAAGTCGGGACAAATTCCCCGGTTTGCACGCTGCCGAGCACGTTATAGTGATACCAGATCTCATCGAGTTGGCCGCCGCTGCACGAGATCGTGGCGGGGAAGCCGTGCGCAGCCGTTAATGCGTCCTGGATCTGGGCAAAGGTGTAGGTAACTGTGGTCGAGGGGACAATTCCCGCATTTGCGAGCGTCTGAAGTATGTCAACTACTGAAAATGTGTGGAAAGATCTCGACGTACCGCATAACTATCTAATCCCTTGAAAAGAGAGACTGCGATCTCGAAAAAATCAACTACTTCTTCTTGGCCAGTATAGCCGTTGTAGCAACTGGGATTCAATGTGCTGATACAAGTTCCGTGCTTGTCCCACTCGTGTTCCCAGAAACTCTCGTCACTTCCCTGGTAGTCTTTCCAATAAATGTTCATGTACGTCAGCAGATTCGCTTTGCCGTATGACTGGAGAATTGCCGTGATGTTAGTGTATTCACGTGAAGCATCACAGTTGGCATCATAAGTGCCATCGCAGTGATCTGGCCAGAGACCGTGGATGGTCCAGGAGTTATTTGGTCCTTGAAGTTGGCATTAGCCCGAGATCCTCTTCTTTCAAATATGTGAGAAAATTTTGAAATTTTGAAGATTTCACATACCAGTACTAGGAGCAGTATCCCAGAACTGTGTCAACAGGAGCTGTCCACCTGGCGCATTAAAACAGCACAGGTCTTCCAACACGGTCGTATTATGACAGCTCAGGCTTGGATTCAAACAGGTTTTCGGTCCAGTGGGAAATGTTGGTGTGCTGGTCGGAGCGCTAGATGTGCTTGTGATGGAAACTGAAGTGCTGGACGAATCACTAGAGGAAACAATCGAAGTTACCAGTATATTTGAAAGTGAGGACGTCGCGGTTGCAATACAGCTACACGCACTGCTCACTCGACTTGCAACATTGCCTGTGCAAGCTGCAACAGCAAATAATGGGATTGCGCTGGCTGCTGTTACGGGGCCGGATGTGAAGGTCCCACAAAAGGACACCGCTGCTTCGAGGCCGTCGGATGCGCGCAGAGCTCGAAGGCAGTTGTCTGAATTACAACTGGCTGCCACCTCAAATGCAAGTAAAAGCAGAGGCAAAAAGAGGAAATAATAACGGGACAACATATTGAGAGCGCGAGCAGGAGACTTGAACAGGCTGGATGATCTACAACAACGACGTATGGAAATACTTTATATCCCACCCCTTGGTCCCGGCCCATACTTTTTGAGCGGCCAGTAGAGAATTGCTGCAGGAACAATCTCAATGGCGCGCCAATGAAGGCTCGATGTGTGCATGGGGTACTACCATTGGCGGTAATTCGATCACAGCTCTTGCCAAGCTTCCACGGCAAGAATTCCTCAGCGAAAGGGGAAGGTGGGCTCAAGCGCATTATAGGCGAGGGCCGCTAAATAGGGGGGCTCGATGGGAGTACAGTAAGCAGGTGCTTGGCAGCCCCTGCGAAATCTGCCAATAGCATCGCTTAGCCTGGACACGCCTAACACGTGATTCTGGAGCACACCGTGCGCAAGAGCCGAGCCGCAAGAAACACTTCTTGCACTCGGAAAGAGCGGGTATTCAGAGGTATCTTTAACTGTAGCTTTTTGAATTAAGTTCAGTACAGTTGAGAAGAAGTATATCTTCACAAATATTGCATTCTGGATCTCGGATAGTGCCGAAGTTACTCGCTAACCTGGCCACTAGCAAACCGCGGAATAAATTTTAGAGTCATCTCGTGGCTCGTGGTCCCACCGCTTCTTTCAGTCATAATTGATGAGTCAATGAGATGACTGGATCGATGTTGCCAAAGCTAAGCCTCGCCTCCGCATGCGAAGCCCACGATTACCGATTCATATAAATCGAGATGTTTCTCGAATTGAGAATGGAAGAGTTGAGGGAACTACATGTCGGACTCACGAGAGCCGGCTCCCACCAATGTCCCAGAATGGCGCAGAAATGCGATAACGTCAGGCAATTCCTCGTCAACAAGGCAATTCGCGAAAAGACCGAAAGTCACGGCGAGATCGAAAGACCATCGCTTTATCCGAGAGAACCCGAGTGAGGTTCGGGAAAGATATTCTTGGGAACAGCCAACAGGGCCGACTCCAGAGATATCCCTCAAGTCTCTAGGTCCTGATATTGTATGTACATTCCTGAGTGTGTTCCTTCTCATGGAGATATCTTACCGGAGAAATTGAAAATTTTTACAGAAAAACTGTGAGAGTTTTGCTCGGTGGAGTTTCTTAACGAAGTAACGCTGATTCCTTTGTGCAGTGGTTCCTCATATCCTCCTTCATCCCCAAACAAACTCTCTTGTCAATCTGCCAGACATCCCCAGCGCTTCACGCTCAGGTTATATCAGTACTCTATCACACTATTGACCTTAGCGCCCATGCCCCTCCCGATGACAACACCGTCTCCTTCAGGGATCGTCGCAGAACATACGAAAGACAGTACATGTTTACGCATCAAATCTTGCTCAATCCAGGGTATGGTCAGTATGTCCGCTCTTTGAAGTGGACTCTAGGAGTCGAACGTGAACAGATCTGGTCTATGGCATGCTATGATCGTAGGTATTGGACAGCTCCCCCCTCGCAAGCCAACAGAGTAGTCTGGAGGAGTTCTGAGACTGTTGGAAAACTGTTTGAGTGTTTGACTCAAGTAGTTAACCTGGATATTGAATGGGCGAATAGAATTGGTGGGATAATAGTAGTACCAGAGGGCGAGGGTCTCTTTCCTGCAGTCCAAAAGGTCAATTTGGTAAGTTTAGTCACATTTCTTACCCAAAATTGCCTTGGTTACGAGATTGATATTTGGAATTTAGGGCAGTACCCCAAATGCATCTGCTATTCTCTCCGGCGCAAACAACATGCCCCTTTCAATTTTAAAACTGGGACCCTACGCTGTCACACGCCCAGATTTCTCAGGTCTCACACGGAATGCCACTTCCTCAAGCAGCAGCTCAACAAAACAAAAGCCTAAGAAATATCCCGACATACTGCACCCATGTTTCCTACTGCGATGCAAAGGCCTACACACCCTCTCCGTCACAATCCAGCACCTTGACACCAACTCCGAAGTTCGAGACTTCTACACTTCACTCGCTACCTTCCTGCTCACCATCCGTCCCCGCTCTTTCATCTTTAATCTCGTAGGCATGAATGGCCGGCCGCTTCCTCAACCGATGTCTGCACACCTGCGACATAAGGGAGATACATGTCCTCGCTGTCATGTAGCAGTGGCTGCTGCTCCTGATGGCAGTCCAGTCCATATCTCTGGGCTTACAGCGGCAAATGTATTTCCGGATAACGTTCAACATTTTTTGCTCCCCTTGTTGGAACAGGGCTGGGATGGTTTGCAGAAGATTGAGATTAGAGGCGTCATGAAGAGGTTGCTTGTGGACGTGAGGAAAGAGTTAAGTGGAAGCGGGGTGGCACTTGCTGGGGATGGATGGGAGGAGGAATGGAACTCCGATGAAAATGCGATGACTTGAGTATGGACGCGGCACGACCCATACCAAACCTCCCCCCGTAGTTGCCTGGGCGGCTTGTTAATTCAATACGACATTGTAGTGTCCTTAATCTAAAGACAGCCGTGCATTCTTCTATAAAGCAACTAGCCATTATACTAATTCCGGGAGTTCTAAAGCTTATCTCTACTAATACTGGGACCTTAATAGGCTAGGGGCACGCAGTCGCGCGCCAAAGGCGCGTGACTGCGTACGAAGACAACGGCATAAAGTGACGGGAATACAGGACATGCGCGCAAGTTCAGGGCTCTCAGGGTACTATAAACGCAATTTCTACCACAATTAACCACTAAAGCCACCTATATCTCCAGGCCTCTGCCCTAAAAGCGTACCGTAAGCAATTGGCAAGATTGTGGAAAATCTTCAAAGGTTATAGCGTTGCTGGCGGGGCAACTATAGCGCTCGGGCGTTATAGGGGAAGCTTTTATAGGGCTATTTAGCGAATTTGCCCCTGTAAACACAGGGGGCCGATCTTGAAAGGTGGGGTACCCCTTGTAAGTGTCTCACAGCCTTAAATTAGGGGGGTAAGTCCTAGAGTTATAGGGCTTTATAGCGGGTATAAGCCTTTCAATCACAGGTATTAGTGCCTTCGCAGTCCTGAACCTGTCCGTACGCCCTGTATTCCCGTCACTTTATGCTGTTGTCTATATACAAAGCGCATTCACGTGCGAAGCGCATTTATATTTAGAGAATATTTGTATACGGAGCGAATTTATATATAAAGTGTATTTATTTACATACGGAGCGCATTTACATGCTCTTGCCTAAATAATATGCTTCTTAAGCAATTATAACGGGTAAGGGAGGGATGTGTTTCTTACCTGCCTTTTATATATATACCGGGGGCTAAAGAATAACTAAATAAAATTAGAAATAAAAAAGCCTTATATTATAATAAAATTAGAAAAATTAGCTTGCTAAGCACGGGAAAAGGGGGCTAAAAGAGGATGAAATTCTTAATTATATAAGTACTTTTCTAGAACCTGCCCTAAACAGGTACTTATTTATATATATCTTAAAGAGAGTTCAGATTAAAAATTACTACTTTGGGCAGAGACCCCTGTTTTGGGAATTCTATATAAGCAGAACAGGTGGGTATATAGGAATTAATAGAAGTATACTAATATAATATATATAAGTATTAATATTCTTTTTATATTTTTAAAGGAGAGTTATATACTAGAAGTATTTATAACTAATATGCAACAGTCCTCCCTAAACCCTAGCTATAGAGTGCTCCCCCATAGTGTAATGGGGATATAAAACAAGTAGTAATATATAGAGTAGAATGGGCTTCCATAGCGTGGGATCACAGCGTACGAGAACTGGAATTAGGGAGTGAAGGTTGGTTTTTAAGAACTAAGAAGGAAAGAGGGGTAATATATAAGCGGGTTGCGGACTGCGGACGTCCGGAGGTCACATGACCGCGCCACGTGACTAATAGGGGTAAAATCCCCACCACAATAGTACTATATACAAGAATGCCTGCCTATAACGAGCCTACGGACCAAAGTCCGTGTTTTTAGCAATATTTTCAGGTATCCCAAAACCAAAGTTGCCATATTCACTTTACAATTTCTTAATAACTATAGATTGGAAATTTACACAATATTACAGTAAAAATCACTGCTTTGGGGCTAGCGCGATCGCTTTGCTTAGTCAGGACCTGTGCACTTACTTCCTGAAGCTTCACACTTCACTCAAGCTCTTTTCTAGCTAGTTCAATTAACTCTTTTACTATTCAATGCAACTCCCTACTCTGCGATCTTTACGTGCATTACATAATTTAAGAGCATATGATAAAGGAAGCTAGAATGAATTTAGAAAGGCTTAATAATTAATTTTGAATATAAAAGAAAAGTATCCAAAATAGTTATGGGGGTCGTTTCTTAGCGAAATGCCCTAAAAACACAGACTTGGTCCGCAGGCTCATAAGCACCCTAACCATTAGTGTTCCGTCCAGTTCGAAATGGTCAGAAAACCCGCCAATGTTATTGTTTTTGGAAATCGCCGAGAAGACTGAATCCATCGCCAGCCTGGGAGGATTCATTCGAGACAGAGGAAGTGCAATCTGCAGCAACTACGGAATATGAAATACATAGCGCCAGACCGAGAAATTAAATGGGGTGAAGTTGCATTGTGCGGAGATATTGGACAGTCGTTTATATAAGTGTAAATAAAACAGGGCTACGATATAAAGAAGATAGTCTCTTAGTAAGTAGTATTCGCGTTTGCTTAATAGAATAGGATGGTTTTCTTCGGAATCGAGGGCTAGTTGCGAAAGTGTTCCATACGAGTTTTGGTGTAAAAGGGGGTTTCGCTTATTATGAGCTGGTGATGACTTTAGGGTGGGAGGAACATCTATTAATAGAACGTGGTCTGCGACGACTCAACACCTCCTCGTGGTGCAGACTGGAAACCTATAGCTTTCTGAGGTAAGCTATAGGGCTAAGATTGAGTCAAAAAAACGACGCTCTTTGAACGGTGCAATTCGACTGCATCGTCCCGAATCGACTGTGACACGACCTGATCTCGATATCCTTCGATACACCCGCTCGCACACCGGGCGCTCCCTCGATAATACCTCTCGATCTCTTACCGGAGTCCTCTCTTTTCAGCTAAGATGGCCTGCTAGCCTTGGCAATACCGAATAGTAGTGGTCGGTACATCTCTTAGAATAGATTAGAATCTTACGGACATACCGTATTGCCTTATATATCTATATAATATATCCCTTTACAAAGATCTTCTTGTTTTAGAAAGTGTCAAATTACGCTGTAGCTTATGCCCTTAAGCCGGCAAGTATCTCTCGAAAGGAAGGCAGTTCTAATTCTTTGAATTAGAGGAATATGCCCAAATAAACCTCTATATTTACGAGTAGTAACTGAGGTATGCAAGACTCAGGGTTATTACGGATAGTAATATGGAGTATATATAAGAGATAGAGTGGCCGGGGTCCTCCTTTCTTGGACATTATCCCACTTACGAAGCACTATCGGTGGGACCACTTTTGTATATATTGCAGCCTGAGGCGTGTCCAACTCTCCTCTCTTTAGCCTGAAAAACGTACGAGCTAGTAAGGAATCAAAAACAAGAACTTGCCATCTATTAGTAGAACGTGCAATTGAAGGGGAACTACTAGATGCGGTTTCACTTAAGTCATGTAGATTACTAATAAAATATACAAAGGTATAAGGGAGCAGCCTGGAAATATAGGGGGCTTTAGTGGGTGAGTATGGTAGAAAGTTGCCTGAAAGTGAACCAGCGTACAAATGCCCTGTAATTCCGTCACTTTATGCCGCAATCTTCGCGAGTACTGTGCATTGAAATTGCTTCTTTCTTTATCGCCACATTCGGGGCTCAGCTTCGGTCGGGTTAGCCAAAATGCTGCGACCAATGTCGGGAAGCCGACGGGTTGCATTTCGGGAAGGATCGCCACCGGACAAATCACACATTCCTAAAGGATCGTCGATAACGCCCGTGATCGTGATTGCCCCAATAGCGAGTAATTGCCCCATGCAGCTGAGCTTTTCGCTGCATGTGCCGAGCTTTTGGCCGGAGACACCCAGTGAGCTCGGTCAGGTATCAAATAGCGAGCGGTGGTGAAGTTAATACACGCATTCCGTCTTGCAATTCCAAATGCTGTGCCGTCTGGGTCACCCATGATCGCAAATCTATTTTTGGGAAAGTAATAACATGTGCTGATATTGGGCAGTGCCTCAAAGTGTGCTGGCAGAAGTCTTTCGGGAGTCATGGGGCTTCTAGGATGCTCTAAAGACGGAAGCATGCGATAAGGATTCGAGAAGGAAGGTACCCAGGTCATTATCATTATTCTAGAACGCCTGTAGCCCAACACCCCGTATATTTTGCGTCAATATCAGCGAGTCCCACCATTCCTAATGAAAAGGAGAAAGTAATCTAACAAGGCCTCGTGATGTTCAACAGAGCGCATAGAAATACTTGAAGAATTAACAAACACTCAACTTAGAAGTATTCATAAGTTCAACCAATTTGCCCCCACGCGACGTTCTTGTGCTCTTTCAGTGTCTCGCACGTGAGATGCAAACTCTGATACAAGTGATGTGTAACAGCACTGTGCATTTCAACACCCTTTCTTGACTCACTCTCCATCAATGTCTCCTGAAACTTTGTGAGCAAACCCTTGAACTTCTTCAGGTCCCGTAGAACAATCACCAACTGCAACCATCTGATATCTTCGCTGGCGACTCGGTAGATACCAAAGGTCAGCGGCATTGGCTGAAGTTGATTGCCTGATCCAGACATGGGTCGAAAGTAATTCTTCGACGTGTCTTGGTAGATCAAAATGATTCTCTGAAGGATGGTCCCTAAGAGCATGGTCCTTAGGCTGGAGTCGGTTTGGGAGTTGCATATTGGACAGTTAAGTGTCGTTGAACATGTCTCCATAGCTTTCTGGTTGATGTCCAAAACAATATCGAAAGACGAAGCTGGGGGTACAGAGCTGAAGTTGCACAGTTTCTGGAGTGCTTGGAGACAGGTATTGAAGCAGTTACAAGTCGCGGTCCTGGCCAAACACTCATCCAGGAAGAGGTCAATCAATGGACTGAGTTGAGGAGCGGAAGAACCAGAGTTCGAAAAATGGATGGAGTCTGTCTGATCAAACCAGGGCGCTACAGAGGATGGGTCCGAATCGTCGGCCATGGACTCTGGTTGTAGTTGGAGAAGGTTATCAATGTAGGGCGAAGTGATGTCTGTCGGCGGTATATTCGTCCAATATATAACTGGGTCTTGTAGATCCGCATTACCCTGCGAACTGCTTGCTTCAGATCCACTCTGGTCTCCGGTTATTAGCATGACCGGCGGTGGTATCAAACACCTATTCGCTGTTCCGTCTACTTCAGTTGTTGGTGTTGTCGACCAGTCTGTTCCTAGGAAATAAGTTGTTGGGTCCTCGGTATCAATGTTCATCAACGGTAATTGATAATTAACACTGGGGGAGTCTTCCGATATCGATGAGTCTTGTGATCTGCTAGGCCGACTCCCGTTGCCGTCTGACTTTGGTTTGCCCGCTCGAGAAGATGGGCTGTACTTGCAATCTGACCCAAACACTAGGCATCGAGAACACAGTGGGCGAGCTTTGCTGCATCTGACTTTCGCAAGAAAACACGTATCGCAAGATGCCCTCAATTTCGGGTTCTGGTGGTAGGAAGAAGCCCGTGGATGCATTTCGATAACGGGAGCCAGGGTTCAGTGCTAGAAATATAGACGGCCTTGCTGAAAGTGTTGTAGATCCGGAAGATCATCAGGAGAAAGTTCCGATGGGGAAGAGACACTCGAGCCTTCAATGCGGTAGACTGAAACGACAGTACATGCCAAACGACGGACGATATGAATAAAAACGGATATCGAGGCTGCAGGAAGGATTATTGAGGAAAAGAATGAGGCTTGTAGTGGTGTCATCGAGGTAAAGATCTCCCACCAGCCCTGGACTCCTGTGCAACCTTAATACATTCGCTGTGTAGAGAGCGAGAAGACGTACAGAACGTGTGCCGGACGGGAGACTCCACATGTTGCTTCCCTCAAAGGATTGAAAGATAGTTCGGACGTCCGTGGATGGAAGGAACACGACGTATGAGTATGTTGTCTCAGGTTTGACCTGATCAACGTTCGATAGCGAAAGAAGCTCGGAAGGTTCGGACAGAAAATGGCATCGAGGCTGATTCCGGACGCAGGGGTCAGCCATGTTGAGCAATGCGTGCATGCTGTGGACAAATGGGGGGTCTTATGCATGCACTCAGCCCCAGGGCAGATGCTGTCCCTGTCCCAAGGTTGGTCCTTCCCACGCTGAATAAGGCGGGCGGCTTTGAAAACCGTCCATTTTGCAACTGTCAGAAATCTCTAGGTGGTGTGTTGCGATTTTTTTTTTAGCACGACGAGACGATTTTCGAAGCGCTCGCTTGGCGAAATGGGCAGTTTTCGAAGCTATCCTGCCTTCGGACTCCGTATAGGGTCCTATGCTAAAGTATTGCTGTAATCGGTAATATAGCAGTTACTGTATACGTTACCGCCAAGTCACTGCCCAATAACACCCCATAATCTTACAGCCTAATTAGGTTGTAATGATGTCCGATTTAGACCTTTGATCTTCCTTGAACTGCTTCAGGGTTCTCAAGATCGTAGCGTGGTAACCAGCGACCTTAGCTAGCGCAAGTCAAGGTTCACCTGCTCGACCAGGAACTTTAAAGTCCTCTCTTGGGCTCAATCTGACGCTGCTATTAGTTCCCGACCGCAACTTCAGCCTCAAATAGATAGCTTAATGGCCAGTTTCTTACTGTAAATCCCCAAACCATCCCCCTTTTGGAGCTCGCTTACCGGTTACTTCCTACATGGCTTTTTAATAATTAATTGGCACCTGACTGCCTCAATTAGCACCTGATTATAGGCCTTCACTCGGCGAAACAGCTAGAATTACAGGGTTCTCCTGCCAATCAGCTGATTACAGCGTGATTGATTGTAAGGTCAGCTGATTACGGTGAGTCTCCTGCCTTCTCACGCCTCTATACGGCCAGCCTCTCTCTCGTCCTCTCTCCTTCTATTGCGCTAGGAGCAATTTTGGGGTGCAAGACGAAATTATTAATGATTGACAAGGCCTAAATAACTAAGATACATCCGGTGACGCCTGACGCTTGCTCGTGCTCTGTCACGTGTGCCCATTAAAAGTATTCTAGTTTCCTTTCACTTGTGCTTTGGTTATATTATTTGATTCTCACTAAAGTATTACTTATTATAATATATGTCTTTATTAAGTATTAGTAAAGAATTATAATTTATAATATATTTATTATAAACTATTAAATATAATAATTACGTCTTTAATAATATAATTAAAAACTTAGTTTTTTATTAAATATAATATAACTAGTCTCTAATTCTCTTTTTTTATAAATTAATAATAAGGAAGTCTTTTCTTATTTTTTCTAACTTATAAAAGAAATATTAACTAAGTAATAAAATATTTAAAGGAATTATTATTGAGCTCTTAATATAATTAAATTATTAAATCTTAAGAAAAATAAGTCACATGAAGATGTTGAGAGTTAGTATAAAGCTGGAGTCGTACCAGTAACGGCGCATGAAGCTCCACGGAGACCACAGCCGCCATCAGCGCCAGGTATTCCTTTTCCAAGGTTTTGGAGGCCCCTCACATATTTCCACTTCCCCCTTTGAGTAGGAGCTTTCATTTGACTCACATCCTAGTTATCACCCCTGCAAAGGTTATGGATGTTCTCTTTTGCACGAAAGCCTTGACAACGTACGAGATGTACTCATCCAAAGGTTTCCTCCAGCTCCACTCAATTCTGAATGGGAGTCAACGTGGGAGTGATCTGAGATTACCAAAGAGCTAATCTTGCAAGAAGATATCTTAATCGCACTAAACAAATTTAACGACAGACGGTGTGCGGCAAGAGATCAAGGCTTTACTCGACCACGCTCAACAAACCCAAGTCAATACCCTCCTAGACTATCAGATCACAAACGAAGAGGACGAGAATTTTGAATGGTCTCTTACACTGCCCGATTGTATGTTCAAGAGAAGTTGGTTCGATCAAAAGGAATTAATCAGTATCAGGGTCTACCTGAAGCGCGCTCCTCTTAAGGTTCCCAATCTGCGTACACTATATCGAAAAATCGAAAAACCGAAGGAAGAAAGGAGGAGGCAGGCTTATCAAGTCCCCCTATCCGCACGCTATGTTGCCAATGCATCACCGGCGACAGTAGATCGAGAAGAAGTAACATGAGCTGGGATTCCGGCTCGAGGCGAAGTTCAGGGAACTCGAGGCCTTTTAAAAGCGTTAGCTAGTGGAAGCTAAACCCGAGGGAAAGAGATGCAAGCTCCATTTCACATCACGGGTGGGTCATATTGTCAAGATTCCGTACTGGTCTATTCTCATCCCAGAGATGAGCGCGAGTCATAAATGCCGTCCGAAGTTTCAATTCCAGCGAGATGGTGCGAGCTGGATTCTCTTTGCATAAAGCTTCAAAATTAAACTGGTAAGTGATTTCTGTCTGAAACTGATGGACTGCAGGTTAGGCAATGCTAATCAAGATGTTCAAAACAACGGGAATTCCTGAACGCTCAAGCTGCGTATGGTCTGTCCGTGCTGTTCTCACAAGTTATTGTCCTTCGAGATTCACAGTTCGGAACAATTAAAAATGCGAAAATTTCGAAGAGGAACAGAACTGCATCTTAAAAGCAATCTCGGAACAACCGAGCAACAGTATGGAATCATGGCCATATATACCCTGGTAGATACCTCCAGCCTCCCCCCAACCATTCCTCCTACCAACTATTCTTTCCATCGCCATTCTCAACCCGCGCCGTCTTCCACATCACAAAGCCCATCAACTCCTTTGGTTACTCGCAAGATGCCGAAGTACAACAAAATTCGGGCCGACGAGGATGAGGAGAGAGGAGCAAAGATGCAAGGAAAGGCATCGTTCTCCGATGAACTCGCAGAGACACCTACCACCAACACACCAGCCGTATGTGTCGAGATTGGTGGCTCTAGCAAGCCATGCAAGAGCGCAACTCAGCCAAGCCTCGACGAGTTGTTATCAGAATACGTTGTCCCAACCCCATTCGTCAACGGCGAGGAAAGAAAACGAGAGACTGCCAAAAATGAAGCTCCCCAGGAGGATGAAGGCATTTCTGAATATCAGCTCTTGGATTCGGATGGTGAGTATGAGGGCGAGGAAGAGTACGAGGACAAACAAATCACCCGAATGTTCCGACCGAGTCTTGAAGAACGGATTGGATACCAAGCCGGCTTCACTACCGGACATGCACTCACCGCTCAGCTCAACGAGAGTGAGGACAGAGTCGTGCTCATGTGGCAAGCATCAAGCATTCGACAAAGGAAGATTGATTCTTTCATCGCTGAAGGTTTATCTGCCCAAGGAGCTGCTTTTCAAGCCGATGTGCTCTTCGAATACCAAAGAATGAGAACACGAAAAAGCTCATATGACGCAGAGATCTCAGCATTCTTACAAAAGTGTGATCACGATTTAGCATCTGAACACTCTTCCGCCTTGTCTGAAAACAACGAAACGTATGCAGGCCAAGAGGAAGATGGCCTCGAGCCTCTCATCAATAGAGATCTCGAGGACAAGGTTTGGAATGCATGGTGTGCGACCTGTGACCACACTCCTGAAAAGATTGCCAAGTACTTTGAGAAGCGTTTTCTCTGCGGTGAGGAAAAGGAAGAGTACCAGGCTTTCGCGGGTGGCATGACTCGGCTTTGGGTATCCCATGGTGACACAGAAGCCGAGGCCACTGGGAAACTGAAAAATTTCTGCGCTTGGGCTGTCCGTAAGCATAAAGCTGAAGCTTGAGAGACTTTCCACCTGAGATTGCTGCTTTATTCGTTTGTCCGATGCGTTGCTGCATGATAATGAGAGTCGTGGCTTCTGACACTGCGACAAAGGCAAGAGAGTCTTGCCTTCTTTATCCTTAGAGAGAGATTAGATTATTAATAATAAATCCTATGAACAACAACACTCTTCTGACCCTCTGATATGACAACGTGATTTGTGGCCAAGTTCGAATCTTTACTGACATAATATAGTCCTACTTGCAATTTCTGCTCAACGAACCAGGACAAGTGACCCGTGCGCCTCAATCAGCCAGTTTGTTCACAATTCGAGGCTCGACTAATGTGCTCCAAATTTTACGAGGACGCAATAAACGTGTGAAAATGTTAAGCCAAACTAGTAAAGCGAAAACCTAGGTTAGGAAGTCTCCACTTTACGTAAAAGTCTCGTCTCGACGCGATGCTTTCCAAATTAGTGCTCACGCTCTGATTTTAATTTATATTATGTAGCCAAATTTCGTAAACAATCAATTATATATCCCTCACACCAAGACCAATACCACTTCCTCCGGCTGCTTAGACTATCTCCTTCTGACCTTCTCTGTCCATTGAACCGCTTCCTGGTCATCTTCAATCAGCCGCAACCCAGTGATAACGGGATCCCCTCTACAAAGCGCAGCGGCAAAGCGCAGCTGCAAAGCGAATAGAAATCTCATCCTTCAACACCTCCTCTTCCTTCCTCAAAGCCTTAAACACACGCCACTGGATCAAAAATCTCGAATCGGCATTGCTGTCAAGTCCAGGATTCCACTCGATTCGTCGAATGATTCGCATTTGATGAATATTCGACGAACTGGATCGAATCGAATTTTCTATCTAAAATTTAAGCAAAATTTTTCCGAATCGAATCCCTCGAATCCGTCGAATATTTAAAGTTCGTCGAATTTCTACGCCTCTCTAAAAGGAAACTTACAAGTTTCAATATAGATAAGCAGGTTTCTAAGGACTTTACTACACTAGAGCAAAATTCGACTAGAATTCGAATTGAATCGAACTCTTCTCTTGAAAATTCGACGGACTTCGGACCGAATCAAGCCCTTTAAGAATTCGATCTTATTCGATTCGAGCGGAGCCCTAAGGATTCAAGTCCTTCAACCACAACATCAAAGATCAGCCCCATTGCTACCCCTGTCTCCCCGGCTTCAGTACACATCTCCCCAACAGAGTGATGTGTCCTATTCGTACAGCAAAAACTCCATAAATCCAAAGCAGCAATCTTCGCAGGCGGTTGGATGGGAAACATACGCCGCCATGAAGCTTCTGGCTGCAGACGAGCAGCCCGACAACTATTGTTGACGAGCCAGAACCAATCCTCTTCGTCAAGCCTGAGGGCGCCGGCGAAGTTACCTAGGAACCATGGGGCTGCTCGTTGTCCATTACCTCTGCGTAATCTCCTCGTGATTTATTCTTGAAGAATGCTGGGAAGAGGAGTGTGAGGAGGGGTTTCAGTTATGGTTGTTGGTCTTTGCGGATATCACCGGGAATCGATCGGAAGAATAACATCTGTTGTAGTGTAGGAGAGTTGTTGATCATGTCGTGCCAGCGATGGTCGACCCTCTGCGCAGCGAGAAGATTGAGAAAGCGCTTCGAATAGCTCGGGCGTCGCGAAAAGCATGGACAGAGCTTGTTGCTCCATAACTTGAAGCTTGAGGGCATGAGAGTATGTATTAGACATTAATCGTTGTGGCGGTTTGGCGAATTTATATGTGTGAAGGACCGACTTGCTGACGAAGAGTCATACGGTGCGTCAGTGGCTCCAATCCGGGGCTGCTCCTGGCCCATGCCAACCGATACGCATCACTGCATCTCTTGTCTACCCCACATTCCGCACACAACCACAAATTGATGTTCAAATCGGAGAGTTAAATGTTACAGGCATTGTAATCCCTTTGAAGCTCGTCAAGTCCCGACAAATAAAGAAAGTCAAGTGCGAAATATGAGCAAGTATCCCTCAGAGAGTCTTTTGGAAGGTGTAATATGACCCCGACCGGTAATTACTTAAATTCAAAACTTGATAATACTATACTGAGTGCTTTCAAACTCTCACCCGAGGTTTCTTGCCCACCTTGTAAACCCCTTAAACCAACCTGAGTCAGCCAATCCTTTCGTTTCTGATCATTGATATTGCATGGATGAATTATTACTAATTTTGGCAACCTCCCGCTGATATTGGCACCATATGCGTGGTAACCTCATCATATTAACGATGTATGGGATGTGGCAGCCAGCCAGAATAATACTGCCTATCGCAAAACGTCTCAGCGATGTGACTTAGCTCACATTCACGAAATGTTCATAGCGGAAGCCGATTTGGCTAACCGTTGGGTGGTTCTCACCTCCAACTCGCTTAGCACGCCTTGTAGGTGAGGGATAGCAACACGCAACGAACAGCGATACGCAAATCTGAGATTTTGGTGGGAATCTCTCCTTTTCTCCCTTTGAATTCTCACAACGCAGCGTAATAAAATAGTATCTAAGTATTGGGAATTGACCCCAAGATATAGGCCCTTTAGCTTAGTAAATTTTAAGTCTAAAAAATTAAGGCGTTATTGTGATGCAAATCTGCCCCATTTACCCATACAAATTTTGGTGCGATTTGCGTATCGCTGTTCGTTGCGTATCGCTATCCCTCACCTACAAGGCGTGCTAGGCGAATTGTAGGTGGGAAACGCCGAACGATTAGCGGCTGTAACGCGAGCATAGAAAAATTATTCACCCTTGCCACAAGTCCACCCACCTCCTAGGAGCGATCTCAGACTCATCTGAAGCTAAAAAATAAATAAAAAACAAAGACTGCGCTTGCAGAGGAAATCATAAAGGACAGGAAAGCATCACAGTCTAAGGACATGAAGAGATCCAGAAATGTACAATTCGGTTTCTATAAAAATCGTCAAGTCGCTGCGTACCACTGCCAGGTGGTGTGTACCTCAAATGCATATTGTACTGTACAAGCACTGCCCCGCCACTCCATCCCACCCCTGCCAACGTGACTATTACCATCACGCCGATGGTAGGATTGATATGCCATGGAAGTGTGCAATTCCCAGCCCGCTCATAACAGTCATATCCCTTGAATCTCGCCCAAAGGCAAACTCATCACGCATAACATCGTGTCAGTTCCGTTCCCTCATCTAATATTTTGGCATACCACCCCTAAAACTCGGACCCCTCGCAATTCCCACCTCCTGCTCACGTTGAACGGGAAAGCTAATCGTGCTTTTGTCCATACTCTGCAATCTGATTGGCCGCATATCCTCGTCGATCTGGTCAAACGAGTCTTCGAAGCCTTTGACCTTGTATTTTCTCATCAAGGGTTGGAGTTCGATGATACCGGCGACGGAAATGCCGATGCTAACTTCGAGGGCGGACCAGAGGAAGACAGGTGCTGCGTCGACTGTTTGATGCTGTTAGTTTCGTTTTGTGAGTTTGGGGGTGGAGGAGCAGAGCAAGAGTGCCTTACAGAGTTGGTCCTTTGAGCTCTTAAGTTTTACGAGTGCGGCGAGGCGGATGAAGTTTGCTACGCTTGCTCTGCGATCTTGTCAGTTTGAGTTAGGGGACATCAAGGGAGGCCGGAACATACAAAACACCGAGGCAGAAGACACCGTAGATATAGAGCTTTAGCCTATTGTTTATACCACGGCCCTTCATCATGAAGAATGGAATGAAAAGGAAGAGCATATCAATCTTGGGGGGAGAGTATTAGCGTTTCCCGCCAAATATCGTTGTATGTCCGGGATATCACTTACGCTGATCGTCACGCTGCAAAGCGCAAACCCCACCAAAATCTCTCCATTGGGCGGCAAGCACTTCCCTTTCTTCAACGGGTTGATGAACTCCCACTTAAAGCTAATTGGCTTGCACTCAAGAAGGAAGTAAAGCACAACAAATGTGCAGATGGCGACATCGAGGAAGATGGCCAGCCACAAGAGGTAAATATGGGACTTCTTCTTGGCCCATTGCAGGAGCGAAGCAGCCAGACTAGCTTTCATAACAGTCGTGAGGACGACATAGATGATTTCCAAGAAGAAAATGAACTGGAATGGTGGAGGTACTTCGTTAACCAAATATTACTTTGAATAGGACAAGAATCGATGACATACTTTCAAGGCATTTGAGACACCGACAATTGTGGCGGAAGATGTATGATTTCCAATTCCACTCTTCACACCCTCAACAAGTAAAGCGAATAAACTGCCAGCCGTCAACTAGAACCATCCATCAGTTATGTAAACCAGACTTTGGGGGACCACAAGGACATACCACAGCGACCATCATTGCAACGTCATTGATTCCGAAGTTCTTAGCTATTCTGGCCTTGACAACTGCTCGCAAGCTGATGAAGAAGACGTTGAGACCTAGGAAGATCGCCGACACGATGATAACAGTGGGGCCTTGCGACGCAGCGACTGCCGTTGTGGTAGCGGGTGTTGTAGTCGACATTTCGTATGCAAGCCTCCAGTACTCGTACACAGAAAAGATACAAAAACAGAAAAGAAACAATAAACGATGCAACGAATATCCACTCGAAAGCAGGATCCAGCCTGCTATCTATCCCCTCCGAAGATCTTTAAATTGTGGGGAATGGTTTCCATTCATATGGTGCAAGCCATTCATTCGTTGTTTCGCTTCCATTTCTCGTCGCCAATGACATTCCGGAACGCGATAATCATCTACGAGCTGAAACTTTTCTGGAATGACAGGCAGTCTGTGCTGTTCAACAGAGGGCAGCGAGGTTAGGCGAGATTTCGCTTTTTAGGTGGTGCTGAAACACCTCGCACCTTTAATCCAACGTTTGGACCACTAAAGGGGTTTCGCTAAGCACTGTGTAACGCAGCATCAAACACGACGCAACTCAAAATGGAATACACTCTGGGATCAGCTTCTGAACTGTAATGCCGTTCAAATGTCTTGGGGCAGTTTTGGATGCGTTTGGCTCCCGCAGAATGCCCTGTCCTCCTGGCACTTTGACCGGGCTCCTCCCATCCGGAGCGATGAGCAAATAGAGGGGAGGCTGATGTCAGAAAACAAGGATTTTGAGAATTGAGTCAGCCTTGAAGATCATCTTCCCATCAATGAAAATCACTGCGCGAATCTCAGAAGAATAGTTCAGCCCGGGTAGGGCGCGGCATGGCGCCGATTGAATAGAAAAACGCACCGTCAGATTCCTGCATTCATACTAGCTCTTGCAGTTTACCATAATTCGTAGCACGAGAATTGGGAATTCTTTGCGTTCCGTTTCCACGATTATCGATAGAGAGGGAGGGAGTGTTCAGGGGGGCTGAACCTTTCAAATTCCGGCGCCACGCTTATTTGACGTGCAGGCACGGATCTCAGATCTGGGATCTGAAAACCGACAACTCTATCTCAGACCTGCACAGCCACACACCAATCAGGTACTGAAACCTGCAGTGAGGTGAAGATCAACTAGACCTGTCCCAGGACGAAATCAGGGGAAATCGACAACTCGTCACGACGAAAGAAACGTCTCCCATCATGCCACCCAGATATGATGAAGACAGAGAAAGCTGGGGTAACCCCTGACCTCGTCCATCGTTCTTGAACTTCAAGCAACTTAGTTCTCCCTTCCAAGAGCACAGAGTCAGAGGAACGGGTTCCATGCTTGTTTGCGCAGCTTTTGTGCGCGATAATGATCACCCCGGGCAGACTCGCACTTAACCTCTTTCTCCCAACATGACTCGAGGCGTGCGATGCAAAAGAAATATTGTGCTCCATGCCTTGTCTAACCTCGCCATCGCAGATGTCAGTCCTCGATCATATGCATCCTTGATGTATGCGTCCGGCGAGCGACTTCGCAGCAAGTTGGCAGATGTTTCGCGGATCTTTAACTTGGATGTTCTAATGGGTGGAAGGTTCGTAGAGCTTTGTAGATGCGATTGAAGGTATAGGATCCGGTGTTCGTCTCATCATGGTCGCCCCTTGCGCGGTCGCATTTTCGAACTTTGTCCGAATTGAGGCACAGCTGGGATACGACAGCGATGCCAGTATATAGCCAAGCTGTAGAAAATAAGGAGTTCTCAGTTCGATCCCATTCCTTGGATGTATGTTCGGCAGTACGGTTGTTTCTGGAGGGGGAGGGAGATGGAGATGTCATGTCTTTGCAACGCGAAGAAATCCCACGACAGATTTTAGAACTAACCTGTACAGGGGTCCCTCGCGCCGTCTTTCACGGCACCTTCGCGCAGCGGCGCAGGTCAAACCTTCCTTCTTCATTCTTATCAATACATCAACCAATACCCCAATACTCCAGCACTTCATTACTTCATCACTCCTTCACGGGGTAATTTGCTCGTACTCCAATCCAGTCCTTTTAGTTCATTCGCGCAGAATCATTATACTGTCAAGCACGCGTCCACGTCCCACAAAGTACCAAGCTCAACGCACCGTCACTGCTGGCTGATTGACAGCGCGCTTCGGAGCATCAGCATCATTTCTATGACGACGGGAACCTAGTACAATATTGATCGAAGCCTTTTAACAGACCAAGTGGTCCAGACGACCGAGCGCCTTCCAGATCCTGGGGCAAAATGTTCCTCTCCGTGCCCCCGCCTCTTCGATTCATCGTATGAGTGGGTTAGGTCGTCCTCTCCCTTGCATTTAATATATCCATATAATATTGGCGCCAGGGGCACTTTCACCTGAAGGAGGTCTTTTGACTCGTCGGTCTTTCCAGTGCTTTTTTCTTTTGTTATTCATCTCGCATGCTTCACTACTCCCATATCTGTTGCTGTTGTAGGCTTCCGCCGTAGTTCTCCGGAAGTGTCCTCTTTCCGACAAACCAACACCCACAATTCAGTGAAATCTGGGTCGCAAGCGGTTGCTATTAACCCGTCGCTGCCTCGATGAGAAAGAAAATCCTTGGCCAGTATTACTTTCTCTCTGCATGCATTAATTTACATTGTTTTGGTGCCGAGAGCTCAGAAGAAGCCAAGCCGGCGTGAGGTGCTCGAAATGAAACGGTGGTGACAGACAACTGTCACCTTTCTTTCTGTTATTGACATACCGGCAAGGTAAGCGCGAAGCCGTCGCAGTTCACGGGTGCGGCGAACATGGTCGGTGGTAGCTTGAGCCTGGATGCTGTTGTTGCGTTTGTTGTTGCAGCTTTGTAGGAGGTTCATCTCAAATCTCTGGCTGTGATGTCTTGGTGACGGAAGTGGGGAAAGAGGCTGTTAATTATCTTGGATGCAGTGTAGTAGCAGCTTTGAGATTTCCCAAAGAGGATGTTAACGGAGATTAATAGGATTTTAAGGTGTGGATGTAAATTTTGTGCGTTGTCTTTATGTTTCAGTTTTATAAATCAAACCCCGATAAAATACTCCTCATCCGCGCTTCTGCTTCCACTTCTGCCCTTTCCACTCGCAAGCGATTGAACTGTGATTGTGGTACTGGCATTTCATCGTCCTCTAGATATCGCTCTAATCTCTCGGAAATGTTCGGATCATGACATGATGCGAGTGATGAGATCTGAGGAAATGTTTGCGAAGACGTGTGGTAGGGCTTGCTGGAGTTCGGTTGTCTTGAGGTTGTGTTAGAAAGGTTTGTTTTGAGGGTGAGGGTTGTGTAATATACAATGGATGTTTGGTCTTTTTGCTTGACTTTGAGGAGGATGCCGTGCTGAGAGACATGGTTGTGAGAAAAGGGGCGAGAGCACGTGAGTCAAAAGTCACGTGCAATAACGGCCAGTGTGACTTGTGCTTGATCTTGGAGCGATATGGAACCTGTAAACGCATCAACGTTTGATAGTTGATAACTTCATAGGAAAGCCTTTCTCTTTTATCAACACAATTATATACTTCATCTTGCAATACAAATTGCTATGCAATTGTAATTTGCACTCAGTCGATCGCAATTCACAAGCTGAGCTGCACACTTCAGTTGTACTTGCACTTGAACACCTCGCAAACCACATAATTTGCACACAAACCAAGCGAAGTTCGCAATTCTCGCTCCCAAGCACGTCTCCAACATAATATGCCGGCGCAACCTCTCGTCCAGATACAGACACCGAGTTTCGTCTGCAGCTGCACCCTTGCACCTGCGAAGTCATCACGAAGTCATCAAGCCTAAACTCACCACAAACGTTATTGCCACCAGCCCCTTCCATATTTCACGTGCAAGGCCTCAGTTTCGGGTCGCCGTCCAGTCCGCGAGGCGTTTTCCCCAGGTTGACCAGTCAGATCGTGCGGGAGGTGGGCGGGTTTTCCCCTGGACCCTGGTTTGCAGTGGCTTTGCAAGCTTGCAAAGTGGCGTTGCAGGACCGCTCAACCGCTTTCCTCGCTTGCAGCTTGACTCCGTCATAAGATGTTCGAGTGCCCACCTGGATGGAAGATTTCGGAGGGGGCAGGTTTGATGCTTGCGCGCTGTATCTGGGGATCAGTTTTCTGGGCTTTTTACGTAGTTCTTGGAGTCTGCAGCGAAGTCTCTCTCGGGGAAGTCCTTCGTGAATCGTGGCTGTGCTTCAGCCTTCATGTGGCTGACACCATCCCGGCCATGCGCCTATTATCCAAGTCAAGGTCTGAGCTCTCCAAGTTTCCCACCGAGGCGTGCGTGCAGCTTCACCGAGCACCCAGTAAAGTGCCAGAACTCGGTTCACCTGAGCTTCGCGTGTCCCAAAACAGAATGTGCTTAAGGTGCGCCCTCCCAAGTGCGAGTGTGATGCGGGATCGGCGTTGACGCTGAACGTTCAGACGTTGACGTGCCCCGGGATCCCAGTCAGGCTGAGGAACCCTGGAGGGGAGCTGCCAATAGTGGGTCAGCCCGCCCCCCGGCCGAGCCCACTGGCCCTTGAAGGATTCGGGGTCCCGCTCCCCGCTTGTTCCTCCCATTGTTCAAAGGTTCTCCCTCGTTTCTTTCATGTCTTCAATACTTCAATTCTTCTAGAACCCAACCTGGATCAAGTGTCTGAGACATTTCCCGTTCTTCGGTCATCATAAGCTTCGAATTCCCGTGTCATTATGAAGAGATCGTGCTCGAATACCATTCCCTCGTCTTCAAAGCGCCATTAGGCAGCCACATGCGGAAATCTCCAGTCGAGTTCGGATCCTCCCATGAGATTCTCGAAGCTCGTATTTTTTACCCATCCCCTTGAAACAAAGACTCGACGAATTGGAACTTTCACAAGCGTGTATTGGCCGTCACGGTGTTCAGGACTGCTGCAAGATAATGAGGTGGTGACCCGGACTCAAACTCGCTCAACTTGTCAACTCCTCAACTCCTCAACTCCTCAAGTCCCCAAACCCCATCGCAGAGCAGCACACAATGGCAACTGCAAGACAGCAGAAATGGGACTGGGCCCCGCACCTGACCAAGATGATGGAGCTCTACAACTCTCAACTATCAATACCGGACATCCACAAGGCGTTGCAGTGCGAAGGCTTCGAGCCATGGTAACACTACAAGCCTCTCTTGAATTTGCGCGAGCTAACTTTGTTTTCAAAGTCAAAGATCCGTGTACCTGAAGTTCAAGTCGATGGGATACCCAACAGACCCCGTGGGACGCACAAGACTCCTCGAAGCAAAGCTCCCTTCAAACGCGCCAACCGGCAACGAACAATTCAATGTATGGTCGAATCAATTATCACCGAATTTCTATATGGACGAACAATTGCAGTCTGCGCTGTGCTCTCTGCCGGAGGATCAAGCTCTAGGGAATCCAACACACAGTTGGGAATCTGGATATCCCATGAGCAGCCCAACCTCTGCACCGATGATGGAATTCCCATCCCTCAGCAGCGGAGGACATTCTAATGGGGAGCAATCTAATATGGCAAGCCCGGGGGTCAATCAGTCTGCCGGAGGTCCAGCTCGCGCACCGACTTTGAGCCCCGAGACCGATATGCTATCATCGTTTTGGTCTCCTGGTGAAGGCTCCACCACCAACCTGGACGAAGCCATGAGCATCTTTGAGCAACCGGATCTGCTTCAAGATTTCACAATGGAACTCAGCGGGGGCGCGTATTTCGGAATAGATACTGATTCTTACGACCAAGACAGCATCCCAGCAGGAGACTGTCAAGGCAACAAAGGTTCTGATCCTTGGACATCCCAGAACAGTGCAGTCTGGATGCCATCCCTCTCAGTCATAAAGGACCAAACTGAAGGATCATCCTTGTATGATGAAGCCATCGAATCGTTCCAACGGAAGAGCGAACCAAACAATGTCAGAAATCCACTTCAACGCCTCGGCAGTTCGGGCAGCAATTCAGGGGCACGCAACAGACTTCGATCTTTGTTCAAGCCAAAGTCTGCCGCCTCCTCCATTTCCTCGTGCGGCAAGAAAAGATACGCCCCTTCTCAATTTACATATAATACGGACGACTCTGGATACGCTACTGGTCATACTTCAAGCTTGACACTCGATCAAGTCCGACAAATGAACATACAGTCACTGAAAGAGTTCAACGGCCTATATCGTGTGGCTTGCCATACCCTCCATGAACCGCAAAGCAAGAACCAATGCAAGGATATTCCAACCTGCACATATTGCCGCTACTCCTCTATTCACAACTTAGCATGGTCGGCACGTTATCTCAAACTAGAAGTATTCCTTAGTGAACTGAAATTGGAGGGTGTCTACGACTTCTGTGCCCTCGACGCGGCAGGCAACAGCGCACTGCATTATGCAGCTGCAGGTGGGGCCGGGTACCAGCATCTCAAGGCCCTGGTTGACGTCGGTGTGGACCCATACATTGCCAACACAGCGGGTGAACTCTTCATCTACTGTTTGCGGCCAATTGAACCTTTTACACTCGAACCGAACTCCGATTGTCTCAAGAGCGATGATTTGATCAAGCTCTTGAAGCTTCTTCACCATGATAGAGTCTTTGACTGGAGGGACAATGACGGTCAGACGATCATGCATGCTCTTGCATTGAAAATCACGGAACCAGAGCTCAAGGCTAAGATCTTCAAGTAAGCAAAGACTGCTCCTCTTCTCCATGGAAACTATCCTTATTCACGTGACCTTTCTCTCCCTGAACGCTGACCGTTCATGCAGAATGCTGGTCGATGCCGGATACTCCTCAACAGTACCCGACCGATTCGGCCGGACTCCAGAAGACATCATCCCCCTCACCTACGACTGCCACGGGCAAGTAATCGACCAAGCACCAATGAAACCTTGGCAACGGCACAGCACGCTCCCAGAGGAAGACTCCGCCGCAGATGAAAGCCTCACAACCAAAGAATGGCGCCTAGAGCGTGTCAAGCAAATCAAAGCCCAAGACATCGTGCTGGAAGCACGTTACCGCCCCTCCTACATCGACCCCGAAACAGGTGATAACGCCGTACATGCCCTCTCCCGCCTGGAATCCACCAATGATGTCCTCTTAAGACTGGAGCACTTCACCCTCAAAGATGACAAACTGAACCTGCACAACCGCGAAGGAAACTACATCCTCCTAAACCTCGAGTACTTCATAGCCCGCGGCATCGACCTCAACCTCCTGAATCTCGAAGGCTCACACCCACTCCGCTCATTTATTCGTGAGAGACCAGGGAAGGGAAAGGAGACCGGCGCGACGATGAGCAAGTACCTGGATACGATCCTTGGGAAAGATCTCGAGGAGAGATTGAGGAATAAAGTGAAGGTGAACATGAAGGATCGCGAGGGGGCAACGGCGCTGCACAGTGCTGCAATTCTGGGACGGCCGGACTCGGTTCGGAGTTTGATTGAGGCGGGGGCTAATGTCAATGCGAGATCTGGTATGTTTGCATTTTTCTGCTTTTTGTTCGGGGCTTCGTGGCGATGGTGACGCTGACAAGAGGCAGATAATGAATTAAGCGTCCTGCAAGCTACGCATCATGCGCTTGATGAGGCGGTTAAGCACAATGACCATGTGTTGGTTTATCTAGTTAAAGAGGTCATCTCACACCTTGAGCATGCGGGCGCGGTGCTGGATCCGAGTTCCCTTCTGGAGAGGGGTGTTAAGAGGCAATAATTGGCCCAGTCGACCAGAAATCAAGAAACGTGGAAGGCTGTTCATCATATATGTTGCGTCTGCTGTATAAAGGAGTTCATGGATATTTTGGGTTTGTGTTAGGGTGTTTTCACGGTGAGGAAGTGAATATTGAAGCGTTGTGCGGATACCCCTTCGTAAGTTTACCGTTGGCTAGCATGATATATCAAGCGTGGTCAATTCACGGGGCGTCATTTCGGAAGTGCCATTCATGTGTATGGGCTAGGTACTCTTGGGTTAGGGATATAAGTCAAAATCTATAATCTCTGATATCCTGGAACTTATACTCCTCCTGACCAAGCCCCGTGGACTTTATTAGATCCAATTGAAGTTTGTATTTCTAAAAGAGGAAGGTTTAGGGTAAAATCTTATCAAAATCTTCTTTCTCTTTATTATTCAAGAAGCCTAAATACCATTGCGTTGTCAAATACAAGTGAACTACGAGTGACTTCAGGTTGGAGTGGCAAGATGGGGGGCAGGTTGGGTGCCAGCCCCGAACCCCGGTAGAAAGGGGGCTGCCATTGGGTTCTGGGAAGGACGCGCATCCGAATCGAACGCTGCAATTTCCTTTTCAAGCACCTTCTGCCTCCGCTCTTCCAGTCTCTGCACTCTCCTCGCTTCCCGAAACATCTCCTTACGCTCCGCCTTCCTGAGTTAAGTGGGGTTGCGCACGCAAATAGAGGTATTTTAGTTGCGGGCGATTTTTGGTGGGGTGAAGGCTTTTCGCATTTCGCGCTGGCACATGTGATCCTTACGGCTTTCATTACCATTCGGCTCTGGGGTCCGAAAGGGAGGCTGACCTTCCCCGCGTTAAGCCGAGCGGGAGCAACACATGGTACTTCACTTCACTTCACTTCACTTCACTTTATCCTCCACCTCCAGCCTTTCAAGTCAACTATCTCTTCAGAACATCCAGCACTTGACGCGCTATTTCAAATGGACGACCGAGAGTTCTCAAGCCCTGTCTGCTACCTCGACTGTGATAATTATCAAGTACCGGCTACCAGAGACGTGGAGCACACTGTCTGCACCACGTGCAGGTCTTTCATCGCAGCCTTAGATACAAACTTGAAAGCAAACGAGGAGGGTGTATACAATGGCGAAGCTTTCTGGAATGGGAGGCTAGTGGCGTTTATTTTGAATGAGACAGGCTGTGTTTACAAGAACACAGACAAGGTAGCCGAAATATCAGGCAATGGCTGTCCTCTCTGCGCTATTATAGAGGGGTTGAAGCCGGATGAAAGGAAGGAGTTGATAGCCCGTAGAGAGTGCGGGGAGCAGAATGCAGAGTGTGCTGTCTTTGAATTTAAGACAGTGGCGAAGGGTGAGGACTTTTGGATTCGATTAGTCCCTGCTCCATCAAAAAATTGAGTCTGCTGTTGAGGCGAAAGGTCAGTTCTATCTATCATGACTTGGGAAAGGCCCACCACTGAACTCTCCAGATCTGAATACTGGAGAACTCAAATACTGAAGAGATCCTACAGGGTCTGACCAGATATCATTCTTCGTTTCCGCTAGAGCTTAGCTTGTTGATGATGGCTGCATCACGCTCCCCGGCGCTACTCTGCACTGCACCAGCAAAACTCCTCAACATCTCCTTAACCTCACTTTCACCAATCATCCCAATACCTAACACCTCATTATTGGCCTCCTCAAAAACAGAGTTGAATTCCTTCCCAAAAATAGCAAGCGCCTTGAACATGATATCCACCATTCGGCTTTCTGGATCCACCTTACTCGCTTCCACCACTTTCTTCGCCATATCCTCCGTGTTCGCAGGCGTGACAGTCCACTCAGCATCCGGAACAACCTCTTTCCCCCATTTCAGCAGTTCGTTTTGGCTCGTTACAATATCATGAACCCGGAAATCACGATTCTCCGCCTCTTTTCCCATCCTCAGCACCGCGGCTACTGCTTTGCTCGCTGTTTGGATCGTGGCGGTACTGAATTTCTTCTCGCCATCATCAAACCGAGTCATGGAGTGCTCTCTCATATTGATTATCGCACCGAGGGAAAGAACGTAGTCTAGCAGCGGACCGGTCCTGATACTCGTGTGGGAGATGACTGATTCACGGCTCTTGAGGTATTCTTGGACGATAGTTTTGTTCTGGGCAAACGGGAAGGAGCGAAGGACAGGATTGCTGATGTCGGTATCTAAAGAGGCAGGAAGAAAACGCCGCACGCCGGCCGCGATGGCGGCGTCGATGAGGTTGGTTTGCTCTGGTAACCTGGGGAGTGTTGTGTTAGTTGAGGGAATGCGTGGAATTCAATGAGAGGCGTACATTCCCACCCCGCAGACAACGACAGCATCGATGCCCCTGAGTGCTGAGACAAGAGAGTGCTGAGAGAGGTAGTCAACTTCTATGATGTCGATCTCAGGGCCTAGAATATCTCTTGTCTTTGCAAGGGAGCGTGTGACAGCTGTCACGTCAAAGCCGGAGGCGACAAGAGTCTTCACGACTGTTGGCCCAGTATTGCCATTCGGTCCAGCTACGGCTACTTTCTTGATGTGCAAAACCATTTTCTTCATGGAATCCCTTGGGATGAGCTAGTTGTTGCTCTTGGTGACGAGCAGTGGGGAAATTGGGGGGTTTGCGGGGCAAGCAGGTTTCCTGATAGAGCCCGATCGTCAGCTTACCGTAAGCACTGCGCCACAAGCCCAGTCGTAATTTTACCTCGAATGAAGGGAATAACCCGCCGATCTTTCTAAAACTTCCGCACTAGTGACGTGTCTGAAATGGAGTTCTCCATTCTCTGGCCTGGTTTGCATTATCAACCGAGCTCAGATTCGAAATTTTCGCATTTTGGTGACAGAATGAGATACGATACACGGGAATACAATCGTAAATCCGATGGATACTCACCCATTTCATCTTCATACTTCTGGATGATCAGCCTGCATTCTCACCAGCGTCCCCACGTCTCTTTTTGTTCGTCTTGTGGAACGGTCGGCATTGTCTGCGCAGGAGATGCTTGGCCTTTCCCTTCTTTCAAGGGAACAACTGCTTTCGTAGAACGTGTAGGATCCCATTTCTCGGCCGAGGTATATTGCGGCTTGTTTTCGGAAACCCCCTCCACATCCTTCATTCCGCAGTGAATTTTGCTCAACCGCACATTGACTTTCTCCTTTCCCTCTTTTCGAAAGGTTCGACATCGAATGGCGGATCCTCTGGTGGAGGTTTTCCATTCCGAAAGATCAACTGTATATGACTTGGTTCTCCTTCCTTCCCTCGGGAGTGATTGATGTGGTTCCAATTTCACCCAAAATCTCAAACATAATCCACTATCCTCTCGCTGTATGGTGTGTCTTCTAGAAGATCGTCGAACGTAGCTTTGCTATCACGAAGCTCGCTCGCTTTAAAACATTCTTTATGTGGATGATTCGATCCTGGCTAGAGACTTCTAGCGTTCTGTATTTGTCCATTCAGAGGAATGTTTGACGTTAAATTCCCACTCGTGAGCTTCATTCCATTGGAAGGCTATCTGTAGGCCGATATGCAGTTGACTGAAGGTTGTGGAGGCTGTCATCGAGACCTTGCGAATGACTGCCCGCTTTGCCTTAAAGGTTATAGGCTCAGGGCTGAATTCGAAAATGTAGTTTTCTAGCTGGGTTGCAGGAGAGAGATATCAGCAAGCGGCTGGCTTTTCTTAGTATAGGGATTCAATAACTTCGAGTAGCCGTGGTGAGATGGTTTACTTCAATGATTGAACGATGGAAGGTTGTGAGGGAGACAATGTTGAGGACGCCTAAGGAGATTTGAGTTAACGCGACTCGCGCCGAGATCAGCGCGATGTCACGCTAATTTAGAATCGTTTACAGGGTATAGGGGATCGCTAAACCTCGGCAATACCCCTAATCTTCAGGATGGCAGGGCCATCGAGCTCATGTCACAACTTAACTCGTGACTCCAACTTCATTGAGAGCGCAAAGAAACAAATGAATAGCAGTATAAGCATCAGTACCATATCTCAAGAGACCAAAGCAAGTACGATTGTCTTGTTTTAATCCGAGCACAATACATGGCACTTGGCGCTGGAAAAGGATGGGTGGATGGGTAGAATTACAGTATAACAAGGCTTGACAAGGCCTCTTATCCAAAAGTCTTTGCTAGCTCCCTTCCTATTTTGCTCTAAACCACAGAGTGTGCTAGGAGAAATTATTAAAGAATGTCCAGACTCCAGGAAGAGCAAAATCCTCATCTGATTTCTTCACCAGTTACGGAACCAAAATCTGGCTCAACAGATGTTGGTCCAGCATTGGCGCTTAAATTTGGGAGGTAGAAAGGAAATGGTCTAGGACCGCTTCTTATACCCTGCTGTCTCAGTACCCGATCGCTCCTCTTGACTTCTATTTGCCCCGTTAAGGTTGCAGCATAGTTCTAGTTTCTACCCGCGCCATTCACTGATATTTTTGATCCATGACTTGCTAATTACTACATGTCACCTCGTAGTCCAAACGGAAAGTATGGAGAAGGTGATGGATTCTTCCATCACTTCGTGGCATGTGAGTGCTTCTTGAAAAGAAAAGACGACCCAGCACTCCATAAGGTCGCAATTCCTTAAAAAAAAAAAAAGAGGATAAAAATCCCATTCCTCGTGTAAGGTCCCTCCTACTCTGTTCTGCTTGGCTAGTTTTTGTTAACGGTGCCTCCTAGAGGCTGGTTTTAGTTAACCTCCGAATACTCCCGCCTGGGGCCCTATTTCCGAAGAAGAGAAAATCAATTATGGGTAGCAAGATATTCAATTATCGAATGATATTGCTCAGTTTGAGTCACCTAAAATCCCTCGCCCAGAAATCGTGCGAGTGGTGCAAGAAGTGGTGTTGTCTTTCAACTGACATCAGTTGATTTCGGCAGCTCCCGAAATCCAGAACTGGGAATGCTTCATTTGTTCGTCAAATCACACCACGACCTGATGCGAACGTGCCACCTCGGAAAACCACAACCAAATCACAACGCAATCCAAAGGAACATATATACCTTCAAAATTCCTATAGCCGTCCTTCGAAGTACCACTATCAAAGAGTCTCCAAGTTACACAACACACGTTCTCGCAAGCTTTTCCACAATCAAACTCCACTCCGAAAAAATGGCCACCCCTCCAGCAGTTACAGCGCACATCCTGTGAAACTTCTCCATTGCCTTTGTTGGCATCGTTGGCACTATTGCAGGAATCACCGAAGTCTACAATATTGCAAGCTTGAAGGATCGAGAGTCAACGCACGGTTGGGGAGAAAGAAGACCTTACAATGCCAAGCCACAACCTCAACAAGATCGATTGTAAGAGCCATTCTTCAAAACTCCAAGTCTCATGGTGTTTCAGAATGGCTGACTTTGTATTTCAGAGATACAATTTATGATCGGACGCAACTGATGAATAAAGCGAAGGCAGCGAAGCCATGGAATCGGACGGCGTCGGAGTTTGAGAGAGCAAAGTGGTAATAGAGTGTTGGTGCAGAGGTTCAAGAGAGAAAACAATAGGGTGTGAGTACATAAAGATCGAGGTATTACAAGTTGTCTTGGAAGTCATTCGGCGTTTGGGGGTCTGCAGCAGGCTCGGGGTTGGGTTGTTTCATTCCGGTGTGCATATCACTACAGCACCTGCAATCCCTATTGAGGGAAATTCAAGATCATAAATAGCCAATTACTTCAGTTCCACTTTTACTAATTATCTCGTTATACAATGGTAAATGAACCGCCTACACAACAAAAGTGTGGATTTATCTTAGATATACCCATCTTGAACTCCAGTTGTGTATTGATTCTGTCTATCTCTTTGCCTAAATTCTTTCATCCGGAGCATCTGGTTTACTATTTTCTCGAGAAATCAAACGTTTATTAAGCTTCAAGACGAAATTCAATAGGATTGACACAAGTCTACAACACTGTTTTGGGTGCTTGCAGCTCCTCCAAAATTGAAGATTCGTCGGGTCAGCTCCCTATGACCCCTCTTTGTTATTTAACCGTTGATATGTTCAGCTGTTATCTCTTTTTAATCTTTATTCCAGAGGAGGCCCCTTAGAAACTCACTTTCACCTTTTCGGAGCTGCCCCTCACGTGGCGCCAACAAACAGAGCTAATGGATTACAGCAGTACAGTCGCGTCCGAAAGTTGGACCGAAACTGCCTTTCCAGTCCAATTTTAGCCCAGGGGCACCAAACGCTTTGTGCGTAAATCGAGATTCTTAAGCTACTAACTATACTACGAATTATTATTTAAATTATAAGCCCTTCTAGAAACGTAATAGGGAGTACTCAGGGACTAACTTGAGCTAAGGTACTGAAATGTTGAAGAAACAATGGTAAACGGATTCCATGAGAGAGGACTCATGACGTCAGTCTGGAACTGAATCTTGTATAATGTCTACGATTCGCTACTACAGTAGTGAACCACACAGCCATACCGTACTTACATGAGTCGGCCCAAATATACCGGATATTGCAACTGATGGCAACATAAATGGCGCCTTTGAAAACCTTGGATATTGCCTCAAACAAAATCTCATCCATGCACGATTCTAAATTCTCTTTAATAGACTTGAATGGCATGCTACGCCCCCAACAATGATTTAGTGTAGTATTTTACCCGCGTTTTCAGTGATGTTCCATGTATCAGTCGGACTTGCAAGCGGTTACCGCCTCTCCTTTTGATTTCAATCAGTCGTATCGGGATAAATGGGCCCAGTGGAAATATATCCTCGCGAATTTGATGATTCTCCACGCAATCTGTCAGCAAGTTATCTGCTTGTTGGAAGCTTTCTTTCGAATGGGTTGATTTCGGAAGGATAGTCTTACAAGGCTTTATCTTCTCATCTATAATCTAAGTTTCTAGATTTGTTTAAGGTTATGATTCCTTCCTTTAAAAGCTGACGTTTTGAATATTACCATGAGGATGTAACGACAAACGAAGGTATGCAAAATTGTCTCCCCCAACCTGCAGATCAAAGGCTCGCACGAAATACCCGTGTCGCATAAGCACATAATAATGAACATTGAAAGGATTTGAATCCCCTGAAATCGAGAATAGACTGATGAACAACGCGCAAAGCGTGCAGTCGGTTGGATTTCGAAGATTGATTGTGATTGAGTGGCCGTCGGCTGAATATGACACATCTAGAGAAAGACAGACCTCTCAAAGTGATCGGGATTTCTTAATATTTCATACCATACAGCTCGCCATTGGCTGCTTTGCAAAGCCCCCTGAAACTTGAACCGCGTTCATTTCCATAATAGAAAAAGATCAAATGTTGTATTCCGGTTTGAGTATTTTGAACACAATCGGACAGTAGATGTGTTGAGAGCTGATACGCTCACGTAGCCGAGAAAATTTGGGAAAGGAGTTCCAAGCGTGGCTGAGATGTAGGTTGCGAGCTTGTCTCATCTAGTCACGCCCATCTTCCGAATACAGCGCTGTGCAGCGGCCTTGGTGGAGGCGTAGGCCAAGTGGCATGCTTTAGCCACAACGCGGCACAAGTTTCACTTCGCAATGATTTAGAATCTTCTACATTCAAATAACGCAAAATTTCAAGAAGCAGTTGATAGATATCGGGCAAGAGTCATTCTGTGGTAAGTTTTAAGTGGTATTGAAAAGGTCGATATTTGCACCCCGCGAGGTCGTGTCTCGCTTAACCCCTATTTGCCCTCTGAAGAAGTCGGTGTGGCTTTGAGGAGGATTCGGAGTAGCACTACTTATTTGATCACTGTTTGAGCGAAAACACTGGTTCTTGGGCACGTCGAGAGATGCATGTGAAATCCCTGTAGAACAAAAGATATATGGAAGCTGCGAGTTCGGAAGCTTAGGGTCGCTTTAAAATCTCTGGTTCTTACAAGAGGCTTTAACCCAAAATGTTTAGCGAGAGAATCTGCCAACGCATCCACACTCGAACCTTTGTCCTCCCCTTTATGATTTCCATCGTCTTACCTTCATCCTCGCTCAACTGCATCCAGTACAGCAAAACGCATTCACTCGTAACACCGACTCGGTTGAGACGCTAGAAATGGAGTCAATTTCCTCGAGCGGCGACATATTCTCATGCGGCTGTGGACGACAATTCATAAGTCGTGACGCCCTTGAACAACATAAGCGGGACAGAGCCCAGTTTGTTTGGGCTACAAGGTGCACACCCTCAGCACTCGGTCCTGCAAGCACGCGGAATAGTTATGGCTCTGGCTTGCAAAGCTCCTCTCAGGTAGGTGGGCTAAGTACTGCTGCAGTTCGGCGAGTATTACTGTAGTATCGGGTTGGGGTGCCCTTAAAAACTAACCAAATTCCGACAGGGTGCAGCCAGTCTGAAATTGCAAGCGACGAGAGACCAGTGGATGGTCAAAGATGTTGGAGGAAAGATTGATACTATTGAAGTCTCGTCACTTAAGCCAGCAGACACCCCAGTATCAAGCAGCACTGGCTATGAGCTCATATGCAGCTACAACTGGGCGAATCATAAAGCACCTACAACCTATGTCCCAGGTAACGGGTTACCCTTATTGCAGTGCACTCTGACTCTCACTTAGGCGGCGCCGCAGTTTGGAAAGACATGAGCTTACCAGTAAGCGTCCCGAAAGACTCCGGAATGCACTTCATCGACCAAAACGCCTCACGCATCCCTGAGTACCCCTTCGAGGTAGTGTTCCAGGCTGTTGGGGTCATGAGTCCAAGCCTCCGTTTCGACACAGTCGACGTCCTCGTCAACCGCAACAGCATGCGAAAGCTCCTGGACTTCTGTCGCGGACGCAACCAGGACAGCTTCCGTATCAACCTTCACATAGTGCGAAATACTCTGATCATTGAAAGATGCGAGAAGAATGCAAAGCAGATGATCCGTGGGTCTGGTGGGCCGGGGTACGGTCATAACTTTGAACGTATATTCACACAATTACCGTCGGGGTTGGAAGACAGCTCCAGTCATCATCGCGTTCTACGATACAACTTGGGGGATTTGAGCTGCGCCATCCGCTTTGAAGTTGATGCTTGCCTCAAGGTTCCCGCAGAAACCAAGTCACCAGAGAAGGAGGAGACCAGCGAGGCCCCTCGAGATGAGACTGTATCTCTTGTTGATTCTTTAGACTCGTTACAAATACGCGCTCCGACGTTGAACAGTAACGTATCGCCCCATACCTCAGTCTGTGTCATTCCTCGCGGAACCATTACTGCACAGTCAAGTACTGCAGAAATCAAGACACGCACGAAGTCAAGTTCTCTGTCAAAGATCTTGCCACAGCTGTGGTTCGGCCGCACACCTTATCTAATTACAGGCCATCATGCCAACGGCACTTTCGACAGCGTCGATATTGGTCAGGTTAGAGATCGATTCGAGGATTGGGAGAGAAAGGAGGCGAACCAAGATGCACTGCGGAAGTTAGCGAGTCTGCTGTCGCAGTTACGGGAATCCGTCCAGTGCACCAAGGAGAAAGCTTGTATAGGGATTTATGAACATGGTGTTAAGCCTGTAGCTTTGCACGTTTTTGTCTCGAAGCAAGGAAGGAAACCGCTACCGGAGCATGTTGTTATGAGGTACTGGGCAGGACCAGCGATGCCAAACGTAAAATAGTTTTATTCTGAGAAATGCACTCGAACCTTTGTTGCGAGGAGCAAGTACAGGTATAACAGAAATTCGTGGAGAGGCATTGAGGTAGATCGTCGGGGGATGACGGAGGGATTTCACTCCCGGTAGGTAGGTCGAGAGATTCAGTGAGAATCATTCTTGGAGACCCGAGGATTGTGTGACTCGCAGCTTGGTGTTCCTCTCACTAATCTCTCATCCCAAGCGGCTCCATTGCTCTTTAGCTTCCCAGCTCTCCACTGATTGACTGCCTTCCCAAACATGAGTTCGTCAATGTAACAGGCACTCACAAACCTAAAGGAATCCCCGCAAGGTCTGATGACAAAAGGGGTATTCTGACCGAAAAGCTGCACACTGTGTCCCGTTTCGGAATGTCCGCTGCTAGCGATAGGCCAAATGTCTGGTTGCCTAAAAAAAAGTATCTAATAGTCGGACTTAACATCGCGCTAAAGGGACCTTTCCTTTAGAGCGACGTTAAGTCCGACCATTAATTAGGGGCGTCGAGATAAGTTGTGATAGACTTAGACAATCCCTTGTCACTATCTTCAGCAAAACTGTGATCTAGTTCTACAGCTCCCCATTGCTCCCACATGGGACGAGGATAAACTCTCTCGACCTAGATAGTTCACACAAACGCGTCTTTGAGCGAGGATTCATCGTCGCCTTCGCGGTATCCCAGCCTACGACGGACTGAGGGATAGAGTGATGCCAATTGTTCGCGGCGAAAATGTTTAATGTTGAAACTCAAAATTATACATGTCTTTGCTACACAAATGCCTCTGAGTCTCAAACTTGACAGCGCGAACTCCCCCCAGCAGCACCGCACATCATCCCGGACACCCTAGGGTCTCTACAAGGACACACCATACTCCTCACTACATCTCCAACTATGCGCGGACTGTATATATGTAAAGAAGGATTGCCGGCTCCAGCCATGATATCTCACAGCCTTCCAGCCAATCGCCCCTGGAAGATAGGCGAGAGAAAGGATATTCACCCTCCCACTTTGGCCCAACCCTGCTCCCACCACCCTTCAAGTCTCAAAAATCATTCACAAATCAAACGCAATTCAGAATCTCAAAGAAATAACCATCTCCCATTCTCAACTCAGAGCTAGAAGAAAGACTATGATACACTCCAGCACCCCTAGCAGCATCGAAAGACGTCTGCCCAAATCCCATTCAATTCCACGCATGCATGCGTATGTCTCCCTTTCTCCATCCCACGCCATGCCAATGTATTTCCTCTCCACCCACTGGGTATTCAATTTATGTCCCCACCTGCCAATCTATCACCTCGCCCTACGACCTAGGAAAACGAACTGCCAGGTCAATCCATGCACGATACACCCTCCCCCAAAGCCGGCAGGAGAAAACGAAACGCAGAGAGGAGAAATCTATTCGGAAATCAAGGCGAGGTCGCAGATGAGTTATTTTTGGTGTGGTGTGATCGACAGAGAAGCCAAAGTAAATTGAAGCCTTAGAGTAGGCGAGGGATTTTTTGTGCGCTGTCAAAAGCAGCGCAAGAAATCCGCGGACGGCCGATGGCCGAGGAAGAACACAGAGGAGATGGGGGAGTGGGATCTACCACTCATACTCCCCGCTCGCCTTATGGAACACGTATTCCCGGCCATTGACGGTGAGGACACCATCTTTCATAACGCACTTCCTGTTCTTTGCGTCAGCAAATCATAGATCTCTCAAAGCCAACCCAACCCCAACCCAGCCCTAACTCCATCCACAACTCCAGTTTCCTTGAACGTGCGTGTAGTGGAGAAAGGAGCGGTACCATCGACCCCCAGAGGCGTTAGCTCTCCATTCGCCAGTAGTACAGAGTACAACAAGGAAGAGAGAGAGGTAGGATTTAGGGGAGACGGGGAGGGGAGAGAAAGGAAAAGAGGGAGAGGGGGACATACCACTTATTCTTAACCCTCTGCACCTTATCATACATACAAAGCATAATATGCCCCATGCCCTCATCCTCATCCTCCTCATCGTTCAATCCCTCATCCGGATCGTCGAGATCCGAGTTAATCGCATCTTCATCTAACTCCTCGGGCTTAACATCGTCATCGTCGCCGCCATCCATTTGGCCCTCACCGTTCTCTTGGCGTTGATTCCGGGCCTGGCGCAGACGTTGCCGCTCAAGTTGGCGTCGGCCCCGGGCGGTAGAGGAGGGAGCTTTACGCAAAGGTAACATCAATCCACCGCCCTCCATATGTCGTCCCATACTCTCGATCTGCGCTCTGATTAAATTATCAATCTCCACCCGTCCCATGACCTCGCCACCCTGCGCAATGACGCCAAAACTCTCCGTTTCCTCATCGCCGGGTCCATCAGTCTGCGGTGGGCCTTGGTAACCGTTCTGACCTTGGCCATTTTGATTTTGAGAGTTTGGGTTATTGGGATTTTGCGGATGTTGGCCGTTCTGTCGCGCTTGCTGCATCTGGTTCGTGGTGTTCTGCTGCATCATCCGCTGGTACTGCTCTTGGGTTATTTGAGGTCGCTGGCCTTGCTGCATGCCTTGACCTTGCGCCTGTGCGAGCGCAGCACGCTGCTGCATCATTTGCAACTGCTGCATCGTCGGGTTGCCATTCTGCTGGGGCTGGCCTCCTGACTGGATTGCGTTAATGCTTGCAGCGGCTCGAGGACCATAGTTCTGATGCAGATGTGCTGCAGCTCTTTGTTGTGCGGTGGTAGCATTCTGGAGGGCGGGCATAGGTTGATTTTGATAAGGCGAGGGCTGGTTCATGCCGAGGGGTGACTCGAGACCTGGCTCAGCCTTGATGCGCGGGCCATTGGAGATCTGGGGCATAGGCAGGCCGGGCTGGGATTGGTTGATGGGGGGTGTACCTATGGATTGGTAGTTGCCTGCATTTGAGGGGACGGTGGGCGGGTTGGAGATGGTGGGTTGGGGTTCGGGCTTGGGGTCCCAAGGAAAGGTAGCGACGCCCAGTTGCGAGAGCTTGGATTGCCAGCCCTGAAGGAGAAGTCAGTATATTGTCACCTCTAATGAGATGTAAATCATCAACGAAATCATAGCTGAAAAAATTGTGAAGGATGGGAAAGAAGAGTGCCAGCCGCCACGTGATCTATATGTTCCCAAAGCGTCCTAGCGGCTTGGCAGGCCCTGGGCTGGCGACGCTTCGGGTATAAAATGGTCTGCAAATACAGAGGCTCGCCCACCCGCGAAAACTCGAGGTCTGACCCCAGCAGCGCTCGCTGCGAACGAGGTGAGTAACACAGCGCAGGCAGCAACACATCGCTTTATATCACCACCAGCACTCCTCGATACTCTCGGCGCCATCAGAATGAAGAGCAACGACAGGGGAATTGATGGGGCATTTATTGAAAGCGAAACAGACGACGCATCGATGGCACCAATAGAGAGGATGGAAAGGTGAGGACTTACCTGTTTCAGTTCCTCAAGCACATGTTCATCAACGCCACCCTCCTCGAAGTCGACGCGCGACGATTCGACAACATCCTGGATGATCTGTTGGTATACGGTTCCGACTTGGTTGTTCGACATCTTGCCCTTGTAACGCTGGCGCTGGTCGTGATTGTTGGAGGTGTAGCGAAGAGGCGAGGAGGCTTGCCACGCTCCAAGGGATGCGACGACCACAAGAACAGCGGACGATGGTGAGATACGCAGGATACGGAGGAGACAGTGTAGAGGATCTGATCTCGACGGTGATCGAAGGTCCCTATGTGTTGAGAGATCTTCTTTGTCCGACGGTGTCGAGAGAGGTGACACTCCGGTCGCACACAGCCAACACCCCACGCAACGACCCCGCGATCTTCTGTAGCCCTTTCCTGACCTTCCTGACCGCTATGCGCTCCCCGTAGACCTTGACTGCCGTCGGTTATGGATAAATTGTAGACGTAGTGGACGATGCTCGTCCGGCGCTGTGGGGGTTGTAGAGGGATGGACGCTTTTGCTGGGTAATAGGCAGCGTGATGGGGCTAAGTGGCTTAGTAATGGCGCTTGAGCCGCAATCGCCGCTGTCTGAGTGGCGTTCCAAAGCGAACTGACCGCGACCTCGAAAATCCCGAGAAGCCGAATACCTTTAAGACTTGATGTCAGAAAGGGGCTTCTACGGTCAATTGCATACCGGTACTTCTGAGGCTCTCCCGGCTGTGAGATGAACAATCTCCGATGCGTTCACTCACAAAGGCGGGCTCCTAATTTGAGTACGATGCACGTGAGCGAGGCCAAGGAAAAGCTGGAAGTTGAAGTAATCCATCAATACTCTTACAATACTCATTGTTAGTTCTAAGTACAAATGCCCGACTTATGATAAAAGCCAGCCAGCAGAAAGTCCGTCCCGTATTCCCTTTCAGTCATCCATCGTCAAAGCATAATTCGCCGGGTGAAGCACTTTCGGGCGCGGGCAGAAGCAGAACTCCCCAACTCCACGCTGAATAAAATCCAACCCGCTAATGCCAGTATGGAACCGTCCTTATACTTTACCGCGCTCTAAGGAGAGCTCGATGACTTTCACCTAGCGGATAGTCATTTGCTTGACCATATCTGCCTTTCCAGAAGTACCTGATCCACCAGCAGAAGAGCTTGCGCCAGCCTTCTTCTCAAAGATCTTCCAGAATTTCAGACTCTCATCGGCAGCTGCAAAACGTTAGCTATGATCATCAAGCACGATCAACAAACTTACCAGCTGTAGCCAACATTTGTCCATCCGGGCTGAGACAGCTGTGAAGGACTCGGGTCTCGTGAGCAGGAATCTCAACATTGCGAACCAAAGTGGGGTAGCTCCAGATGCTGAGCGAGTTGTCGGGGAAGCCGCTGGTGCTGACAATCTCACGGTAATGAGGGCTCCATCGAAGAGAAGTCACCTGAGAACCAGTATCGATGCTGTTGACACGAGCACCAGTGGTTGTGTTCCAGAAGTGGATATGACGGTCGTATGATCCACCACCAGTAGCGAGCACGTTTGGTTGCCATGGGCACCAGCTGAGAGCCTTCACTGCAGCCTTGTGGTTTGTCTTGGTGAACTTGGGAACAGCCAATGAACGAGCATCCCAGATGGAGACGAGGTTGTCATTGCCACCGGTAGCAAGTTGAGCACCATCTGCGCGCCATTCCAGACCACACACTTCGGATGTGTGAGAGACTAGCTCAGCAATCTTGTGCTCTGCGACTCGTACATCGTGGTTGAAGACAAGACCTGATCGAGCACCAGTTGACAAAGTGTGTTTGTTCCATCCCATAACGCCAACACGAGTATCGTGGCCATGCATGCTTCGGAGCTTTGTGCCTTCCTCAACATCCCAGATCTGAACTTCTCCTGTACCAAGTCCAACGCTGACATATGCTCCATCGCCGGACCATTTGACGCTGCTGACGTAGGTGTCTGGGCTGGTCTCCAAGAGGGAGCTGACCGATCCAGACTCGGCTGACCAGACATAGACGTTGCGCTCGAGACCGATGGCGACTTGGTTGCCAGAAGACCAATCAAGAAGGTTCAGGTAGTAGTCGTCAACAAGGCCAGGAGCATCGAGGACACGTTCAGGGGCTGTAGCAACACGACGTCTGAATTGTGCAGACGCAGCATTTGCATTCTTAAGGGGTCGGTTGTATTGGGATCGAAGGTCGACAGGCTTTGATGACTCGGGAGGAGCTGGCTTAAAAGCAAGGATTCGTTGATTGAGAGAGACGCCGCAAGCTGACGCAAGAGAGTCTTGGTATGCAACAGTGTTTGGTGATGGTCGGCTGTATGTAGATGGCTCATCATCATCGTTCAATGACAGTGATCCAAGTGCTGCTAATGCATCATCCGCACCGGATGCCAAGACACTTGAGCTTTCTCCGCTACTTGTCTTTGGTCGCTGCTTGTCGCTGTGCTCGAGCTTGCCTGAGCCGACAGTCGCAATAGCTGAGCTTGCTGCACGATTGGGAATAAATCGATCGCCGTATGAGAGTGTAGTCTTGGTAGACTTCTGTCGAAGAGGACCTTTTCGTGATTTACTGCTGCTGGGAGTCTTGGCACCAGTACCAGTAAGGGCGAAGTCCGAGACACCGAGTTCCAGAGCACGACGAGGTGTTTGTGCGTTTCTGGCGATATTAGACTTTGGCGAGTCACGGTGAGTGGTTCTTGATGCCGACTTCGTGAAGTGTGACGATAGATTTCCCCCGTATGTTGACTTAGATGACTTGATGCTCTCATTGTCCAATGTCTTTCTCTCGGGTGTGAAAGGAGATGAGTTGTTATTCGACATTGTTGCCGTGCGTGTGCGGGGAGAAGGTGTCAAGGGCATCCGTCCGCCAGCGGTACGGGAGGAGAAAAGTCCCATGTGGGACTTGATGGGGGTTGATACTGCGGTTGCCATCTTGCAATATCGGGGGTATGATCTCGGTCGAAAGACAAGTAAATGTATCGATCGATGATAAGAGGTTCGGTATATCGAACGAGCTCCAAGAGACTCAACCTAATGGTTCCTGGTAGTTGTTGGTTAGTATGTTCGTTTGTTGTGCTCGATATGTCGAATGAGCCTTCTTCAAGAAGTGCTTAAGTCGGAGGCGATCAATGGGCTGGTACGGAGTACTGGCAGAAAGATCTAGTGGACTTGAAGTATTCTTGTGCGTGCGCGTAAGAAGGTTGGAAAGATGTGGTATGTGTAGAGGATGCGAGAGGGTAGAAGGTGTGCGGGTTTGTAGAGTTGCAATGTGCGAGGAAGGAAGAGGAATCGAGTCGAGCAGCAGCGCTTTTCAAGGGCCGGATTGTTTACCGAGCTAGCGTGGTTGCCAGGGCGATGCACTCTTGGTGCCTCGTGGGTCAGGTACGGGCGAGGTAGACCCGATTGGGCAAGGTCGGACGGGGCGAGGAGAGGCATTTTGCCCGATCTTCAAAAAGCGATCCGCCCGTTTGACGTCGAGACAAACAAGCCAGACAGCCAGGCATCTCGAGCCCAGCTGTGTGCTGCTTGAATTCACCTCAAATTCCGTCTCTCGTTTAACCAACACTCCTCTCCGACGAGGCCACGATCTCTTGCTTTCACTGCAGGACTCACTCCCTTCTAGCATGCTCGTATAGGGCATTAGCAAGCATGGTACGTCTTCCTCTCCAAATTGTTCTGGGAACTGTGAAACATTCAGCTTCTACCCGATCTAAATGTTCTGCGAGTTGTTGCACATTCAAGACTTTCTGATCTGAATGTCTTGAAAACTCCCGGGACGTTCAAGACTTGTCTCGTTCAAAAGTTCAACGATCTCTTGGAATCTTGAAATTCAGCCCCCACCAAAGGCGTGTTGGACAATCAACTCCCAGCCTCCTCGAAGTGTCTTCAAAGTTCCTGGCACTTTGAGATTTCTTCCCTCTGAATGTTCCTCAAACTGAAGTAGAATCATTTACTGACGATAAAACGCTCCAGGCTCAGCCTTCAACTCCATCTGGCGGCCCCCACTCCATTTTCGGAGGCGGCTCCAGCTCTGCCAATGCAAACAATCAACTCTCGACTGTCCTCACTCCTTCCTCCGCCGTCTCCTCGAACAACACATTCCTCATGCCTAATTCCCCGGTTAAGGGTGGCGTTCTCAGTCGAGATGGATATCGACCAAAGGTCACCAGAACTTTGGGTCAGAGGCCTGCTTGTTTGGTCAACGCCTCAGTCACCTACTGCGGAAACAACCAAATTTACGCCTTCGGCGGTTTCGACCAATACACGGATGAGGTCTACAATCATGTGCTGAAGCTGGACATGGTCAGTCACACGTGGAGCCTGGTTGATAACTTTGGCGATATTCCAGGCGTCAGAATGGGTATGTTGCTTTCAATGTACCAGTCTGACTTCAATTGATGAATCTAGGTCACACTGCCACATTATACCAAGGAGATAAGCTCTTGATCTTTGGCGGCGAGAACGAACATCGAATCTACCTCTCCGATCTCATCATCTTCGATCTCAAGACTGCACATTGGACACAACCCGCAGTCAGCGGACCAATACCAAAAGGCCGGGCCAGACACGCTTCAGTGCTTCACGAGGATAAGCTCTTCATCATTGGAGGAATCACAGGCCACAATAATTATGTCCTCGATGACATCTGCTACCTCGACTTGAAGACCTTTACTTGGTCAAGAGCCTGGAAGTTTGTTGGCAGATTCGACCATTCGGCATATATATGGGGTGACCGGGTTTGGGTGTTTGGCGGATTGAGTGAAGACATGGACAAGATTGGTGATATCTGGTGGCTTGATGTGAAGGGAAGTCCGGCTTTCGATTCGGCCCCGTCTTTTGGCCACCTCGACAGAAGCTCGGCTTTGGCTCGTATGAATGGCTCCCCTCGACCGTCATACTCGATGGGGCCGCCACCTGCGGTTGGAAGCTCCGGATACGCTGCCAATTCAAGCAGTGCACAAGTCAATCCGCCCTCCTTTCAGCTCACAACTTCACCACCTGTTGCTCCTGGCACAATTTCATCACTGAAGTTTGTTTCGGGCCCGAATATTCCTGCACAGGGATCTGGCATGCATTTCCATGTCTATACATCCGGCACCCTCCTCGACTTCGTCACCCCTGCTGCGACTATCACTCCAAATGAATGCTCCTTATCCTCGTTGGACCTCGATACTTTGCGCTGGCAGAAGCTGGCAGAAGGTTGTGATATCTTCACTCGCGGGTACAGATGGCATTATTGCACAATGAATGAGGATGGTACAAAGGCGTGGTTGCTTGGGTGTCCTACGGATCCCACCGCTACCGATCTTGGACCTGGTGGCTTCGAGGAGTACTTGAGGTAAGTTTGAGCCACGAAATCAGGGAACGAAGGCTAATATATTTAGTGACATCATGGAAGTTGATCTGCGTCGGTATGGTATAATTGGAAACAATCTTACCCCTGAACCTCGCGTCGAAAGATCGCAAATGCCCTCTGCCGATCGCATGGTCGTGCAAGCTTCCAAGGGTCTCGGTGCAGATCTCGCCAAATTGTTTAATCAACCCCCCGAGAGTGGCAGCGGAACCGATTTCACAATTACAGCCTTGAAAGATGGGGATTGGGACGACGAGGAATTGATGAGCTCTAGCATGATGCGGGCTGAGGATCAAGCCCAGCAAACTTGGCTCGACCCAAATACTACAACCTCGCCTCCAATCCACGTTCACAAGCTCATCCTCCAAGCTCGCTGGCCACACTTCGCCCGTCTCTACAACGCACAAATGGCAGAATTCCACACCAAGAAAATGCACATCCCCGAACCATACTCCGTCGTCAAAGCCTTCCTGTACTACCTCTACACCGACAGCATCCAGCCCGAAGACTGCGGCGAGCTCAGCGATGTCGCCGGTCTCCTCGTCATGTCAAACATCTACAACATCCCGCATCTGCGCCTCCTGTGCGTCAACCGGCTCTCCAAGGAACTCGACGTCGACCACGCTTGCATCATCTGGCACTGCGCTGGCATCGCCAACGAGGACTGGCTACGCAAGCGTGCTGCGAACTTCTGCCTCATGCACTGGGGCCGCGTCGTCCGGACCCAAGGATTCCTGAAACTCCCGCGCCAAGCACTCGTTGAACTCTCCCAGGAAATCGACATGGAAGGTCGTGTTGTTGGAGGTAAGCAGTCTTCATTATCGCCATCTTCATCTTCTCATGAAGAGCTCGATCTATCTTATATCTTCATTTGTTAACATTTACTGTGCCTTTAGGCGAAGAACTCGAGTTTGTCGGCGGTCTCGGGGGTTCCAGGTTCGGCTTCGGAGGCATGGCGAGGAAGGCGAGTGTCTCGAGTAATCAGACGCAGCCGCTTGGCAGCGAAGTCGATGAGAATGAGGAGATGGAGATGTCTTGAACCTATTCCTGTTTCTTTGTTAATCGGATATTGAGCGAGGATTGCATAGCGGCGAAGGGCGTTTTCCTTTTTTCTGGGCGGTGGTAAAGGTTATGCTTTGACGCTGATGCTTTATGCGCGACGAAGGGATGGCAAGAAATGCGAATGAGATACATAAATACTAGGTAGATTTTCAGACGGCGGCATGGCATTGCTGGCGTTTGTGGGGAGGGCGCAGCTGTGGAAAGGGAGGATTGCGTTTGCCTTTGCTAGAGATACCTTCCTTGCTGAATAAATGTGAGCTTTGATTAAACGTCTTGATTCAGGGAGGAGATGTGCGTTTGTGAATGTTCTGGGGGTTGTGGGACATTGAAGGGGCAGGGGAAGGGGAAGGGGAATGTGCCACTAGTCGTGGGAGATTCAGATTTCCTCATTATGATTCAAGAGAAGATGATACAACCGATTTTCCTTATATCCATACTCGTTAGCGTATCCGCAGCTTTCTTTCCCTGTTTCTCCCATTCTCTACGCTGGACATTTTCCTCCTCACGTGACAAGTCCTTAAGTCTGTTCGATTGCTTCTCCTCCCCCTCTCGCAGCATTGAACGTGGCTTCAAGAATTATTCTACAACAGTATCTTTCTTTGCTGCTGTCACCGTTCGAGACCCCGCAAAGAGAGTAAATCAATGGCGAGAGAGGCTATATTCAAGTCATGGATGGAGCCTTTGCTGGGATTTACATCCTGGTGGACTGGGGGAAGTGTTGATCCACGGTGATTGAAAATATATATTCTTGGTCTGGAAGCTTCCTCCGCTTTTGTGTGCGTGCCTGAAATGCGATTGAGATGATCTTTCGAGGTATAAACACTTACAATCAGCTTGGAAGGAGAGAAGACACATGGACTTGATTTCATGGCCAGTGAATAGGTCACCCATTGTCAAGAACTTTCTACGTTTTTGCTTACAATATTGCCATAGAACATCCGCCATCTTCTTTATGCTCTATATAATGAGTGGTGGTCTCTCCTGAGGTAGTTATCTCAATGAGCATTGCTACAAGCAGTTTGTCTCGAAAGGGTGACGACGGATTCCAATCTCGAGGCCAAAGGAAGTTGTGAAAGTTGAAACAAATGGCTTAATTGCCCCCTACTCGTTAGTTGCAGAAGTTGTCCGAGGTTGTGCTCCCAACACCAAGCACTTTTTCAGGTGTTGTTGTCATTGACCTGTAGAGAGAGATCCGGATGAAATATATTGCCAGGGGTGATCCTACTCTCGGTATTAAATATGGCTAGGACGGAGAGCGTATAATTTGGCACAGAAGAGGGGGGTCATTCAGAGATATATGCAGTAGAGGAACTTCAACTTGGACTGTAGAGAAGGGCTACCATTTATCTATATTCAATTCACCAGGTCAGCAAGATCACAATGATGTATTGCTGGCTGTTCCAGTGTTCCAGAAATCCGAAGGCGCTCTTGAAGAACTAGCGGTCATTAGGAAGATTCATCACAACCCTGAGACGAAACTCCCTTATATACTTGAAATTACATTTTCATTCTCTCTCGTGAATCTCGTATTCAGTCTCAGGGATCTGGAACCCCATTTTCGCAATCCGCATTCGGCAGCTACGGAGAAAATACGAGATCGCGGACCACGGCCACGTCCTGAAACGCAATTTCTAAACTAGGGGCCGCACAAGCAGGTGCAGATGCAAAGAGCAAAAGCAAGATTGATCTCCTTTGAAAGGGAAGATTTGTTAGAGTATTCTTCTGATGTGGCCCCCCCTTCGGCGGGGGACGAAGCTGCGTAAGAGAGAGCATTCTTTTCAAACGCTAATTCCTCATCCCTCTTCTAGCGGTATAAGAAATCAATAAATAGGAGTCTTCAATCTTGGGGGTGGGGGAGCTTCAGCCTCCGGCGGTTGAATATCTGGCAGGTGTTGTAGGGAGGATTGCTCAGATGGAAGGGTACTACCGGGGACGGGGTTTGCTTGCTTTTGCAGCTGAACCCAAGCAGCACATTTGTGAAAATCACCGTCGTTTTGGGTCTCGTGCTTGATAGGTAAATTGGTAATTACAACTCTCAAATCAAGTGCTAGAGGCTGCTGGCCTTTCTGCTCTTGTTTTGGTTAGAGCGTGGTGATACAAGTTATCACATGACCGGTGAAGGCTGAGATGCAAAATCTTGTTGCATGTCGCGATCTTCGTCCACAACAATACAAATGCCTATGCAAGAGATGCCGGTACAGGAGTCGATGCGGGAGGTGCCGATGCAGAAGTGATCCCGATAGAGAAAGAGGCCCGACCAGGCTTGGCGATGATCGGCGGTTTAGTGGGTCGGATTAGATCGCCAGAGTCGATCCAAGATTGATAGATATCGACACCTTACGATCCAGGCCCGGACCGACGCGAAAAGAGGCCCCAATACTGCATGCCTGCGGAGTACATGGTTCTCATTCGCTATGCGAGGAACAAACCAAGATAATGCTGCATTCAAGCTGCACCTAGACATTTTAAGCATTGTATATTATGTTTAGTTAAGCCCACTAACCGTGGCTTGCATAGATCACCCGCGCTGCGTTCGGATCTTCCAGAGAACACCAAGTCCGTTCACGAGTACTTGCAACGGCCAAGTCGGCAGGTTGCGTTTGATGGATGCACCCACCACCGGCTTCAACATCTCTGCCTTATTTGCTAACTGGGCGAAAGTCACGGGACTACTCATCAGAATGTATCTTGGAAATGCGATATCTTACTTAGTTACTTAGCTAATTCGGCCGATAGAAAGATAAGCTTCTAGCTGATTGCCATCTGCCCTGCGCTCCGTGCCCCCCTATTGGTGTGATGATTTATGCGAGAGCGCATGTGAACCTGCATGCATTTATGGGGGAGTGCAGCAGTTGCACTCCAAACCCCTGCGTCGGCCCTCTCCAGCCCCTTTCCATTGAGCTCGTCGATTCCAATTAGCCATGTAAAGGTCAGCATTAAAGTTATTGCTCAGGGAACAAAGCATTTAATTTCCACCAAGTGTGTAGTTGAGATCTCATTCCAGTATCCACCAATTCCATCAAGTCTGCAATCCCAACACTTCTGAAGTTGTCCTTGGTATACATAAGCTGGTGACCTGTCGAGTGGGAAATGTTTTGAAATCCATCTTCTGTAACTAGTCGTGTAAACATTGGTCTTTGCTACCCAGTCACGTCAATTTCTCTTGCATTCAGGCTACCTGATTATGACGTCTTGGCTAGTAAACACCGAAGATTATCCCTTTGAGATACCTATCACACCTCCCACACCGTGTCCCTCACCTACAACTCTTCCATATGTAAGTCTGTACCATAGCCTTGAGACACAATCTGTCCACGGATAGCGATCCAGAACTGTAATCTCCGCACCTTCTACTCGTTCAAGAGGCAAAAAGCTACGGGGCGTCAGTGTTGCTCTGCCTAGGTAGAAGCTTACGTGCCCTAGAAACATGCATTTACGCGTTTCAACGCCCACAGGCAACCTCACCGTACCTTAATTGATGCTCAGAACCAAAAGGACGCGCAGCAGGGCCAGCAGGGCCAGCAGCGACGTTCCCTTCTGGCATCGCAATTCGGTGAAGCGCGAGTTGTGCGAAGTGATGGCCGAGCTTGGTGGAGAGATGCAAATGATATCCAGTCTCCTGCCCACGCTGCTAGTTTTTCAGCTGCTTTGCCGGACCCGAGCCCGTTTAAATGTATGACAGAAGACTCCAAGACAGCTAGAACCCCGTTGGATACTGTAAGTTGACCAAACCCCTAGAGTTGTGATACCCGCGCTTACAAGACATATTCTAAGAATATGGGAAACCATTGCTCCAGCTACCCACCAATAATCTGCAGCTCGTCTCCGAATAGCATCTTCCAGAGAGTCAATTCTGACTGCCCCGGAGTGGGTTCGGTGAACGATGATATGATATGGTGGAACGAGGGCAGCGAGAGAGCATCTGTGAAGCCCTCCCAAGCTGGAAGGAAGGAAGGAAACGATGAGTACATGGCAAGGCGTGATTATCAGGGCTGCGGTCAGGGGACGCCGGGTTATGGAGAAGCATCGGCCCGCAGAGATCTATGCCGGTATGAGATACAAGTCGAGGAATCCTGATTTTTGAAGGCTCCTAGACACAAAGGAGAACCTATGTCCATAGCAACCTGCTCTCACAGCCATGAGTGGATATAAAAGTACAAATACTTCTTGTTTACATTCATCAAGACGTGAAGCCTGCGAATACCCTCTATCGAAGCGAAAACTTCTATCTCAGTGACTATGGTATTGCAAAGGTCGTCGACTGGTTAAGAACTTTGGTTGAAACGACCAGCCACCAAAAGTGGACACATATGCGCTTGGTGCAACTATTATTATTGAGTGGTTGGAAGGATTCTTGGATCAAGCAAACTAGGCCGGCTGCATGACACTAGTACCTGCAGACATTTGCAAGTCAGTGCGTTATTGCATCGATGCATGCAATGACCGCAGGTGGGCTATCTAACGGCGCTGCAGATCCTTCTCGAATTCTACGTATTGCAGGACTTTCATCAACTTCACAACTCATTCGAGGATTTAATCCGAAATACTTCCCAACAGAAGTGGTGGTTGTTGGCACGACATGCAGACGATTCTGCATGACCTAAAGAAATTGGAGAATTTGTTATTGCATTTTCTGAAACGGGGAAGAATTGCGAGTTGGCAATTGACCTCACGGCGCAAACCATAAGTCACGACGTACTGAAGAGCACGATTCTCTGCCATTCCAACATGTGATCGCTTTAGACAAGCGTTGATCATGGATGTGCCATGGATGTGTGGGCTGATTGCTTCCATGTGAACGTGTTTTTTTTTCTTTGGAGGTATGTGAGAGAAAATGGGTGGGGGTTAGATCCCCACGGTCGAATTGCGTGTGGCTTCCTTGGCGGGATTCTCATCGATGCAAGAATGACAGCGGGTTGCCTGGGCGAGCCGTGGCAAGACCGTTCGGAGAAAGAGCTCCGGTGCCGCAATCCCTGTTGGGTTGCCGGGCCCAAGTTGAAATGAGCCTTGGGAGCAAATACAGTAACAACGGTTAGGGATTACGTCGTTGGCTTGACGAAGAGAGCCCACCAGGCTTGAAGATCGAATTTCGGCACGCAGGCTCTGTTTGTGATTTGGACCAGCGCTGCTCACGGATGTTCCGATCTCAGGGGGATCTCAGTTACGCTGGAAGTGCGGTAGAGTGCCATAGTACTCCTTAGCCAATGTTGTCAATTTGCACGAGTACATGCAGGCTCGCTTCACAGAAGGATCCACTAGCCCATCGCCCAAACCCCCTAACCGCCCACCTTAAAGATATAAATTTTCATTATATCTTTATTATAATTGCAAATTCCATTGCATATCTGCACTTTATAGTATTTTCGATATCTTTATATCTACTTGTCCGTTTAAAACTAGAAGTGCGGCTAGAATCGTCTAAAGGTGGTGTTTTTATTATTTTTGCCTCGCTGTCAAAACCCCTTACTAGAGGCATTTACTTCTCATACCCCTATTAGAATACCAAAATTTTGGGATTCTTTTTAAAGCACTAGGAAAATGCTAAAATACTTTAAGAATTGCTATCGTTAATGACAAATATCTACTCAAAATTTCGGTTTTATACCGTTGTTGTAGTGAAATGGAGTGGGGGTATGAGCGTTGGCTAGCGGATCCTTCGAGCGAATTTGACCCCATTCCTCTGGAATTTTACGCCCTCCGCGGGGTCAAGGATCTGAAGCCCAGACTACAACTTCGAGATCTTTTGGATTTGTGTCTAAGTTTTGTTCGATGCCTATTTGACTGCATCCTTACTACTCCATGATGCTTAGGTTCTTCAGGCACTGTAACAAGGACGTATCAGACATGTAATACCCAATAAAGTATATTTTCAGCCAAACCTGAAAGTGATCGTTATCCCTATTGTTCGCTCATCAAGCCGTGTGGTTGCAACACAGACCAGTAGTGAAGCCACCAGTATCGACCATACATATTCGAGATCGACAGAACTGAGGGTCATTAAGTTTCTTCCCGCTTGTGGCCACTTGAACCCTAGCGTCCATGGATTGGCATTGCATTGCATCTGCAGCATCTCCAGAATTGGCCGCATACACTTCTCCTGTCTTCATTCTACATATCAAAGCGAAATAGACAGGACCTACCCGTATTCACGTGTCAATTGTATGTACGCTGTGCACTGAACAGCGGTGCATCCTGCCTATCCACTGTGCAGAAGGACTAAGCCCGCCCGCTCGATTTCAATCAATTGATCTTCCCCGCATGCCACAGCGAGTAGTAGTCGACCTCGAGGACCCGGAATAGAAGATCAATTTCTCAATTGGATTATTGAGTCGAGTGGAAGTGCCTATTTTGTCTTTGCCTGTCGCAGAACAATTTGCTTTGCATATCGTTGACGCACAATGCTGACTTTTACTGCTCTGTATTCGAATCGTTCCCCTCCTATCCCCACGCTCGACGAAGCAAGGGTCTGACATCCTCCAGCTTTTCCAGCTTCTCTCCCTCCGCCCCCAAAGTCGACACGCCATTGAAAGACTCGAAACACACGCACGGGCTTTGTCTTCCCTGTCACTCACTACCAACCCACAACATGAGCTTGCTCTCGCGAGGTGTGCATTTGCTTCTCGTCAAAGTCTAATTCGTGGATCTCACGCCCAGCCTGAGTTTATCAGACATCAAACGCCATACCGGAAATCCCCTTCGAAATCGAAGGCCAGCGCAGATTCAATACCATAATTTCGGGTACCAATTCTACACCTTCCTCAGCTCCATTTTCGCCAAATGTTTTTGCACACTGACTGCTCAGCCCCTTCGAACTCTTCAACTGCGGCTCGCAACTTATCGCTCGATGCCAGCTGGAAGGATAACGCTGTCAAGGGCCAAATTATCTTTCCCTCCTACGACGTACGATATTACAGCCAAGTAGAAGACCTAGAACCTCCAGCGAGCCTCTGGATAGGTGATTCCTACGCAGTTTCGCCAACTTCTAACAGCACCCCGACCAATGTATCGACACTGGAGTCTCCGGATCCGGTTGAATATGCAGAGGACGATGCAGCGGTGCGAACACAACCATCGAGGAATGTAGATTACTTATCGCATGCTTGGAAGGAGGAAGATATTTGGTCGTCATGGAAGCATGTTGTGTTGAAGCGGAAAGAGTACAGCAACAGTGCGAGACTGGAAAATGCATCTTGGAGGACATGGATGAAGTCAAAGAACAAGTTAAAGACAGTCTCGCCAGAATCACTCAATTGGTAAGCCTTGATAATTTGCGATCTCAGCTGTCGAGCGTAGCTGCGCTCTTGCTGACATCTAGTAGGCTGAGGGACAGTGATGTAACTTGGCTATATGGGCCGCTACTGACTGGATCAGACAGGTCATTGGGAATGCCTTCTTCCTCACCTGTCAGCCGTAGCCGCATTTCAAAGTCCAATTCCTCTCTACTCAAGCAGGCAGCAGCTGCAATTCAGACACAGCAGTTTTGTGACGCTGGACAAAGATGTGGCCAGACTGTTATCGGGCGGGCGTCTTCTGGCTGTGTTACGTTTCCCTTGTCTGCGAGAGGAGTGAGTAGTGAAAACCCCAGCTTCCTTCATTCAGTCTTATCCTCGGGATTTGAACCTACTGGCGCTGGGGAGGAGAAGCACATTCATTTCAATGAGCAGGTCGAGCAATGTATTGCGTTGGAAATGGTGGGTGACGAAGATGAGGAGCTTGGCTCGTCTGCCATTCACGATTACGATGATAGCGAATCGGACGATGGGGCCATCATGATGAAGAGAACTAATCCCAGGTCAGATTCACCGCTCATGTCGAAGAGAAAGGCTACACCGCTGGCGAGCTTTAGTTCTGACAGTAAGACGATTGCGATGCTACCATCTACGACGTTAAAACCCAGGGAAGCCCCCTTGGAATCGCTGGAGACAACACCGAAGTACAACAATGGCTCTTGGAACCGTGGCAAACTCTCCTCACACCTCTCACAAGAAGCGCTCGGGCTACTAAAGCCACCGACCCTGATCTTACTTGGAAACAAGTTGAAAGACGACGATGCGGATATTGACTGGCAGCCACCGCGTGCTTTACCCAGCTGCAAAGATAGCATGGCAATAACCCGAGAGCGATCCCAGAACCTGCACTCATCTGGGTCATCCTCGAGTCTCAACGGCGATCCACCAGGCATGAGACGTACACCCTCAGGCATGTTCATGCCCTGCGACGAAGACGAAGACGAAGACGAAGACGATGTAGTTTCGGGAGGCCTATTTGGGAAAGTGGTTGACGCCGTAAATACAGCGAAAGATATGGTATACGTAGTCTGGAATGTTGGCTGGAGGTAGTCGTTGTGAGGAGCTGATGCGCTTTACAACAGCTTCGGCGGGAAAGGAGAATGAGGGGTGTGCGAGTGGTGACGGCCTGGATCGATCACTTAATGATTTGAATATACAGCGGCGTACAGGCGGCTACGGCTGGTACATAATAATACGATTAAATGTTACTAATAGATACAAAATGAGGATGCCTCTGCTAACCCCTGTATACCCCTCTGTTTAGCTAGCGTAGCATTCCCAAACCAGGATTGTCCGCCCAAAGGAGTCATGTTCGTGCTTGACAAATACCGAGGCCGATAGCAATACTCCTGCCAAAACCCCGAAAAAAACATGACTTAATAATATTGCACACATTGCACTTAACTTTTCATTGCTTTTTAGTTTTTATATAATAAATTACTTATAATATAAGATATTCATAAGCTTATAAATAATTAATATACTTTTTAATTATTCTCTTTAATTTAGACTAATTAGAATTCTTTTAATAGAATCTTTTTAATATATAAAATTTTAAAGGTCTTTTTTTAATATTACTTTTCTTATTTAGAAATTTGAAACTATTTTTAATTTCTTAAAGTCTTAAAGTTATAACTTTTATAATTATTAAAAATATTATTTAATTATAATTTATATAACTATAAGAATAATAAGATTTATAATAATCTTAATATATAAAAGAAAGAATTTAGAAAAGACTTTAATAAAAGTTAAATAAAATAGCTATAAAGTAATTATAATAGCTTATATACTTTAAAGGATTTATAATAAGAATTTTAACTTTATAATTATATAATACAATTATATAACCTTTAAATATTCGAGTACTTATAATTTATAAATATTTTACTTTATAAATATTTTTTTCTTTTAAGAAATTAATTAATCTTTATTTCCTAATTTCATATTATAAAAGCTTATATTTCTATTATAGTTTATATACTTTAAAAAACTTATATATTCTTAATTATTTTTTATTTAATAAATTAATAAAATTACAAGTAGTACTTATAAAAGTAATTTTAATATTATATTATATAATTAAAAACTTAAATTTCGTTTAATTTCTTTTTCTTGCTTTTAAAAAAGCTATTTTTTAATAATATTTTAGCTTTTTAATATATATATAAAGCAAGTTTCTTTCTTATTTTTATATTTATTTAAAAAGTATATCTTTAAGATATATAATATAAATATAATATTACTATTTTATATAATAATTATAATAAAGTATTAATAAAATATATTAGAATTTTTCTTTATATTTAGTTTTATTATTATTATTATTATTATTATTATTATTATTATTATTATTATTATTATTATTATTATTTTATAATACTAATTATATAATATATAATTAGTACTAGTATATTAAATAAATAACATAAAATAAAGTAATAGGTCTTATTTATTTTTACTTAATTAAAAATATCTTACTTATATTTTATTTAATATTTATTAAATATATATTTAAATAACTTAAATAATTTAAATATTTCTTTAATATATTAGCTAGTATTTTTAGCTTAATATATATTCTTTATAATTATTATAATACTTATTTTATTATAATATTTTTAAATTAAAAAATATTAATTATATAAGTTTATATTATTTTTATAAACTATAATTAACTATAATTTATTAATAAAAAAATATTAATAATATAATATAAATTAGTTATTTAATTATTTTATATTATTATATAATTAAATTACTTTAAATAATTAGCTTATAATATATTATAAATAGCGAGTTATATAAGAAATATTAAAACTATAATATAATTTAATATTATAATAAGTAAGTTTAAAATCGTTAATATAATTAATTAAGTTTATAAATACTAAAGTAATTTAATAACTCGAGACGACTTTAAAATAAAATTATTATTAGCTTTAAAGCTTATATAAAGCTATTAGTAATAATTTAAATATAATTTAACTTATTAATAAAATTTCTATTTTAATTTAATTAATTTATAATAATATTTTTTAAAAAAAACTTAGAATTAATAATATAATAATATAATTAAAGAAATAAAACTTAGTATTTAAAATAATAACTATTAATAAATAAGCAAGTTAAATTACTAGAACGTTTTATAAAGCTGGAAGCAATCTTTAGATACAATATTAATACTCTTACGTAATATTGTAGAAGTAATACCGATAACTGGCTGTGAAAAGTTCCGAGGCAAATTACGTATAGAGGGAGGCGACTAACTACTCCGTGGTTATTGAGGATTAGTATATATAAAGTATAGGTCAAAAATAAAATAATTGAGTGTTCCAAACTAAAGTCGATTTCGAACTCTATTGTAGACTATGTTATATTATTAAGACTGTCACGAAAGCAACTAACTTTCCACTGATTAGTTGTGAATTTGAAAAAGATTGATTGGCACCTCGGAGAATTCGTTGGCTGCTAGAGCAACTTTTACGACGGGAGCGCTAGTCGCTGACTCTAGCTCAGCCCTAAAGCATGATTCGAACACTAAAGTTGTGGCTTGTGACACACCTTAAGGGGGAGGAGGCGAGGTAGCCACAAAATAGAACCTCTTCCTCGTTTTCCAGCCTTCTAGAAGACACCATCCCCAAAAGTCGGGCCTTCGCCCCTGCCCAGGGGAAGGCGATCCTTGCCACATGGCTTCGCAGGCGAAGAGATAGCAGCCTAATCACCTCGCGCGATTTGCATAAGCACAGCTACTGTAGTGGCAGAAACGCTCCATCCCTTAGTACAATCGGGAAGGGTTGAGAAGTGGATCATCGTTTGGGTCGATCCAACTCGATTGTAGGGAGATGCGAGCGAGCGAATCCACGTGCCAAGAAGGAACTTCGTTATTAATAATGCAGATTCATGATGAGTCGGGATGCCTCACCAGGCAGACTGAGGCGGATCGGCAAAGTTTGTTTTCCATCTCTTACATCAGCAGGGGCGATCTCTTTCGGCGTAGCCGCTGCAGCAGCTCTAGTGGTTGGAGTTATCTTCCTTCTGTTTTGATTGGCCCACGTAAACGAGTTCAAGTGATACCTTCACTGAGAACTCACGTCGGATATAGAAGCTCACAAAATCCGCATGGTATATTAGCTACGACGGCATTCATCGGAGAATCTGGTAACAGCGACAGAAAGTTCCAAGTTCGGAGCTCGTGATTTCGAGCTTTTTAACCTCTATCTTGGGCGTCCAATTTGGTCCTTAGAGACCCCTTCGCCGGCCGATAATGGAAAGACCGTTTCCAGAGCCCGAGTTAAGTCACCCAAAGAAACCGAGAGCGTCTAGGCCAAAAGTGAAGTCGGGATGTCACACTTGCAAGTAAGTGCTATATTCTATTGGACGGTCTATACGAAAATTACGATAAAACACGTTGAAATGCTCTACTCCTCTATGACTTGTCCAAAAGGAGTTAAACGGCTGAGCAACACCAAACACGACACACTGCAACCTTTTCAGAAGCTAGAAGGCCCTGATTTGTCTCAGTGTTCATCTTTACTGATTTCATGAAACAATAGGTCACGACGCGTGAAATGCGATGAGACGAAACCGAATTGCTTACGATGCGCCAACTTTGGTCGAAAATGCGCTGGATATACCTCCAAAGAAGACACTCCACCAAAAGACACCATTCCTACCACGAAACGGAGACTTCTGTCCAAGGTTGTACCTGCAGAACCTATACCGGAGCTTCCTCCGCCGCTTGATGCTCGGTTTACTCTCCTCTCTTCCAGTACACCGGCTACACAGTTCAATCCTGCTATTCCTCCGGGGATCACTTTCCAAGACGAAGCAGAACTTCAATATCTCTGCCACTTTCGGGACGTCACCGCCATCGAACTAGCTGGTGGATTCTCTCCCACACTGTGGAATACAGTCATCTTACAGGCATGTGACAATGCTGAGATCCGGCAGTTAACAATCGCGACAGCAGCTATGAGCATGGCTGTCTCTCTTCTGCCAGGAAGCCACTGGAACACTGCTTCCGATTTCCACCGTCAATACGCGTTGCTACAATACGGAGAAGCTCTCAAGGCTATCCATCGACAGATTATACTCTCCTGTTCAGACTCAGTGAGAACGGCAATGATCAGCGCGTTGCTGATCTTCTGTTTTGAGAGCCTTCAGGCAGACGTTACTCCAACCATGACGCATATACAAATTGCTCTAGAAATCATTGTTAAAAAGCTATCGAGCGAACCTCATGCATACCAGATTCCTTCTGCGAGATCTCTTAGCTCTCAGCCAATCACCACACCGGTCAACGACGAGCTGCTCCTGGCCTTCATGCGTATAGATCGTCCATCTCTCTCTCTTCTATGTCGACAGAAAGGACAGTCACCTCGCCCAGCAGGTCGAATCTTCAACCTCATCTTCCCAGCAGAACCCTTCGAAATTCCCATGATCTTCTCAGCTATCGAGGAAGCAAGAACATACCTGGATGATATACGGTGGCGGATGTTTCCTTGCTCCCAAGCACCAGAATCTATGTCAAAGCTATGGCAGAACGACAAACAAGAAGATCTAAGTCCTGACATCGGGGCCGTTCCGTGGCAGGTCCAGCAATGGTATCAATCATATGAAACCCCACAGGACTCTGCTATCATCAGTCAGCGGCTGGCACTCTGGCACGATGCATTCTCGCCACTATTGAACTACGCGATGACTCCCGCTGGAGAAGCAATGTTCATCCCCGCCGCAATACTACACATCCAAGCCTTGGCTGCAGAACTCGTCCTCACTGGCTTCTTCCCGCCTTCCTTCTCCGATGTCTCCAAACAACGATCCTCCTCCTTCTCGAATTTCCACTCCTCACCCTTCAGCGATCTCGAACCAGTGACGCGAACAGTTTCCGGCGGATCTCTCAGTGTTCCACCAAATGTGCCTTCGCACCGCCGCAGCTCGTCTCACTCCCCACCCCACCCAACACAGGAAAACACCGCCTTGTTCCCCACCGTCCACGCAATCCTCAACTTCTCACGACGTCTTGTGGCACACCCTAAGTTCTCGAAGGGATTTGTGTTCGATATTGGGATCATTTCGTCTCTTTCACTAGTGGTGATGTTGTGTCCGGATCGAGGGTTGAGGAGGGAGGCTGTCGAAGTATTCAAGGCGATGAGGCCGAGGAGAGAGGGGGTGTGGGATAGCCGTGTCTGTGCGGAGGCTGGGGACAAGTCAATTGTGAAGGAGGAAATGGGGATGGAATTTATTGATCCATCGCTGCGTTAAGTGTTGGGGAGTCTGAGAGTGTCTTAGCAGCGCTAACAGACAAGGAAACAGAGAGGACCGAGTATACGGGTAGTGAGAATTGCAAGGTGTAAAATTTGGTCGAAGATACCACGACGTCAGGGAAAGCGTTTGTATGCTTGCATGAACGTAAAAATACTATATTTCAACAAATGGGATTGACTTCCCCTACAAGGAGATTTGGATATGATCTCGCGCAGAGGCCGATACCAGTCTTGGTCTAGTACTGGGAAACTTGAGACCAGCCTCGGATTTCCGTCAAGGCTTCTTAGGTATCACGTCCCTGGGCTGAAGACCTGGTCTGGTAAACAGCTCTTTTTGGGTGTGTATGTAACGTCTAAAGAGAGAAGAGAGGAGCGGGGAGCTCGAGCTAAGTACAGGGTGCCACGCTAGGGCCAAGTCATGTGACGCTGACGTCACAACATTAGGACTGATATTCTCATTTCTTCTCCACGGTGCACAAGGAGCGATCCCACGTCATTTTCTGGAGGTTTTAGTTGATCCATAGTATCGCTTAAGCTGATCACTATTATCAAACTCTGCATATGCTCGTTTATTTAGCTGATCTCCTACGGGTTAGAGTTAGCATATGCTGAGTATATGGGTTCCATATACCGAGTATATACTAGAGCAATAACAATAGTAAAGCAAGATATATTCTAACTTACTTATATGCTTCTTAGTAATAGTAAAGGTTAAGCATATGCTAGGAGTATGCCTAGCGGGCGCCTGGCGGGCCATTGGGAGGAGGTCGGGATTGAAAGAAGGGTGTGAACGAGGACAGGTGTCTATATATCATTAAAGCTAGTATATACAGTGTGGTTTTTGGTGAGGAAAGTTGATCCATATTATGGAAAATACAAGGGTATTCTCGCTAATTGATAATAGTGATCAGCTTAAGCGATACTATGGATCAGCTACTGGCTCTATTTTCTTTTCTCCTCACCTGAGTCACCTAGAATAAAACATGTTTCTAAGCATATACACTAAAACAATGACTAACTCCACGACGTGGTCTAACATGTAATATTTTGCTCCTTTGCCGGTTCGCGCTCAACCCTTGTTGTCTCGAAGGAGAAAAAGAGGAAAGAGAAGTTACTTTTGTTCATGATGACACAGGGATGGGCTGCCTGGTAAATCTCTGCCTATTTCCAGGACGGCTTCACGGGGTATGATGAGTTCAAGGATGTGCCATGAGATCAGAAGGACGCAATCTACTGGAGAGTGTCGAATACAGGAGGCCACTGGACCAAAGGGTCTTGGAAAATGGGTCGCAGACAACGCTTCGTAAAGTTAACAAACTTCCCTGATGCCGAATTCCGACTCCTCAAAACAACCGAGGGAAACTGGGCGGTACACAAAAGCACGATGAGCGAGCAACAACAAAAATTTGATGTCAAGTTTACTGGTTTCATACAGTGTGGTGACGAAGAGTGCAAAGAACAAGAAGAGTACGTTCACAAGGCCGAACGAGAAAACAATGAAGACGCGAATCAATGCAAGCTACTATGTGAAGTGAACGGAAATAGTTTCAGTGGACGGTACTACAGATTGTTGAAGTCGAATTGTTTAGTGCTTCAGCAGGAGTTGTTCAAGGAGTGGCACGATGACAGACTTGTTCCTTGGTTGCAATTCGTTCCCACTGGCCTCAGCATGGATGAGCTGCCTGAGACTACACGCCATCTTCTGGACGATTCTGAGGGGAAGGTAGTTGGTGCATCGGTAGCAGATGCAGGCCGGTGTTGGTCGAGACGGGTGTTGAGGGAGGTTGATGCCACAGCTGCATACTACCGAATTTTTCTTGAGCACGCTAGGCTGTTAGATGATGATCAAGACTTGCTTGCATGAGGTAGGATTGTCGAAATTGGTTTAGAGCTCTTGAGATTGCCCCGTGTGGTGCCATTCTTTCCGAAGATTAATTAGCATTGCGAATGCGCCTAGGGGGTCTAGATGTTCGAACCGCGACACACTGGGGTCAAGCGAGACTTCGAATCGGCCCTTGCTATATATACTAGACCTGTACTATAAATTAATATGGGTCCCAGATCCCTATTAGCAGAGGCTCCATGAGTTGATTTATGGCCAACCTCCGCTTTAGTAAGCAAATTGACTTTGACATATAATTGAATTTTCTTGTATCTAGACAGCCTTTATAGCATTAATCCCATACGTTGACTACAGGCCCTAATACTCTCAAGCTATTACTATAATACGTCTTTTATGCCTAATCGAACCTCCTCGTCCTCGTCTCCTTCGCGCAAGGACCCCATAATAGCAGCCCGAAATCACCCCTCAAAGCTCATATTATGGTTCACTAGCCTCGATTTACGAGCCTCCTCACCCTTATATCCATATCTACTAATCCCCAACCGGCATCTGCTATATATATACAAATCCACTCTCAGCTTCTTAGTACCCTCCCTCCCTCAATCCGGTATCAAATCTATACCCACATTCTTTACTCTTATAAAATGGTGTAATATATCCTTCTTTCCAATAGCAAACTAATATATATATACATATATTGCATATTACTAACTTTATATATCTATTACGAGTACGGCATTTAGTGCTTGGAAAGCAAGATAGAAGGTCCCTTATAAAGACGATTTAAAGCTTAAAGGAGGGAAAGCTAGAATATAGGAGACTATAAGAGTAAAGTATACCCGTAATATACTAAGCCCGTAAGGGGCTTAGTATTCTAAATTTCCCTATATGTATTCCTATATTACTTGTTAGGTAATAGTATTAGGTAACCAGAATATCGAAACCTGAACTATAATAATCTATTTGTAAACCCAGAGCGCTAGAAACGGTATCTATATTTCGTATAATACCGCTTATTAAAAAAGCATATAAGATAACTAGAAAATATTACTCTTACTCTTGAGCTATAGGCAAATATAAGCCCTACCTAATATATAATATATGCTATATACTACTATTCTAGCTAATCTGGCCTAATTGCTATCTTGAATTTATTAAAAATATCTACTTATTTACTACCTTCCGCCTCTCTATTAGTGCCGCTACATAACTTATTACTACTGTCCCTGCCCCTTATATAGCCCTTGTATATCTTTATCTCTTTATCTCCTTTATTAGCCCTATATACTTGCTATCCCGTACCTGGCCCATTGGCTTTACGGCCGCTAATACTAATCCCAAAGCTAATAAAGCCAAGTAAGAAGCTTTCTGGTATGCCTTTGCCCGCTTGCGGGTCGGTACCTTACTTATCGAGATTCTAGATTTGGGAGTAAGAATACCGGAGCAGATATTATTAGAGCTACTAAGAAAGATAAGGGCAAGGAGGGTAAAAGTTATATTGCTATAGCCAAGGGGATTAAAGACGAGTAGGAAGTTTAGGGATACGGAATTTATAATTAGAAAACTTCCGGGGCCGGACGGAACAGATCTAATAGTACAAATAAATATTGAGAGAGGAAATCCGGGGGTAAAGAAGGAGAGGGGGGTTTGGAGGCGATTAAGGAGAAGGTAATAATAGTAATATAATAGTATGGGATAGGCGTATAATAGGGTCCAGAAGCAAGTAGAAGAGGGAAGGCAAGTGAGAATTTTATTCCGAGCTAGCTAGATATACATTTTTAATTACAATACACTTAGTATAACACCTTCTTATATATTATTTACGATAAAGTCCCTTCTAAATCCTAACTCCTACTTCTTATCCTCAAGCGAGCTTCTGCGATGTCCTGTCCTTATTAATAATATACCGTTTATGCAAGACTAGCCCGACCGAAAGAATGAAGTAAGAACTCCCTCCCAATTCCAATATACAGCTTCACATCCTTACACGAGCTTTTGCAACGACCCATCCTTGTTAATCGTGTACCCCTGTTATAAGACAAGTTCGACCGCCAGCGCAAAATAAGCAATGCATCCGCCAGCACCTCACCATCTCACGCGCACGCTGATATATACCGGCATTCTCGCTCTCCTGACGGTACGCACGAGGACAGAGTGATAAGGGAGCAAAAGAAATCAACGAAGCAGATGTGGTGTTCCCGAGTACGGGTGCAGCAAGATGTGCATGTATATTGGGCTAGGAAAATGAAAGAGAGGGGAGAGGCGTACAAGTGCGATGGCTTTTATATAACTAAAATCCTCACCATCGAATTTGCAAGTCCAAAGTGCGCGATACAACTCATCTGCTAAGTACATGTCACCTTGAAGACGACTTAATAAGTTGCAGGCATCACGCTCAACCTTCCTCCATCTGTATTCATACTACCATTAACGTAAGCTCCGCCTTTCCCCACCAGGTACAGTACAACACCAGCAATATCCTGAAAGCTGCCTTTGCAACCAGCAGGGACTTCTTTATAATTATAGGAGTCTGTCGAGCCGGCGGTCATTACCGAGGGGTATACTACGACGGCAAGTGTTGATCATCGACGACGTTCTCAGATCTAGGGGTACAGAACGACGAGGGGACTCTACGCAGACAAATCTTCGAAGCAGCGTAATTAAGTAGAAGTACAACTCACCTCCGGGGTTAATCACGTTGCTTCGGATCCCCCATGGAGCCAGCAAGTACGCTAGCATCTTGCACAAGTGTATTGCCGCAGCCTTGCTGCAGCTATACGCCAGCCCCGCCGTTGTAAACCGATTAAGCCCTGATATGCTCCCAACTGTTATGATTTGGCTAGTCCTCTCATCGTCTGGCTCGATCAGAATCTTCGTTAGGTTGTCCTTCTCCCTCCGACGAGCTCGATCCGCGGGTAGCTTCCCTCCTTCCCAGCCACGGCTCCTATTGCCGGCGTCTAGTAACTTGAGGAATGCGGCGGACACATAGAGGACCGCGCTAGAGTTGACCGCAAACGTGGCCTCCCAACCTTCTGCATTGCTCAGCAGGATGCTCTGCAGCTCCTCAATGGTCTCTGCATCATTCGCGGGCCGGTGGTTCGGCCCTTGCATGCCGGCATTGTTAATTAGCACGTCTATATATCCGATCTCCTGCTCTATCCTCGAAACGGCGGCGGAGACAGAGGTGGGGGAGGTGACGTCGCATTCGATGGGGATTACGGAGTTGCTGAGGCTGCTGGCAGCGTCGGCGAGGGCAGCGAGACGCCGGCCGAGGATGTAGATGCGGGATGCGCCGGTTTGGACAAGCGCGGAGGCAATTGCATGGCCAATGCCTGGTTTGGGTTAAGGTTAGTTAGTGAAAGCGGGGACCGGACAGGCCATACCGCTGCCGCCGCCAGTAATGACGACGAGATTGCTGGGATTTAGTGGGATCGAGGTATCCATGATAGTACTAGCACAGTATTGCAGGGCGAGGAGGCAAACAAGAGGTCGGTGGAAAGGATTGGGGTAGGCTCCATTTTCACCAGATCTTAATCCAACACAATTACGCTAGGAATGCGAGTATGCGGCTATAATAGGGGCTTATTCTCGGCGACATCCTTTGGTCACGGAGTACGTCCATACAGGAAGGTCCTTTCCGAAAAGAGATAAACGGCGCGTGTTCTCGCACTAGCCGAGAGTCCGAGACTGATCCCATCCTTAGCTATCGCGCCGTATTACCATCTCATCGGATGAATGTTACTCCAGATGACTCTTGGTGTTTAATTCTTCATTGAATTACTGTGGCCCAATTTGCTCCCCGAAGCTCAAGCCAAAATGCTACGGAAAGTCGTAAGAACGTCTACTACGGAAAGCCGTAAGGATCAGAAGACCAAGCGATTTTCGAATCTGGTTTTCGACCTTCGATATCTGATTTGTGGCACGTACGTACCCCACCAAAAATCGCCCGCAACCAAAATACCGCATTCTGCGGATATAACCACTATTGCACTCGTATATATAACTTATATAGAGATAGCCAAAATAAAGCTATTTACAGTTACTAAACGTACTAATATTTATATTTATCTTTGCTATAATATCTCTAGTACTCCCTCCGCCCCTGCCCCTGCCTCCGCCCCCCCTTCTTAATTACTATTAATCCCCCTTTAACTTGCATAGTCCGTATAGTAGATCCTATAGATTGCGAGGCATACCTTCCTTACTATTATTATCCTCGCTATTATCCCCTATAATACTCGAAATATCTCCATCTCCATTATCCTCTTTATTCTTATCCTTACCCTCTTCCTCTCTCTTTCCCTCCCCCTTTATTAGTCTCTTTACTTTATTACTTCATTTCGAGGGTATTCGTGGTTTTAAAAATTGAGGTTTTATAGAGGCTAACTTGGGAGGAGCTAGATCTTTTAGTACTATATTAAGGCAGTATAAGGTATATACTCTGCCGCTATTATTATATCTGTAATTATAATAGGCTCGGTCGAATTTGCCCTAAACTTATATATACTCCTGCTATGGGCCTTTAGGGTTCTTTTTCGTATAATTAATACAAGGTATAGGTACTAAATAGCCTCGAGTTTGATTATATACTGCCTCTAGGTTTGCTACAATCTTCGGATTATTCAAGTTGGCTAGCTTCTTTCCAGGACGAAACTTTATATCTCGAACCTCTGGTATTTTATAGATATCCTTTATAACTTGTATTATCTTATCGGGGATATCGAAAAGCTCGAGATAGTACTATTCGTTAGTAGTAGTAAGAGGAGGCTATAAGGTATTTGAGAAAGGAGGGGGGTTTAGTAGATTTAATAAATCATTATTCTAATATTCGATTAGTACTATATTCTAGCTTTTTATATAGGGAGAGTATAACTTACTACTTCTCTATAATACCTCGAGTCTTTAAGCCTTTGTACTTGAGCTATATTATATTACTTATCTTTACTAGACGGGTACAGGTTATTAATATTACTAATATTATATATATTGCGTCTCTTCTTTTCCTTTGAGGACTTTTTTGGTGGTATAATAAAGGATTATATTTACCTTATGGTAGGAAGGAAGGCTTGAATAATACTTGAAGGAAGAAGAAGAGAGGTAAAGAGGAGGTTGGGTATAGTATTATAGTTGAAAGAGAAGGAGGGTTAGTTAGAAGGAAAAGAAGGCCTTTTTATAATACCCTCTTCCCGAAAAGTAATTACGAATTCGGAGTTACCTTTATACTATAAAGGCCTAAAAAATATAAAAGAACGGATTTACGAATAAACTAGGAGATCGGATTAACCTTCCTAAGCTCTCTCCCTTATAGAGTAATAATAAATTCGCAAATAGAGGTAATAATGGGATTAATGAGCTAATTAGAAGATAGGATTAATTTTATAGGCAATAGTATCCGCTATATTAATACTACTTTTATAAAGGGGAATTATAAGACATAATTCCCGGGCCAAATAGGTAGGTTAGGTAAACTATATTTACGGGTCCGCTACTAGTATAATACTAGGGTATAGATAGAGAGTTCCTAGTTAAACCTGAAAAGTATAGGATTAGATTAGGAAGCCTAATAATTTTGGAATTATATAAATAGCAAGTTGCCCTCTCTAAATTTTATACTAGTTTCTCGGATCCAGGGAATTACATAGTTATATAATACTAAAAATAAGCTTTCTTTATATATAAGAAACGAAATATTAGTATTATTTTATAATCTAGATATAATATATCTAGATAATATAATATAAAAACAAGACTATTTTTAGTAGTTATAATATTATATTTTATATAAATACAAAAGTGGGGTTTTTATACTAGTATAGACTAATATTTAAAGACCGTATATTCCCTCCCCTCTTTACTCTTTATTCCTAATTACTATTACTATGACTTGCAAACTATACTATACTATAGGAACTAATAGAATTAATCCTTAATTATAGGAATGATATCGAGCTCAAATTAAAGAGCTCTATTATATTTAAGAGAAGACTCTTTAGGATATTAGATACGCCTTATAACTAGAAGGGTTTAATACTAGTAAGACTAGCTATATTACTTAATTATAATAATAGAATACTAAACTCTTTCCGGATTAATAGCAAGTAAAGTATAAGGCATATCTCCGTAATAAGAAGCTAGTTAAGATAGTATATTACCTCTGGTATCGGAACTATTTGCCTAAATATATGCTTCGGATCTTTAATTACAAACTCGATTATTCTAGGCTTAATATATATACCCTGAAAATAATTTGGTACTATTATAAGCTTTAGCTAAGACGAAATTGATTTAATACCGAATATATTAATGCTCTTAAGGAAGCCAAAGAATTCATCCTCAAGGAACTAAAGAGCGGTTAATTAATCCGGTATGGCTATGGGAGGATATATTACTGGATCCGAAAGAATACTAGTAAATTTATATTCCGTAAGGAGATATAGCAGATACTTAGGATATTAGACGAGGTAGGGGTAAAGGCGTAAGATAAGTATAAGGATCGGAAGTATAGGAGGTTTACTATTAAGGGGCCAGGTCGATATTAGTCTATAGATAGGTATAACAAGTTATCCTATTACGGCTTCCAGATCTATAGTATTATTAATATATATTCTCGAATAATAATTAGTATTTTTGTTAGTATATTAAATTGTATATAGATTACTATTCTGAAGTTCTACCTTTTCTATATTAGGGAATAGGGTTACTTTCCAAAAAAGTTATAAGCTAATAAAGGCTAGGAGATACTACTTATGGTAATTACGTAAGTCGAGCTCCGGCGGTTAGTAAAGGGTTACGATTTACTATGGAAAAAGGCCTTTACTTACGGGCCCTTAATAAAGAATTAGCATATCGAGATATAGTGGAATACCTTAGCTAGTGGGCTTATAGAGACCTGGAAATGGTTCTTTGAATCTTTTTATAATACAAGTATCTTTAATAGGGAGTCTTATTATAACCTGATTATTATTTGATTTATTTATATGAATATCCTCTACTAATAGATTAATAACTTTATCCTCCTTTATAATATTAGTCCGATTCGCTCTTAGTAGGCAAGGGCTAATTACCTCCGGCCTGGAGTTCCAGAAGAGCTATATGATTATTACTAGGGAGTTCGTTATTATGGTACTTCCCTAATAGGAGCGACTGAGTAATTACTTTCTGAGCTTAAAGAGGAGGTTATAGGATATAATTATATGGTATATTAAACCCCCGAAATTGAAGAGCTTTATATAACTCTCCTTGAAGATACCGGTATTATATATATTATGGATGAGCTTAAAGCAGGGCTAGATTAAGACTATATTAGGGTATATTGGTTCCTTTATTATATCCTTAAACTCTATAAGGAGAGAGTTAGAAAGCTCCTATTTAATATCGAGCCTCCTTATAGGGGGAATAAGTAGTTAGAGGCAGTTCGAGAGGCGGAATAGAGACTAGAGAATATAATTATAGTAAATCGAGGACCAGGGAATATTAAAGAGGATAATCTTGATAGTAAGGTTTCTATAGATAATGAGGGGTAATACGAGGATAATTCAGGGGGTTTAGAGAACGAGGGGATCTTGGATAACTTATTTAATAACTAATATTTGGGCTATAAAAGTTTATTTATATCAAGCTCTTTAAAGGTAATATTATAGCTATATACAAAGATATAATTCCTTTAAATTAATATAAGGGATTGCGTAGTTACATAATTCTATAGAATCGGCTGGCCGTAAAAATGCCCCAAAGCCGGAAACTTATAAAGAGTCTTAAGGGCTTTGGGGTATCCGGACTATTACTAGTACCCGGCACTTTTTGGGAAAAGAGTATAATACGTTCTATAATAGGTAACCTGTTATGGACTATTTAACCTTGAAGTTAAGCGGGAAATCTGAGGGCTAGGCTCGCAATTCAAGTCTTATTAAGGTTATTAAAGTCTTTGCTAGCCAGTACTATAGATTTAATATAAATATTGCAGGAATTCTATAGGTTCTATCCCAATCTATCTAGAAAACATATATAATATATCTCCTCATTTATTCCAACGTTTATATATAATTCCTGAGAGCCGAACTATTACTTAAGGGGGGAGTAAGAAGGCTGGACTAATATCTTTGAAAACCAAGGCCTTAATGAGTCTGTCTAGAAAAGCTTGCTAATTCTTCCAAAGATAACCCAAGAAAAGTTTGAGTTTATTATACGTTATAACTCATATAACCAGGGATAGGGACTGCTCTAATAGGCCAGAAAGAGTTTCTTATATAGCTCACTCATATAACCAGGGACAGGGACTTGAGTTTATTATATGGAATTACCCATATATAGAGACTCCTGCTATAAACTCCTCGTTTGGATTAATTAGTTAAACCTATTTTTGATACTAAGTCTTTATTAAGGCAACTTCCCGCTCCCAGAGGCTTTAGACAGAGTAGCTAATAAGTTTCTTAGCTATTAGCCAAGACTTATTAGCTAGAAAATCTATAAGTAGTAGATA